CGGCTTTCTACGTTTAACCACCGCCGTTGGCATTGTTGTTTAGCGAGCTTGTTGGCTGATCCCTCGACAAAGCAAATCAAACAAAATCTATATACATATATAGAGAAGCTTAACCTGCAGTAAGAGCTCTTAACGGAAAACAGGCACGTCACCTAACCTCTCCGTAGCGTGCGAGAAAAGCCGAGATAGAGAGAGAGAGCAAGCAGGCAGGCAGGACGGACCAAAGAGTCCAGAAAATGGACTCGCCTGTCATCGTGGACAAAGCATCCGAATTCGGAGAACCGATCAATTTGGACCGTCCGTTCCCCGTAAGTGGTGCTAGCAATTTTTTTTTCTGTTTTCCCTTTTGGAAACTCACGAACAAAGATGCGGACACGATGTAAGTAATACGTTCGAGAACGTCGTTGTCTCGTCGCATCGAACGGATAGCTACTTAGGGCAGACGAATGTTTCGGTTCGCAATAGGCGAAACTCTAGTTGCGTCGGTAAGGTACACTGACGAGCAAACTCTGCTTCCGCTAGGGGAAAAGTGAGGTAGGCGAAGAGCCTCCTACCTTTTTGTAATTTATGCTAAATTAACATTCGATTTAACATTTATTTCAGTACTTGAAATAAATTTACTAAGTGGTAGGAAACTTTTCTTCTACGCCACTTTTTCCCCTAGAGGAAGCAGAGTTTGCTCGCGAGGGTACCCGTGCGAATACTTCCAGATTGTTCGAGATTCCTCGCGGTACGTAGAGTTCGTTCGCGTAAACCTGTGTTACACGTTGTAGTTGCTCGATAAAGGCGTGTTCTCTCCGGTTCTACTGTACCCTCACGAACAACTTGGACTTCCACTAGGGGAAAAAGTGACGCAGCGGAATGGCCTCCTACCACTTGGTATCGGGAACTATTGAAATATACGCCAAATTAACATTCGGTTTAACATTTATTTCAGTGCTTGAAATAAATTTATCAAGTGATAAAAGACCCTTCCCCCAGGATACTTTTATACTCAGTGTACCAAATCACCGGTGATTATTCTGGAAAATACAAACACGAATGTATTACACCAGCTCGAAGTGTGTCGTGCAGCTTGTGTCGCATTTAAGAGTGACTGTCGAAACCGAATGCGCGTTCGATATACGATACATTCGATTATATCGAAAAAGAGCTCTTCCACCGAGGGGGGCGCGTTGTCCGTTTGAACGCTTCGAATTTTTCGTGGGGATAGAATAATTGCTACGTAGTTTTCATTGTTCTATGAAAAGTTTAAACGGTCCCGTGCAATCGAGGAAAACCGTCGTTTTTTGCTTGCTACGATCGTCCCGGTTGGTTTCTCATCGACGACCTTCTCTCGGCTCTCTGCGGGATCGCGTGGAAGTTAGAAATAGATTTCGCGAGGAGTGACGTGTTTTTCGTTCCGCGGAACGTGTGTGTACGACTGGCGGACGGAACACGGACTAGATCGTTCGTTTTTCTTCCTCTAACCTAGGACACGATCGTCGCGTTTCGTCCGTTTCGACGAGATACGTGCGTGTCGTAAGTCGTAAGCGATGATGGGGTTAATCTTACCTGTCGTTGATTGTTAAGACAGTCGAGTTTCTTCCTCATTTGATTTTCTAGCGTGTACAAAGAGAGAATACGAAACGATTCGGAGGGCCATAAGCTTTTCTGCGCGCGTAGTTTAAATGTCAGTCGTCACACACGAGACACCACCCATTCTTCCAAAACAGAGAAGCAGCGTTCTCGATGCTAATAATAAACCCGACGGAGACGTTTCTTCTCGGTAAGTCTCGCACCGTGAAGCCCGAGAACGAGAGGAAAGAAACAGGAATAATGGTAACGTAATCGCCTCCCTCAGGCCTCTTATTTCCTCTCGTTCGCCGTGTACTCTAGGATCTTTACATAACGCCATCTCTTAACGGATATTTCCGTGGGAAAGGTAGTTAATATAAATTCCTTTTTTTTTTAAATCTACTAAAAAAGATAGTTTATTGGTAATACACCGTTCCAATATGTCGCACGATCTGCTCGGGAAGGTTCCAGATAACCGACTGTCTATTCCTACTTCTCTGCTCCTCGAAGCTTTCAAACTGCACACACACACGCACGCATAAGGCAAATACGTCGTTGTCGCACCTAGACGAGCGATAACACGATATTCTTGTCAATGATCTAATCGCTCTTGCCGCATTTCGCGAAAACAAAAAAAGAAACAGGTTTCTGGTAAACACAGTTTCGTCGTTCGTGCCGTCCACGATGACGTTTTCGAAGCGACCGACCGGCAGGTCGCGTGGGCGTTATCCAAGCAGAAGCAGTGGCGAACGGAAGCGAGAAACTTGTACAATTGGAATTGGTAGTTTTGTCGAAGGCGTTTCCGCCGCGGTGCGACACACAACGAGGAAACGGTACGGCAGAGAAAAAGGGGTCTGGCGCCTTCGCAGGCCCGATTCCAAAGGCCGTGACACAGTTTCACGCCGAGGTTCGTGTCGAGCCACGGTGTCCCGTATGTGTGACATTCACCCAGTTGGAGTTGGTTTATCGCTAACCATAACCGTTCCGTCTTCGCTGGACGACGGACTTTCCCCTGCTCCAGTAAAAAATTCTTCCTTCGTGGTGTTCTCTCCCACGGTTTCCGCTCGTGAGAACAAAAATATACACGACACAACGGGGATGAAAACACAGACACTCGACATCTTTGTCGTCTGACTTAACCCTTTTGGTACCTTATATATCGGCCTTCTTATTTTTCGAATTGAAGTCTGTACGGTATGAAAAGGTACAGATATTAAATCATCTAAGCTTCATGTACGAAATATTTATTATTATCATGTAAAGTTCGAATTTACTAGTGTTCATTTATTGATGCATTTACCCTATGTTAATGTTAATAGATACCTGAATTTTTCAACGTATTTTCGGACCGTACCCGGAAAAGTTATATGTATAAAGTACTATAAGGATTTAATGCCTCATAGACGATATACGAGTTGTCGTACATTCACGAGCAAAGTCGGCTTCCGCTAGGGGGAAAAAGTGGTGTAGGGGAAGGGCCTCCTACAACGTAACAAATTTATTCTAAGAACTGAAATAAATGTTAAATCGAAGGTTAATTTTGCATAAATTTTAGTTATTCTCAATACTAGTAGAAGCCGAGTTTGCTCGTGAGGGTACAACCTAGGTGTGCTTTGACCGTCTGAACGACAGTTGCAACGTTTGTGGCGCGCGATCTTATATAGTATATGTATATGATTGGTAGAACAAATTGGACAGGCTAAAAATCCTTTGGTTCCTAACCGTCTCTCCCACTCCGTACGACAAACCGTGTATCGTCTGTAGGAGCCTTTAGGGACGTTCGGTTGCAATTTCCTGTGTTCTCCTTCCCGAGAAGAAACACGTAACACATAATTGATTGTTACAACGGGGCCCACGCACGCGTCCCGTGTGACGTCACACCTCTTCTACTCCGACTCCAGTCGAAGAATCGAGACGCGACAATGAAATCGTGAAAAGTCCTCGTAAAAGGCAAGGAACGCTGAGAATGTTGTTCGCGGATGAATATTCAACAGGGATCGCGATATATACATACGTGAGATACGTCGTGCGATTGAGAGCGAATCTGGATTCCCGTGACAGGCCGCAGTCTGAGGGAATAATTGGAAGCATGAAGCCGCGTCTACACTATGTTGCATAACACGTTATACGGGGCGAAGTTGTAAAACTTGTTAGAAGAACAGAAAAATATTACGTATAACATTTTTTGTGTTATATAGTAAGTTATATGTAGACTGGGGATTTTTATGCATAATCACATTTTGTAAAGTAATTTACAAAGACAAGAATAAAAATCGGAATTTCATTTTTCCCCGTAGGTATAGTATATTTAGCTAGGAATAAAATAGGAAAGTGGTTGCATCTAATGAAAATTTCGTCTTCTATTGTATTTCGTAAAGTCCTATAGGTTATAAATGCATAAAATCCGAAGTCTAGTTTTGTTATTTGTAAAGTGTGACGCCATTATTAACCCTTTCGGTGCGGTAATACTTTTGACGAATGGAATATTTTACTGTTTATGGCACTACTACATAGTCCATAGCGCTCGTAGCAGTTACTGAAATCTGGCCACACTGGACAGAGTCAATGCATATTAGAATTTTCGCCATTATACAATAGTTGATCGTTTCATTTTAAAAATACCCAATTCGCCGGAGAAAGGTTCTCTCCTTCTTCATCACCTTCCGAGTGGTCATTATTATTTGCGGACGCGAAATCCCCGCGGTTTGACCGCATTATTTCGCGTGGGTGAAGTGAGAAAACACATATAGGAGCCCAGGTACGTACGTGTGCCGGCGGCCCTCCTATATATAGTTGTGTTCGTGACGTAAAACCCGTAATATGCGGCGTCACGAGAACATCCACCCACACGCGAATTCGCTGCACACACCACCCCGTCTGGCCGAACGATTTCTTACCCTTTGGACGCCGCCAGTAGGCTTCCAGCTTGAGAAGTCCTCGAGAAACGGTGTATGTGTATGAAAGCTTCTTCCTTTTTCCGGAGTATTCGGTGCAATTTCGAATGGTCCTCATGTGTGCCGCAAAAAATATCCTGCTATACGCATATATACATAGAGTGTTCCATTTAAATCGATCCACTCGAATATCACCGAAACTGTTGGCATTAAAAAAATGTAAGAATAAGTGTATTAAAAAATATACGATTTCATAAAAAAAAAAAAAAAACAAAGTTGATCTTCATATGACCTCTACCCGTCCACAAAGAAAAAAGTTACGTCAGAAAGTGTGCCCCCTGATATACCATTTAACTTTTGTCTGAAATTTTTTTTAATATCGTCAATAGTTTTTAAAAGATATTCGAGTGAGTCCATTATAAAATGGGACACCCTGTATACGCCTGCTCCCTAACTGCAATTAATATCTTTAATGTCTAAGAACATGTGTAAATTTCGATCGTAGCGAGACCTGACCGGATTATATACATGTATCGTTTCCTGTTCCAGGGATTCCCGTTCGACGACGAGGGTTTCGGCCGACGTGGCGACATTCGCGCCCACCTGGACGATCTAGCGGCCAGGCACCCGGAGTTCGCGGATCACTTGCTCGGCCCGCCTTGGGGCGACATACCGTTTCACGGTACCACATTCCGTAACCGTAATCATCGCGGATCCGGGGGGAACGGTGTTGGGAACAACAGCTATCAGGGTTTCTCGGACGAGGACGCGAGGAGCCAGGCGAGCGGCAGCAGCGCCGCCAGCGGTGCCAGCGCGGTCAGTTCGCACGGCGAACCGGAAGGGAATCAGGAGAGATCATCCCGCCAGAACGAACAGTATACCACCACCGGTAGAAGTCAAATCCCGCAGTACGGGTTACGGAACACCGTCGACATAGGTCAGCATCAGCACAATATGGAGAATCCGGAGAAAGGAAACCGCGGGCAACGGTCCATGTCCGCTCCGCCGGAGAACAGACAGTTCTCATCCCCGTCCGGTCAGAAGCAACCGGCTCCCCGACAGGAGCAACAGAACCAACAGCCACAGGGGGGGCAGAGGTATGTGTCCAGAATAGACATAACGCCCCAACACAATCAGCCTCAACAGCAACAACAACCTCAACAGCATCAACCATCGCAACAACAACAGAAATCCCCGCAACAGCCGAGCAACGTCAGGCACATACCGATCTTCGTCGAAGGCAGAGACGAACCTGTCTTACCTAGAAGTTCCGACGAGCATTTCAGAAGAGAACCTTCTCCCACGCAGTTTCACACGCCCCCTCATTTCCAGAGACCGTCCCCATTCGGACAGTCCTCGTTCGGCAGATCCCATCAGGCATGGTCTCCGCATTTTCAAGACTCGTTTTACCCGCCACAGGCTCCCTTCGAGCAACCGCCGGCCCGCAAGCAACAGCAGACTCCTCACGGCTATCAGCATCCCAGGGAACAGCAGTACGAGAGGCAATCTCCGCAACAACCGCATCATTCTCAACAACAACAGTATCATCCTCAACAACAGCATCCTCCTCAACAACAACAGTATCATCCTCAACAACAGCATCCTCCTCAACCACAGTGTCATCCTCAACAACAGCATCATCCGCAACAACAGCATCATCCTCAACAACAGCAACAACAACAAGAACCACCGAAACCAAAACCACCCATCCTTCCAAAGGATCCTCTGGAGAGGGTCGCCCTGGTGCAGACGGAAGTTAACTCCCTCGCGGAACAGGTGAAACAGTACAACGGGAACTCGAGGAAGGACAAACAGTACATGTACCTCGACGAGATGCTCACCAGAGAATTGATCAAGCTGGACGACATCGAGACAGAGGGCCGCGAGAATGTGCGACAGGCGCGCAGGAACGCGATCAAGAGTATACAAGAGACGATCAGCTTTCTGGAATCGAAGGTTCCTCTGCACTCGCAACCAAGCACGCCGGTAGAAGTGGAGAAACCGGAGTATTCCGAGAACGACCAAGCCCAGACCCAGCCGGAATCGATGGAGGTCGATCAGAAGCAGGAAGAAAGCGTGAAAGAACCAATCCCACTGCCACCTGGCCCCTCGTCACCGACGAAAAAGTCCGACGAACCCGAGGAGAAGAAACCGGTTGATGATTGTCGACCTCCTAGTCGACAGACCGACGCAACTTCTGGTGAACCTATGGACACCGGTCCAACGGAAACATTGGACACTCCTATTGACGCCCAGCAAACCGTCGAACAAGCGAATGTTCCCGAGGAGAAGACGCAAAAGGATACGGCGACAGTTCCCGAAGCGATTCCTCTAGAAGAGAAGAACCAAATTATGAACAATTCCGAACCGAGTACGTTGGATGATTCTCTGGACAAGGTACCAGAAGAGACCTCTTTGAGGACAGAGACTGCTGCTGTGAACGAAGACCAGAAGATCACAGAGGAACCGTCCAAAGAGAAATTAGAAGCGATCAGACCGGATGAACGGACGTCCGTCGAGGAAAAAATGCAGGTGGATGGAAACGCGAAACCAGTGGCGAAGTCGCTGAGGAAAGGGAAGAAGTCGAAGAAACAGACACCGGTCTCCGATAAACCGATACCTCTGCCACCGCCGGAGAACACCGAGGCGAGCCCGAAGTAACAAATCGAGGAACAGATGTGATGCACCGAAAGCTCTCGGGAATCATTGCGCGTTGGCATCGTCGTTCCCCTGAAGTTCGATGGAATTATCTCGTCCGTCTGTTTGTCGTTAAGAACTGCCCACGATCGAACGATACTTCAATGGGTACCATCGAAAGTTCATATCGCACTTATAACTGCCATTGTTATCGGTAGATTCTTTTCGTCCAACGGTATAAAAACTGGAACTGGAAACCGCGATCGTTTCCTCGATAATACGCGTGTTTTTATGAATATAGTAAATGGCCTCAATGAGTGCAACGTAGTCGGTTCTGTTTCGGAGTATTCGTGGCAAGGCGAGGAAAGGTCTTCAGCTCTTCATAAATTTGTTTTTACCCGAAGTTGAGCATCTGTTTAGCTTCTGTTTACTCTGTTTTGATCGATTCCAGGGAGGGACCCTACCAGTGGTGGGAATAAGGCCATTGCTCGTGTCGCATTCATCGAGGTATCATTTTAATTAACTGTCGTGTAACCGACAAATCGTGTCACAGGCGTTTCTAACGTTCCTGCGTGAACAGTTTTTGCAGTCAACACCACACACATACACTCGGGAGCCGAACAGTTAGGGGGGGATTGAAAGACGAAGAAGAAAGACGAGAATCGTCTTTGCGATCGGATCGAAGCGTCGTGGATCGACGGTTACACACCCCCGGTACACAATCGTTGGACGTTGTTGTCTTAATCTCGTCGTTGATCGTCACAGAGGAAACAACGTTTATATTTTTTCTTTTATTTTTTTTTCTTTATATTGCCAGTGTTCACGCTATTCCTTGCATTTGTATCCCAGGTTACCACAAAAATCGGAAGTTTATGGAGTCGTAATATAGTTTGGTTAACCGAGTGCGCGAGACCGGTGGAACAACGCGACAATAAGAAGAGTAGTAGGCCAAAGAAACAAAAAAAGAGGTTGTTGTTTAGAGAACCGTGTCGGTTCTTTGTTGGTTACCAATGATCGATTCCGATCGACCAAATTGTACACGCAAAGCATCTGTATATGTACAGAGGAACGTTGATGTATTGCCGCGGTCATGGCTGTAGGAGAGTAAAATTCGAGAGCCCTCTCCATCTCGCCGGCTCCAGCGCCTGCGTAAGAGCTGGATTGTGCTGGTGTACGCAACGTGGTGGGGGAAGGAATTTGAGTGCGTGTAATATATGAAAAGTCTACTGTATCTCTCGAAATCGAAGTGTTCTTTTTTCTCTTTTTTTATTATTATTATTATTATTATTACTGTATTTGTATTATCAGACGTTCGGTTTCTTCCTTGTATCGAGGATATGGAAGGAAAGGAACGCTAGGATGATGATGGACGGAAGAGGTGTTTCTTAGAATACACGGGAGAATCGGAAAATTTGTACATTGTCGAGAGAGAGATTGTCTTGTATTGTCGCGACTGAACTCGATGATCCGTATTAGGCGTCGATGAGAGGTTGAGTACGATCGCATGAATTTTCTTCTTTTTTTCTTTTTCTTTTAATGTCGACGATTTGTGAACACGTTCAGAGCGTTATGAACGTTGTCGAACGGGGCGAGTCCGTTTTTTTTCTCGGTATTGCAGCGCGTGGTCTAATTAACTTAACTGTAATACAATTATTGTTATTATTATTATTATTTATAATTTATTAAAGGCCCGTTCGCGCTGAATATACGCTTGTCCGGTCCCGCCGACGAAAACGCTCGTGGTGGCGTTAGTAACGAACCGTGTACATATTTATTAAGGAGATTGCACGTGCTCGTCCTATAAAAAAAACGATGCATCCCGTTCGGGGAGGGGGGGGGGTTATACGAAATAATTACCGACGTTCCTAAGAAGCTGCTAACTCTAGATATGTACGAACAAGTTTGTACGTTTTTTCTTTTTTCTTTTTTAACGCGACGAGAGAATGGGGTGCATTGTTTTAATGGTTCCTTGTTCAGGGTGATAAATCACCGATTAGTTTCGTCCTTTTTGTTTTCTTCTTCTTCTTTGCGATGTTGTTCACCTAATACTTAGTGATCGCGTGCTTAAGAGCCAGAATTTTTGTATTTTTTTCCCCCGACGAGAAGAATAAGCGTATGTGTGTGTGCATATGACTGAAAGTGAGAAATAGAGATTATACGTAAAAGAGAAACAGTGCGAGTAGATGATTGTATAAATACGACGCGCGAATGTAACTATTTTATGATGAAACGCATTCGATGAAAATACAGAGTCTCTGGTCACATCCCTTTCAATCAATTGTATATACCACCGATTAGGTGAACCCCCCATCATCCTATTTAGTCCTGGTCGTTCGGTTGTCACGCCCTGTCGACGGAAACATACACACAGATAGCACAGAACGCCTTAAAGGCGTCTTAGACATAAAATTGCCGTAAAATGGGCGTCTTCAAGGCGTCATGTGGTATTTGGGCGCATTCGCACACGGAGCAAATTCTAACTTCCTCAGGGACGAGAATTTATTAAGACCAGAAAGAATATATTTTTTATTCTTCGATTGTATTTAATTAAAATATATTTATAAATATCATCGACAACCAATTGGTAGAATATCCATTTTTGTTGGGGAATTTCTTAGTGAGTAATTATAGTTTCGGAATGTTTCTTGAATAAAAGAAAAACTACGGGTACACATACATACGTGCCAATATCACTCAAGAGGTTAAACGAGAAGTACGATGAATAAAGAAAATTGATTGCCGGAAATCGACGAAGAATTCAACGCGTGTATCGGTTCGATGGAAAAAGAAACGGTATATATAAATGAAGCGCGTTTCCGTGAAAAAATCCAGTTGTACTGTTACGGAAATTCCGATAGCAACGACCTGCCAATAACAACATCCGCCATGCGCCATATGCAATTCCTACGCCGCCAAATTCCGGTGAATTGTTTGCCACCGACTCAAGGTTCCCCCGTTTTTGCATTGTACACGTACACGAAACTGAGTTAAAATGTAAACGACCGCGGAATGCAAGTTGCCTGCAAGTGGGGTTTCATTTTATCTATCGTGTTCGATTTATACACCGGGATAAATAACTGAAGCAAAAAGAAAAGACGGCTTTTGGCCAATGTTACCGGTGTGTGGGCATTTGTCGGAAATTAATTTAAGCTCGTGAAACGTATTCCCATTTTAGCCCACTTTCTGCGTCTTTAATGGAAAATTATGTATTCATGTTATTTACTATCATTTATTCTTCACTCGTGCGACCGCACGAAATATGGACCCGATTCGGTATTCGCGACGAAACAGTCTGATCGTCATAAATTAATGAAATAAAGAAAGGAAAATGTACTTTCTCTCTCTATACGTAGCGTTACCAACCGATACGCACGTCGTTGAAAACTTGGCACAGCGGATGCATACGAGTCATCTAAAAATAGAAGGCCTGCTTAGATTTTCAGAAGAGCAAGTTTTTGCGTCGCGACGCCGCCGTCTGCCGGCCGGGGAATCCCGCTGAAGATGTTGGCAGCACGTCTTTTACCGACATCTAGACACCGGGTCCACGAGTTCACTCTGGTATTTCATCCCGGAACGTTTCAGCCACGTATTTGGACAACCTGGTATTCCGATCGTATCTTTAGACCGATGAAAAGTCACCCAAGAGCAAGATTCGTTCTCAAAAGAATATTCATTTTTGTTAACTTAACAAAAGCAGCGCACGTGTATTCATTCTTAAATACATCGCATTAATGGATGATATTACAAAACTATCTCTTGATAAAGTATGTGCATCAGCTTCAGGCTCGCAAGTCTACACTCAACAGATCTTAATTACTAGTTCTGTGTACAATGCAAGGAATGCTTCTATTGCAATAACGGTATCCATGACTGTGATAGAAAAATTGTAAGTGATAATATTTGTAAACTGTTTACGAAACATTACTCGGTGAATGCCTTGGTAAATTGCATTTCATATACATCAGTTAAAAAGCTGTTTACAGACTCCTCTTGATTATCGTCCCGAACTCGGGTCCGCGCCGGGACAATACTTTTATAGGGAGAAATGCTTCAGACACTCGTAAATTCATTTTTTACTTGAAGCTCGAGTCCCGGGAACAAAAGCAGAGGGGCAACAAAGTATGCGTTTGACAGGTTTCATGTCCTCCTATCACAGTAGTGGGGACAACGCCTGGATAATAATCGTGTAGAATAAGCCAGACGATAATCGAGAGGAGTCTGTAGTTCTTTCTAATGCTTGTATCGATTAAGCTCAATAATCCGGGTTAGGTCTCCTTATTGCTGGCATTCGTTTGTGCTTTTGCATCTCAGAATCATCGTGATTATCTTCAAAGCATGCGGGGCAATACAGATCGCCGTAACAACCTAAACATTTCTCTAAATTTTTAGTTTGATCGCACATCACGCAAGTAGGTTTTTCTTCTTCATCCTCTTCCTCGTCGTCGTTATGCTTTGCTACCTGTAATCGTAATACAAACGTCAGGATTTTCCATTAACTTTTTTTTCCTTTTCAGACTTAAAAATTTATCAAATTTGCATACATCGACTTCCATTCTTTCTAGTTCGTCTATATCCTCTTCATAATTTTTCTCGAGTTCCGCTTCAGCAAGAGCTTTTGCAATTAATTTCTTCGTTGCGTGTTCTTCGTCATCGTCGATAGTTTCGCTCGAATGCTGAGACAATAAATACGTATCATATGCACATAATCTAATGCGAGTTACAATTTTTGTACCGGTCGTCTACCTTCTTGTGGGCATTGCTCGAACCCTGTAGCGATCTCAATCTCGATTCAATTTTATTATTCGCATCGGTTGCCGACGATAATTTTAGTTGCTCCAAATACTCCCGTATTAAGTCGTCTGTTTTCTCCTGGTCCGTCCTAATGTCTACTCGATGTATCTGGAAGCAACAAAGTACCTGTACTCGAAACAATTGCAACATGATAATTTGCGTTTCTCTTGCTTGGTATTTGTGTTTACATCCGTCTTGCTGTTACCGGCTTCGGGATCTTCATCTTTCAACAATGCGAGCCTTCTCTTTATTTCATCCACGCTTAAAGCTATAGCTTTCTCCTCCCCTTTTAATTTTCTCAGTCTGTCTACTATCTCTTGATCCACAGGCTCTAAACCTTTCTTAAACTTGTCCCAGTGATTTGTGTGTTTATACATTACAATGGGTGGCTTTGCTGGATTTTCCAAAGAGTCCAACCTGATAGACATATTTTTTCTTTTATGTAAACTGACAAAACAGGGAAACACTGGTAGGATGGTGTAACGATCTTATTACTTTTTAGTAATGTCCACCGGAGCCATAGGTTCATTATGCTCTTCAGACATAGTGATACCATTAGCAGAATGCGTTTTTTTCCTTGAAGAATTATATTTGTTATAACAGCGTCCACAGACTTTTTTCACTCCTTTATCTGAAATATCACATTTATATTTCAGGCATCTGCCGCAGTATGAGAAACCACAGCCTGGACAAGCAACCTAAATGCCATGAGAGAAATGAAAAACTATGAAAATCATAACGCGACGAATATTGTTTTAGATTTATTTGTGTTTCATATTTTAATTTAGAATCTTCGCTGTTTTACGCGACAGCATTGCAACATAACCTCTAAAATGGTTCAATATAACGACAGACTACTTACTTCTTTAGTGAAAAATGAGAATTTCGTTTGGCAAATGTTACAAGACATGCTGAATAAATTCTCTATGTTTATGTGTTATTGCGTTGTCATCTCCAAACTGATTGACACCTCTTCGACATCACTCGACATATTCTTTACAATTATTTCTGACGTATAACGCATAGCAAAGAAATATAGACTGCGCGTCTGCGCGTCAGCCTGAAACGGACGTCTCAACGGTTACAAACTGGCGCCTCCGCCGGGGGTTCTATGACCCCACGCTCTCACCACACGGTGCCTCTGGCGCCTCCACCGGGGGTTCAATGACCCCACAACACAGCCGAGATATAAGAACCCCCTTCCCATTTTAGTGTCAATCTTGAATAGCTCTTACACTGTTATACGGATAACTTGTGTCTATATAAAATACTCGATTTATAGCTGAAAGAACGTAGATTAATCTCCTCACAGTGGCAATAACAATAAACGACCAGAACGCTGTTAAAATCGCAATTTATTTGCAACGGTTGACACTGTATCTCGTCATGCGTACCCCGGTTAGTTCACTTTGGACAGCTCGTACACCATTATACGGACAGCTTTCGGTTAGCTAAAGCACAAAATTTGTAGCTGAAAGTACGTAGATTAACCCACTGTTATTGATAATAACAATAAACAACCAGAACACTGTCAAAATCGCATTTAATTATGGAATAACACTATTTTTTGACCGGTGGCGCCATCCGTGGCGAATCGGTGAAACAGCTAACCAATTATATGGCTACGAGTTTCAGCGATTCGCCACGGATGGCGCCACCGGTCGAAAAAGTCGTGGTATTCCGCGATTAAATGCGATTTTAACAGTGCTCTGGTTGTTTATTGTTATTTTCAATGACAGGGGATTAATCTACGTTCTTTCAGCTATAAATCGAGTATTTTATCTAGACGAAAGTTATCCGTATAACGGTGTAGGAGCTATTCAAAGTGAACGAACCCGGGGTACGCATTACGAATTACAGTGGCAACCGTTGCAAACAAAGATGATTTAAACAGTATTCTGGACGTTGATTCGTATTTTCAATGACAGGGGATTAATCTACGTTCTTTCAGCTACAAATCGAGTACTTGGTCAAAACGAAAGCTGTCAGCACAACGTCGTAAGAGTTGTCCAAATGTGAACTACACGTGAAGCGTATGGCGTGAAGCAGTGAAGTGACTAATATGCATGGGGAATGCAGGCAGATATAGTACATACATCTGACACACCACGCGGTGTCTCTTACGTATTTTCCGGGGGTTCTATGACCCCAGTTTGCCACCCACGGGGGTTCTCTGGCGTGTTCTCTGGGGTTCTATGGCCCCACCGTGTCTCGCCTTCTTGGATTTTTCAAATAGCGCGGGAAAAATGGGGAATTAGTGGTTAGTAGATTTTGTTTCTTTACGAGATGGTGGTTAGTAGATTTGGTAGTTACTAAATCTACTAACCACCATCTCGTAAATAAACAAAATCAACTAACCACTAATTCCCCATTTTTCCCGCGCTATTTGAAAAATCCAAGAAGGCGAGACACGGTGGGGCCATAGAACCCTCGTGGGTGGCAAACTGGGGTCATAGAACCCCCGGAGAATACGTAAGAGACACCGCGTGGTGTGTCAGATGTATGTACTATATCTGCCTGCATTCCCCATGCATATTAGTCACTTCACTGCTTCACGCCATACGCTTCACGTGTAGTTCACATTTGGACAACTCTTACGACGTTGTGCTGACAGCTTTCGTCTTGACCAAGTACTCGATTTGTAGCTGAAAGAACGTAGATTAACCCACTGTTATTGATAATAACAATAAACAACCAGAACATTGTCAAAATCGCATTTAATTGCGGAATACCATTATTTTTTCGACCGGTGGCGCCACTCGTGGCAATTCGCGCAAACTGCTAGCCAAATTATACCGACAGGTGAGTGAAAATTTCTAGTGATGGAAAAATGCAAATATCTCAGTAATTCAACACTTAATATGAACGTCGTTAGTCTCAAATTGTTCCTCAGGACTTAATGCATCGACCCAATAGTGCAGAACCCCTGAATTAATAAAATTAGTTATGCCTGTATTACCGTTACCTCTTATGGGGTGACAACCTGATTGTAAAATATTTCGATCGCATTTACACCGCTAAACGGGCATGATTCTTTTTCGTGGGGTGACAACCTGATTGTAAAATATTTCGATCGCATTTACACCGCTAAACGGGCATGATTCTTCTTCGTTTGCATTAGATACAACGTTTAAAGAACGTAGATTACTATTCTCTAACGGTTGGAAACCAATAATTACAAGAACATTGTTAAAATCACGTTTGTTTGCAACGGTTGACACTCTATCTCGTCATGCGTACCCCGGTTAGTTCACTTTGAATAGCTCTTCCAACGTTATATGGACAGGTTACGTCTTGATCAAGCATTCAGTTTGAAGCTGAAAGAACGTAGATTAATCTCCTGTCATTGAAAATAAGAATAAACAACCAGAACACTGTCAAAATCGCATTTAATTGCGGAATACCACTATTTTTTCGACCGGTGGCGCCATCCGTGGTGAATCGCTAAAACTGCTAGCCATATAATTGGTTAGCAGTTTCACGCATTCGCCACGGATGGCGCCACCGGTCAAAAAAATAGTGGTATTCCGCAATTAAATGCGATTTTGACAGTGTTCTGGTTGTTTATTGTTATTATCAATAACAGTGGGTTAATCTACGCACTTTCAGCTACAAGATGGGTGCTTCAGCTAAGCGAAAGCTGTCCGTATAATGGTGTACGAGCTGTCCAAAGTGAACTAACCGGGGTACGCATGACGAGATACTGTGTCAACCGTTGCAAACAAACGTGATTTTAACATTGTTCTTGTAATTACTGGTTTCCAACCGTTAGAGAATAGTAATCTACGTTCTTTAAACGTTGTGTCTAATGCAAAACGAAGAAGAATCATGCCCATTTAGCGGTGTAAATGAGATCGTAATATTTTGCAACGACGGTAGTCGCCTCATAAGAGGCTACGGTAATACAGGCATAACTAATTTTACTAATTCAGGGTTTCTGCACTATTGGGTCGATGCATTAAGTCCTGAGGAACAATTTGAGACTAACGACGTTCATATTCAGTGCTTATTTACTGAGATATTTGCATTTTTCCATGACTAGAAATTTTCACTCACCTGTCGGTATAATTTGGTTAGCAGTTTGAGCGAATTGCCACGGGTGGCGCCACCGGTCGAAAAAATAGTGGTATTCCGCATTTAAATGCGATTTTAACAGTGTTCTGGTCGTTTATTGTTGTTTTCAATGACAGGGGATTAATCTACGTTCTTTCAGCTACAAATCGAGTGCTTTATCTAGACGAAAGCTATCCGTATAACTGTGTACGAGCTATTCAAAGTGAACTAACCGGGGTACGCATGACGAGATACAGTGTCAACCGTTGCAAATAAATTGCGATTTTAACAATGTTCTTGTAATTACTGGTTCCCAGTCGTTAGAGAGTATTATTCTACGTTCTTTAAACTTCCAATTTAATGCGTGACGAAGGAAAATAATGCCCGTTCTCACAAGTACTAGTTTGTAACTTCGTTCATAAAAATGCAAATTCCAAAATCTTCTCGCGCCACACATCTAGGGCAGTTCTGTCCTGAACTTACGTACAAAATGTGATTAAAATCATTTAATTAAAATAATTAATATTTCATATTTCTCATAAATACTAAGACGGGGTTGTTGTTTAATAATTTATGATAAAATGCAAATTGTTCATTTATAAAGCTTCATTACAAGATCCACATCTTAAATGTTACTCTGTATCTCGATTTCTATTAGTTATAATTGTTAACAATTTGCATTATAAAACAACTGGCAAAATATTTAACAACATATGTACCCTGGAGGTATGTAATTGTTATCAATATTACATTGTTGAAAATGTTTAACTTATTGTTAACGTGCCCGATAATTATCAACGGCGGCGCAACTGTAAATTCTTATCTGCCAAGAATTCTTTAACGATCCACGCTAGGCAAATCGATCCTCTTTCGTTTCCCTGTGATCTTTGTTGCTGTATAATTTTTACGCGCGAGTGAGGGTAGTTTGGTACTGGTGGAATCCGGGACCAGTAATCCTTTATGCTGTAGCCTCGTGATGTAGGTCGTGTTAAGTACAACGGAGACAGGGCCGAAATAACAAACCTCCCTCGGTCGACCGACGGACACCGGCGACGGTCTTTGGACTTCTTCTTGTTCGACCGTTTCCGGTTCCAATTTGTCGTGGATCACTGTATCTTTCAGGAATGTCATGTGCCATCTGTGAAACCGATCGGTGATGAATTGGCGATGGACAAAGGCTAACGCACAGACGAGTAGTAGCTTGGTCAGTGGGGTCTTAGAGCCCCCGGAGCATGCGCGAGGGACCCATGTGTGTGAGATGAGAACTGTGTAGTTTGTAAAAGGAAAAAGGGGACGAGAAACTGTTATTTTGACTGCTGGTACAATACCTGCCGGTACTTTTGCGACAGACCCTCGGCGGAGACTCGGCTGAGAGAATGCTCAGCCTTCTTTCCTCGGCTTTTTTGGCTAACAGAGGGTTCATCGCGGACTCTTTGGCCACGCAGGCCTGCAGTTCCGCCAGGAACTTCTCCACGAACCCGTTCTGCATAAACAACGAATGATGCAATAGGGTGGAACACTTGGGACGTACTTCGGGGTCCATGCGCAACATCTGAGCGAGAAAGTCAGACGCCGTGCTGTCCCACGCGGGGAACATTTTACGAATCGACGTGATTGCCGACTGAGGAGGTCCGACAAGCTCGTCCGCGCTCGTCAACCGTAACATACTACCGGGCGCGTTGCGACCCATCAACGCCTGATGCCTTCTGCACAGTCCACCTGAATCGGATCCGAAATGGTCACTAAAATCCAATTGCATGGACATAGATAAATCCTATGAGATCTTGCCACTGTGAAGCCCTGGGATAGTGTCATATTTTGGTAATTTTTTTTCAGTGAACTAAATGTTAACTAGAATGAAGTCTGTCTATTTAATAATACATTTATTAAGAGTATAAAAAGTTTCATTTTTGAATGTTATAAAATAAACATATTGGCGACGGTTTAGAGCTCAAATTTCGAAATTTGGTGAATTTTTTATAGTCCCAATAAATGTATTAATAAATATACAACACTCCATTTATGTTGAAAATTCCGTTCACTGGGAAAAAATTCCGAAAAAATGACAATTTTTCCGGGCTTCACAGAGGCAAGATCCCTTAAGTACGAAATAATTTAACGTGTACCGAGGGATTTGGTGATCCTGTAGAGTTGATCGACGTCACTGTCTCCTGGGAACAGAGGATTTCCAGTGATCATCTCAGCGTAAAGGCAGCCGGTCGCCCAGATGTCCACCGCTTTCCCGTATCGTGGATCGCCCACTAAGAGTTCCGGTGACCGGTACCATCTGGTCGCCACGTAATCCGTGCAGGATTCGTTCGGGCCGTTCACAAGACGAGCAAAACCGAAATCGCATAGCTTGATCACCCCGCTCGGCGACACGAGGACATTCTCCGGTTTGATGTCGCGGTGCATGATCTACGAAACACGAGAATCCCTTTTCTTTTTATCAAATCGCATCGTAACTGCTTCCCTCGTACACGGACGTTCAAACTCGGCTTCCACTAGGTGAAAAAGTGGCATAGGAGAAGGGCCTACCACTTGGTAAATTTATTTCAGGTACTGAATTAAAGGTTAAATTGAATGTTAATTTGATATAAGTTTCAGTAATTCCCGATACCAAGTGGTAAGAAGTACTTTTCCTACGCCACTTTTTCCTCTAGAGGAATCCGAGTTTGTTCGCGAGGGTACATGATTCCCTACTGTTTCGTATCGAACAGGAGTTATTATAGATCTAGGACAGAAGTGATCAACAGCCGATTCGCCAGCCACTTTGTCCCCCTCCCCTACCAGCTTGCACTGTTCTGTCGTAGGGGAATATTCCCCCACCGTATGTGCCGCATATCAGCGTGACTGTTAATAGTGGGGGAATGGACAGGGTGATCGTAAGGACGATTTCGTTCTTACCAACATGTAGGCTAGTCCTGTTCTAGAGGTTACCGGTACGATAACCACTCGCAATAAATTTCGCGAGGGTCTCCGACGTTATTTCCGTTCGTCGACCGTCGGATCGATATAATAATGCCGTTTAAGGCTTGTATGTTTATGCATCCAGACGAACTTCCTGAATAATTAGCGACCGTTTTACTGTAACAACTCGTGATAGAGCAAAGGAGAGATCTCTAGATGCGTCGTGAGCGTGGCTTGATATACTCGTCTACCAATCACAATGCGGTCATTCATTGGGGATCGAGTGATCGGTGTTGCTGGCGTGTACCGATTTAACCACGAAACCCCCACGAGAATGTAGATCTTTCCCGCTGTTTCGATCGAATTGATATAATTGAGTTACTCCCGAAAGTTTTTTTCCGCTCACGTTGTTTATGTGACAGAAGTTCAAGCCTCGAAGGACTTGATAGATGTGCCGCCTGGAGGCCTCCCAGCCCAGTCCGCCTCCGTGACGCTCTAACTCGTCCAAAAGTGTGTGGTCAACGTACTCGAAGACGAGATAGAATCGTCTTTTCTGACGGAACACCTCGATCATGTTCACCAGATTCTCGTGGCGCAGTTTCTGCAACAACGTACACGATCTATGAAAATATGGCTAGATACAAGAATAAGCTACAGTGACTGCGTACAAACAATAGTGGTTGTTGGAGCCCTAGAGGTACACGTACATTATAACGGCCAAAAATATGGGACCAGATCTGATAATTAAAGAAGGGGATAAATATTATTCTACAAAGATTTGATAAAAGTAACATACTAAAATATTTGGACATGATTCGTATGTGTACTTATTCCGTAAATTTTATTATATCGTAACAGAGTACTGTTCCATCAATCACGAACACTGGTCTCATACTTTTGACCGGTAGTGTACATCAAAATGTACATTTTTCATCGTCTTAAATAGTTTCACATCTTACGAAGAAAAAAAATATTTCATATTTAACGGGTACAGAAACTATGCCAGACGTGTGATGAAAGAAAGTAAACTGAACCAAATAAGTAGAACCCCGAAGAAGTATCACAGGACACATTTACCGGCTGGAATCCTGAAGGGTATCGCACAGCACACCAACAGAGAGTTTCACATTTAAAGTCACTATAGCTCAAAACTAGCACTATACCACATCGTATCTCCACCATTCAGGCATGTACCTTCAACATCCTGATCTCGCGGAACGCCATTTTCCGCACCTGGAGATCTTCGTCGGTCTCCAGGAATCTTTTGATGGCCACCAACTGGCCGGTTTCACGGTGTCTGCACTTCATCACCACGCCGTAGCTACCTTCGCCCACGACTTCCATCATCTCGTACTTGTCCATCCTCTTCCCGAACGATTCTTCTTCCGATCCAGTGAGTTGCTTTTCAATCGCCTGTCAGTACGAACCGTCGTAATGATATATTTTCTCAGGATTAATCAACGGCGAGGATGATAAATTCAAAGATCGATCGAAACAGTTGAAGAACTCCTCGTCGATTGTGACGGGATGTTTATCGTTTGAGACGAACTAAATGACTGTTCGAAACTTGTATACGGAAGGATCACCTTCCCTTTCCCCAACGACTTCATTGTCCGTGTGACGTCGTCGTGACTAAATACGGATTCCAATCAACAGGAACAACATTCGGGAACCAAGGTTCGAAAAGGAACTAAAGTCTCGACAGGAGAAACACGTTTCGTTTCCTGAAATCGACGTGGCCGCCTCCAAACTCGAACTGCTCCTACCAGCAGCAGAAACGGGAGACCGTCATCGTCGATTATCGATCAACCGGTAATTACACCGGCTGGTCGGCCACGCACGGTTCAACGGGAGGACCTGAATATTAAAAGAGGGTCTCCAGGGGGCGAGGGGCGAGGCTATCTGATCGAGTTCGAGGGTGACACGAAGAGTCACGACCTACCACTACCTGAAACTCTTTATTCTTATTCCGAACGAATACTTCTGCGTACCCAGATAGCACATGACTCCTTGGAGACGCCCATATTCACGGCTATTCTAACTCTAGTGTTAGTAAGTTATTGTAAGAAGTTTCCGAGAGTGAAACTAGAAGATACTCTTCCAGTGTCTCGTTAAACGACTCGGTTTATTTCTAGACCGCGGATGTTACGCGTCTTTTACTTCGAAATCGCGGTGAAATGAACCTAATTCGACCATTACCATGTTCACTAGGGTGGCCCTTGTTTTTCAACTCCCGATTTCTTTTGCCCTCACCTCCTAGTATGGTTCCATATTATAAAAGAAATCATTCTATGGGTGAGAGCAAAGAAATACAAAAATCGATCGACACGGGTCCAATGGAGGCCAGAGAATTTGGACCGCCTTCATGCTTCGACGTAGGCGAAATGTGAGAGGGGAAACACGTACACGGTCGAAATTACCGTGGCTGAACTTTGCGTGCCGAGATCCTCTCGCGGAGGCAAAAGGTCACCACGCGGTCGAACACCGGTCGAATGCCAGAAAGTTTTGCGAACTGTTTTCAGGTTTCGACCGCCAGCTCCCGGGATAATTGCGACAAGCGTGGGATACGGCTTAAGGTGCATATCTATTAGTTCGTATGGAACCAATCGTTGCGTAAAACCCGACAAACTACCAATTGGTCCATTGGTATGTCTTTGTATCACATTTTCATACGTCCATATTGGTACACGACGGAGTGAACACGCACCTTTAAACCTTGTGTAAGCAACCAAAATATTCACGGTTACTGAGCAATCGGAATACCCTCATTCTGACAGATTAGATAATTACTTTCATATTTTCCTGAAACTCCTAGTTCTACTTTCCTATAACGTACCAAGTGCTGTTTTAAAAAAGGAACATACAAAATTTTGAAGGGAAATTTAGAAATGGCCAAAGGTTACCGATGAATCTCACATGGCGATCAATATAAAGTAAATTTTCCAACGCGTTTCGTAGATATTACCGTGGATCTAACAAGGGTACACGGGTATGTAGGGCGCACCTTACGTCGTGAATTTATCCTCTGTAAAGATTCTAAAACGCCTTTCTGAACCTTTTGACGGCCGAGACCTCGTGTTTCGAAAGCACACTGAAGTGATCAGATTTCGTTAAACGAACTGATCCCATCACAGCTGTCTGAACATCGTACAGTGGTACAGAATCAAAAGTTAGCAGCTCGTATGATCGGAAAGAAATATATTTTATTTTCCAAAATATTCACATCGAGTGATTATTTAGTTTCTAAGTTAATGCCCATGAATAATGAAAAATGAAACCATGAAAGATTTGCTTCGCGCATTTCTGTTCCCCTCAGACCCTTTCGTATCATCAATTTTCAGGTAAAAATAGAAAGAAATTTCCTAACAATTCATATTGATAAAATTCTGTTCATTTATCTACTTGCACTTAATTATAAGTTTTCAAATTCTCGATCGCTCAAGCTAAATAAATATACGATCTGCTGAATTTGATTTTGGGCCACTGTGTATCGTGTCGAATCGACGTCGCGGGATTAGTTCGTGTAGATGGAAGGGTCCGTTGACTTCCCTGATACATATGTATGTCGTTAAACCGTCGTATTTCGTTCAAGCGTCGCGCTACAGGTCTCGATCCACTCCTTTCTGCCCAGATCCCCGTCGATCGATTTCCTATCACGAGAAAATTCTATTTTTATACATGAATCCGGTTTTTAAAGAAAAAAATGATAGACGGTAAAGACACGGCGGGACCGAAGAGTGGTCAAAGAGTAATTCGTCGTTTCGTAAAAGGCACCCGAGGCTGCTCGTGGTCGATCCGCGGCTGTTCGGTGGATAGCAAGCACTGAAATAGCTGCACACCACATGGCGGGGGTCTTTAACGCTGGCTAGGATTCGTCTGTATGCGTTTCTACGTGTGTCGCATGTGTGTCGCGAGGAACACTGCGGACCGTTCAGAATCGTGGCAGACCCGTCCGAAAGAACGCGCCCGTCGAATGCGGGGAAAGACGTTTCCCCGTCGAAAAATCGGTGTGTCGATCAGTGGATCTTATCGGCTACAGTGTCAGTAATTCCTGTGTCTTCCGATACTCTAAAACGAAACATTCACCGAATGTGAGAAAAAGGAAAGCGAAAAACAATCTAGAGGAAGTGGTACTAACGGTGCTCGCGATCGATCGTTGTCTGGAATCCAGGAGATCTGCAGGAAGCTGGTCTCCAGGAACGGGAACCGAGGAAGGACACCGATAGTGTCATCGGTAACGAGGCTACATCGTGTCAGCGTCGCCTGAAACATACATATATGACGATAAAATGAACGCGGGACTCGTGTCCGTGGAGGATCGTGTGCGTGAGACCGTGTGAAACCGTTTCAGCTCTCCTTGAGCTCTGTGTGCGCGCCCACGAGCCCGGCAGAAGCCGCTCCTCCGGCTCGGGGAGTTAAAGCCAGTCGAGAATTTCGCTCGCAGAAGCCGGAAGATAAATTCGGATTTATTCGAGGGAGAGGGACACGGAAAGGTAGGGCCTCTTGACCGAGAATGGTGTCTTCTTGGCGATGGACCGCGAAAGTTACGTCAACGTTTTACAGTGCGACCCTGAACAAGTCCCGAGGATGTTCCATTAATTGACGAGTTTCTTAACTTGACGCTGAAAAAAAGAAACAACAGATAAGTACTGTACCGTTCGACGATGATTATCGACAAGTAAAAAAAAGATGCGTGACAAGTAAAAAAAAAAAAATGAGTCTCCGAGGGGGTGGATCGGGCTGGTGGAACCGGTCCTCCAACTGCAGGAACCCTCTCAGATCGGCCTTGGTGCCATCAACGGGATCGGTAGCCAAGGTCAGAAGCCCCTTCAGCAACCCCACTACACGCCCCATCTGTTGAACTGGGTCTATCTGGCGATCGCCGATCAGAATCATGCTCAACAACCGGACCAGGTATACCACACACTCCTGGAACCTTAACCCTTTCAGATGGGGGTCACATTTGTGCACACGAAGTCTCTTACATTTTTCTTATACATTTAAATTATTTTCATGCTCGGAATCCTTTCAATAGATCTAGTGAATTTTGAATTGAGTAACAAATCTTTTTTTTAAATTAAACAAATTTGTTTAACATCATATCATCTAAACCAGGGTCACCAAATAACCCATTTGATAATTTCAAATGATATTTTTCTTTTTACCCTCAAAAGAAAATTCAAGTCTGAAAGGGTTAACACCAGTTTTGTTCAAGGCGAATAATTAAAATAACCAGATCAACATACGCTTGTTCTGTACCCCTCAAAGAGCAAGCTCTTACCGACAATCTGGAGCGGTTTTCCAACGACGGCGTCGCAAACGTACATGCATCATCGGGACGGTTTGAGCCCGATCGGGGCCAATCTGGCGGACAGTATCGGTGATCTAGCGGATCATTTCACGGAACTGGGTCTGCTGGATCGGAAACCGACCAAGAGGCCGCCGCCTAGCTATCTTTGTCATCTGTGCTTCAAGAAGGGCCACTACATCAAGGATTGTCCACAGGTGGTCTTACGGCTCTGTTTACAAAGTTCCCTCCTTCCCCTTCCCCTCTCAAGTATTTGAAAGATCGGAACGATTCCGCGACGGTCTTAAAACGACGCGCGTCGCTTCTTCTCGACGCAACATTCCGGTTACTCAATTGAACGTTAATTGAGACAACAAACAGAATTTCTCTGATCGTGGAGCATGACGTCATATCTCTAGTCATCGACCGGCATGGTCTGCGGATGAGTTTGGCCTCGTTAACGTCGTGTTGTGTGCACGCGCCACGTTTTTTTCCGGGGAACCAGAAAGTATAGGCTGTACTTTTGAAAACCAGTCATACCCGATTTAGCTGAAATTTTGCAAATACCTTAAAAATTTATTTTTAGGTATTGCCGTTAGATATCGTATTATCAAGCCGTCCCAATTATCGATTATGTGTTTTCGCTAGCGTCCGATTGTTTACATCAGCGTTTCGATCGATTCGGAGTTGGCCCCAAAGGAGTCTCCACCCTTAAGAATATAAGTAGTGACTATGAATTCCGGGCATAGTTCGAGATAAAAAAGTAATTCAGATTTAATTAGAGGAGTTCAAGAAAAAAGGTATCATTATTACCTTAATAACTTTTCAACAAACAACGAGCAATGGCTGAAACCTTTACGGTGAAATACTGTCCACAAAATTTTCGATCTTACTCTCGCAAGCATTGTTTTTATGTAAAATAAAGATATTCAGAACATTTCAGCCGAATCGGGCGTGATCGGTTTTCGGAAATTTCGCCGGAATAATTTTCGAATCCAATCGTGGATGTTTCTTTTTCTCGTCGTCGTGTATACCAAGCAAACGGTTTCAGGAGGAGCATGTGTCTTAAAATACACGGATGACTAACCGGCCCGTTAATTAGAACATTCCCGTGAAAGCCCCCGTATGTGTGTTGTCCGATTGCAGGCGCGGCCAAAGGGTGAGGGTCTGACGCCGTACCAGGGAAAAAAACGGTGCTTCGGAGAGTACAAGTGTCCCAAGTGCAAGCGCAAGTGGATGTCGGGCAACAGCTGGGCGAATATGGGCCAGGAATGCATTAAGTGCCACATAAACGTCTATCCGCACAAACAGGTGAACACACACGATGATGATTCCCCGCTCGTCTGTGTACTTTTTTTTACGTAACCTATAATTCTCTATCACCTGTTGCGTATGCGCAACGAGACAATATGTCCGCCACCGCACATTTTTGTCGAGACGTGGAGAAATGCGTTGGTCCAGGGGAACCACGTCGAAATATCATGCGATCCGGCGAAGGCTAATTATAGGTCGCGTGTAATCGCCGCCTCGCCGTCGATCGTCCCCGGTTACGCAGAAAATACATACATACACCCGCTGTCGGTTTTCATTCCGAACGGCAAAAACTCTCTTTCCCGTCTCAGTTGGATGGTCCGTGTGCGTCGTAGGCTTTCATACGACCGAGTATTTTTAGTTGGCACGAGCAAAAATTACGTTAATATAAATATCCTGAACACGCGAGTAGTCGCGGCTGTTTTGCGTCGCGGTCACGGCAATTACGCTCTGCCGTCCCCGGTTTTCGCGACGGGTTACGCAACTGTATTATGTATACAGCGGACTCTTGGTATATTGCCGCTGCTGGGGATGTAGAGGGGAGTAAAATTACCGACGAAGTGCAGGAGTGGATCTAACATCTATATAGTGTATTTTTGCGGCCCACTTTTCTGGGACGTCGACGGTCTCCATTAATATTTTAGTACCACTGCTCACGGTTTTCGTAACGTGAATGTCATTACTACGTTACTAGCGACACTAAAATGGAAATAGGGCGACGTCACCCTAGTAAAAGTGGGCCGAAAAAAGTACATTGGACGAAATGTCTACTTCTATACATCGTCTGTGGTTCTACCCAGTTCTATTGTCATAGCCCTAAACTTAGCGTTCGCGCAAGAACCGAATCGTGTTGGTACAACAGCGTGCGCAACGTGGTGGAAGAGTGAATTTGTGTGCGTGGAAGTACTTATGCAGGGGTAGTGCCACGTGTGGCAATATAGCAAGCTGCAATTGATGATTGATATACATATCAATAGGTAGTCCACTGTATATATGTAATATGGTCCCCACATATTTTCAGAGACCGCTTGAGAAACCAGACGGACTGGACGTGTCCGACCAGAGCAAGGAACATCCGCAGCATCTCTGTGAGAAGTGCAAGACCCTGGGTTACTATTGCCGGAAATATCAGTAGTAAAGTGAGAAACAGAAAATCGGCGATTGTACACACCTCTCAGAATGGTATCTTCCTCCCCGTTCGCCTTGGGACGCGGCACGTAGAAGACCTGTTGCTCTCTGTGATAAATACAAGAATATCGTTCGTTCTCTGTGACGAACAAACACCGGCGCCGACACGGTATATATGTTTCTCTACAGAACACAGCGAATTATCATCGGTGGTGGATTGTGTTTCATCGAGGAAGACGCCAGAAACGCAGTTCGAAAGCGTTTATACTGTTTACTTGTCAAAAACGAGACACACCAGAAATATGCCCGTAGTCAGGGACGCTCGACGAAACGATTGCGGCTACCACGAGAGTGCTAATTATAGTTACTCTCAGTCTCGAGAGGAACAGACACTGGCAAACTTTACACTTGTGTCCACGGCGATCGAACGCGCACAGTTTTCTGTTCAGCAGCGAAAAAGGATCCGATTGACACGCGTGATACAGAGGCCTGTGGAAATGATCATTCGTTAGCCACGATCATCCGGTATATTTCACGTGTATGTACAAAGTGATGTCGACAAGAGATTCGCGTGACCCGGAAATCGCAGCCGTTTTCGCGAGAACAAGGTCGGGTCCTAATCGAGTTTAGACGGTCAGCAGGGATCTGTTTGTGATCTAAGAAACGGCAGAGAGACTAAATACTACAATCTGATTAATTCTCCGTCTACGAATCACACTGTACATAGGTCTGTCGAGTGCAATTGTAACACGTAACCGTGGGCACGACTGAACCCCAGCCGCTACTCGCCTACGGTTCAATTTTTTCGATAAGTTTTCTCTCGGCGGTCTCGTAGTCCGCGCCACTTCGCTATACAGATTGTTTACATGCTCGTTCGGTTGGTAAAACGCGTGTGTGGTTCGACGGCAGGACACGCGCTTGTACAAATTCTAGAATGGTTGTGCGTCGACATTGTTTAAAATATGTATATATTAATAATAATATTAAATACATCGTTGGAAATATTATTATTAATATATCGTAATTCGAATATATACACAAGCCAAAGGTCTATATACTGTGTTGTTTCTAATGATTCCCTCCATCTCGCCTGGAACAGCACTCGGGGAATTTTCTTTTCCACGGACAAAACTGTGTGTGTGTCTCTCTCTCTCTCTCTCGTGCTTTCATAGAAATATTCTTTTATATCATACAATATACATAACGAATGTACAGTGGTCAAGGATTAGTCACGGCGAATAGTCGATCCGCCGCGGGATCCTCGCTAAAATACGCCGCAGAATTAAACATCGTCGCCGCCGTAGAATCGACAGCCGTCGTCTGCAAAGAAAATATATTCCGATTATTGTTACTTGCATGCCATACCCGTGATAAATTAACGCTACAATTATGTACAAACACAGAAAAGAAAAAACAATGGGGGGAAAAAAAAAGAAGGAAGCTAGGCTAACTCGATGCGTCTTGGCAGTGGGGACGCGTGTCATTGCGTACGTATATGGCGGGAACTAAAGCGAAACAAAAAGAACGACGTTTTTTCAAACCAATTAGAACCGAAGCGAGCGTACACATACACACACGTGCGGAAGGATTAAAAAAAAACCCAAAAGAGAAAACGACTAAAGCAGGGAGGATCAACCGATGATCCGTATCGTTCCTGCTAGAATACAAGACATTGATTCACCTCGGACGAGTTCGCGCGGTGCGACGAGTTCACCGTTCCCACATGTTGCGATTCCTGCTTATAGGGTAAATGCTGTACAGAGTGCTGCTGCGGTGACGATTGCTGCTGCTGTTGCCTCCATTCCTCGTACTTGCTCAGGGCAGCTTGCTCGTTCTCGTTGGTAGTCTTTGGTACCCGCTCAGGATCCTCTTCGCTGGTTTTCGTTGCTTGCTCTTCGTTGGTCACTTGGCAGACCGGTTGGCAGATATCAAACATTTGTTGCGCGGCCGGCTGCACTGCAACTGGGCTCGACACACTTGGTGGCTGCTGATTGACCAGCGTGATCACCTGTTGCGGTTCTTTGCCGTCGAACGGCGCGGGTGGCAACGGAATCGACATAGAGACGACGTTGTTTATTGGGCTAGGATTCGCAGCAGCTTCCACGGTCTCGGGTATAATGTCAGCCTCCTGCTGTGTCGGAAGCTCGGTTGGACTTATTACGTTCTCTGGCTGTGGCGCTATCGATCCCGGAAATAACGGCTGCTGCTGCTCCACCAAACTGATCACTTGCGGTGTTTGTTGTGTCTGCGACGGTGGCGGAGGCGGTGGTGGTTCGGGGAATAATTCGTCCTTTAAATTCGGTAAGAATCCGTCGATGGTCCTCCAGGTGGGCGCCCATAGGTTCGAATTCGGCGCAAGAACGTTGGCCGAGGACATCACCAGCAGCATGTTCTTCAGCGATTCCGGTATAGCTTCGAAGAGGAGTTCGCTGTTGTCCGCGTGCATATAGGCGCGAAGTAAGTCCAAAACTGTAAGCCATAGAGGTAGAAATCCTGGAAGGGATAGCAGAGGATTCAGATGATGAAGAAAGACCTTGGACAGTAACATCGCTGCCCTGACTCTTGTTTCTTCCACTCCGATGGGATCGTTCGCCGCTATCGGTCCCAGCAGTTGCGCGAGCAACGGGAAGAGTACCTGTTCCAAACACTGGGACCACTCCACCGCGGATAATTGAGCTAAATCGTGAGCCAGAAGCGTGCTCTGCAGATACGTTATGGCCGCTGTGCGAACCGGCCGACGCGCGTCGCAGCACAGTCTCGCGATACCTTGCAATAGAGGCCTCCATGCCTGTGGCCACAAAGACACCCCTTCGGTGGCGTTGCTCTCTTCTGCCCACCATCGGAATATCTGAGCCGTTCGTGTGTGCAGTGTGTGCATCAGGTCCAGCAGCTGAATAGGACTCTGTTGGTAGCCTGCTGGTTCTTCGGCCGTGCTGTGCACTCTGTTCCTCTTCCCTGTGCACTGGAGAACCGCTTCGGCGAAGGTCCTCACGCAACGAATGCACAGCTCGAAGTTAAAGGGGGTCACGTGCGCCACATCTCTGACTAGAAATGTCAAACTTTCGCAACACTTGACGAGGGCCGCTGGATCGTGTGGTTGCAGATCACGATCAAGAACAATAGTGTCAGCGGCCACTGGCAGAGGTGCTTCCGTTCCCGTGGGCGACACGAGAACCCATTCCGGCACCGGACTAATAGGCCTGGGATCCAACACCGACGTTCTAGAATTCGAGACCTCGTCCAACACCGTGTTCGATTGCTTCGGCAACAATGCTCCTGCTCCGGCACATTCCAACAGACTAAACACTACTTTCCAGTCCTCTGTGCTATGAATATTCGCGGCACCGGTCTTCAGCAACTCGAATAAGCCATACGCGATCTGACGAGCGAGAGGTGCCGTGGTCGCCGAAGGTAAGTGGGTCAAAGGTTGTGATTTTCCCTCGCGGCTGTTGTCAGCAGACCATCCAGGTGTGCCTGAACTATCGGCCAGATGCTCATTGCTCTATCTCGATTCTGAATGGTCACTTCTAGCAGCAGCTCCAGCATGAACACCGAGATATCTTCGTCCTGATGGTTTGTAAATACCAGTGCACCGACCAGAGACCGCAGTGACTCGACCTGCAAGAATTTGCTCTCCTCAATGATCTGTTTGAGATAGCAGTTGACCACGAATTCGGTAGCTTTCTTCCTCGCCGCTCCTTCCGCCAGATGGGACATGCGCGAGGAGTCCAATGTCATATAAGAATACAAGCTGGACAATATTCCCTGATCAGTTGGCGGTGGCTTGGGCGTCGCTGGTTCTCGAAGCAAAGATATCTTTCCCGACGGATCTATAAAATCTTCTCCCTCGGTGAGGTTCTTCGGTAATAATCTTGCTTTGTACAACGATTGCAAACAATCAACGATATTCTTCCACGAGGCTCTCATCGCATCCCCGTGCACGTGAGTGATTTTGAAGAGAGTTCTCGCGGCTAACTGACACTTTCCGCTTCCGCCGAGATGCAGAACCACTTGATCGGGCTCGCCACCGGTTGCGAGACCCGTGAATTTACACAAACTGACCACGAGCGTGTCTAGATCACTGCTCATACCGTAATGGGCACTTATTGATGCGCATCTAAAACCGAAATAGGAAATTATTATCATCGTTCCTTTATTTAACCATTCAGTTGTAAGTCTATCAGCGTGCAACGAACCCGAGGAATGTATCAACAACTCGACGTTGCAGGGACCTATCCGGTGCTTTGTCGTACGCTCTGCAAAGCGCACTTATAATGGGAGCCCATGCCTGTTCAGCCAGTTCCTTGTCAACGAATTCACCGTTGTTGCCAACTTTTAGATAGGTGCTTTCCGGCCCGGCACCTCTACGTAATAAAACTTTCCACAAGTAATTGTCTTTCACCAATCCAGTTTGTTCAGCTGGCATCACAATTTCCTCGCCCCTAGGAATGATACTCCATAGAATTCACGCATCAAAGTGAAGTCATTAATGGGTCGACATAAAAGGATTCTTACTTGATCGAGGTATATATTTCATCGAGCATTTCTTGATCGAAATCAGAACTGCCATTGACCTTCTTCAGATTTCTTTTAAACGCGTCCGCGCTCATTGGAGTATTCTGCCGTTTCACGTTGTAATTGTGTTGATCGACGTTCAACATAATCACAGCGTATGCCAAAGTAAACGCAGCGTCTGCCGAAGCAAACGGATTGCCATTACTATCCTGGGAAAAACAAACGGTTCTTCTTTACGTGTAATTCTCCTTGCATAATCGCGCGAATACGTGGTTCGCCAATAGCGAACACTAAACTCACGTGCCAATGTTCCGCAAACTTTTCGAGCAACAGAGAAATCAGTGGCGCTTCGCCAGGAAGCCGAAAAGATTCCAAGTAAAGACGCAGGGCTTGATCAATTCGAGTATTCCTCAGATCAAAATTATGGACGAAACAATTTAGAACGTTTTTGTTTTCCTTTTTACTGATGTATTCACCGATTGCTTTCTTGTCGAGGCCTGGATTTTCCTTCAAAAATTTTGCTACTTTCTCTGGATCCGGATTACCCGGGCTACCGCCCAACAGACCGTGCTCTGTAAGCTTAGCAATTCCTTCTCGTGGATTCTCATTAAATTTGTCCGTTCCCACCACCAGCCACTGCATTAAAAAAATAAAAAAGCATAAAATTGTTAAGGTCCTTCCCATTTACAATAGAGACGCTGCAACGTACCCGTTTATTAGCTTTTATAGTAAGTAATTCTTCTCGCGTGGGCAGATTCTGCGACGCACTGTGTCGTGAAGGTTTGCACAATTCTTTGTGCCCTTGGCATCTGATATCCATACCAGAAATCAACGTGATTATTGCGTCCAAAGAGATGAATTGCATACTGTACATTGTGCCCATTAACGCGGAGGCATTCTAGCAGCAGAAATTCGGTAAATGCAACACTGCTGTCTCTCACTGGAATTACCATATCGTGTAATAAAGATTATCTACCTTTGACAGGAGCTTCATTAATTCTTCGTACAAATTCGTCGAATATAAACCACAATCGTAGTTCAGGTAAAGTTCAGCGGGTAATCCGGGTATTCTCCATAACCTTACAATGGCCTCTACAATCGAACAGAATAAATATTACACGGCCAGTTGACAAGAACATATATTTTTACATCGCAATAAATTCGTACCGAGCGCTAATTCTCGTTGGTCATACGATATTCTATTCGATTCCGAGTTAACAATTTCCATTAATTTCGTTATATAATGCTCCATTTGGAATTTCAAATGTTCCTTCTGCGATTCGAATAATAAAAATGACACTTGCAAGTCTGCTGCGAGAATCGACAGTCGATCTGTGCCAAGAAGCTAATAAAATACAATTATTATTATTACACGGATTTTTCCCTGATTTTTTCAAAGCAAATGAATACTATTATTTCCTTACTAGGATAAGATTTCTACAAAGATCATCTTTCACGAGAGCGAGTAACGATGGAAAGTTCGAAAGAGCATCGGCAGCGATTTCCAAGGCTACTTGTAACAGACTCAGACCTAGATGAGTCATTACTTCATTATTCTGTTTATCAAGAGGGCTGCACAGAGACACGAGGAACCGAAATAATTCACGGACACACAAAGCACCGTACGGCGTTAATTGTTGGAGCGCCATGAAACGAACTCCTTGGGCATTAACGTATTCTTCAACTTGTTCGGATTCTTTAACTTTCGACGCTTTGTATCCGCTACTTGTACTATCGTCTATTGATAAATCCTCTACACTCCCTGTTGGAGACGTTATTAAGTCCGTGTTCTTTTCATCGTTATCCGACTGGTTCTCTGTAAATTAATACAAATAATACGATTGTTCTTTTGCCTACGACGGTTCACTTACTCACAGAACAGTCGTCGTAATTACCTTGAGTTTCCTGTTTGACTACAGACGTTTCCTTCGTTTCACTGTGTTCCCGCGTGTCTTCCTTTTCCATACTCTTACATTCTTCCTGTGTGACTTGCTCCTTTTCCGTCGAGACATTTGCACTTTGTACTGTTCCATCAGCGTTTTCGTTAGATTCCGTTACGTCTATCACATCTTCATTTTTCTCCTTCACATCTGAATTGTCTTCTTGTTTACAACCTTCATCCTTCTCAGTTGAGTTTTTTCTAATATTATCCTTGTTATCGTTCTTTTCATCTTCTGATTTCTCAGTAGTTCCTTGATCCAAGGACCCTTGCATATCAACGATATTTCCTGCGGAACCAACGGGTGTTGTCGCTAAATGGCCAGTCTTCGCTCTATCCACAGAGTTCAAGAGCTGAGGTTCACTGTCACCTGTGTCCTCTAGATTTGGTTTAGCCTTTTGCTTGAAATGATTCTTGTTTCTTCTATTTTTGCTACGAGTATTTTCCATACTGTTGGCTCTCATTTTATTCATATTTAACAGAACTCTGGTGTCATCTACAAACTGAGGTAAACGGGTAAAAAGATGTTGTACCATGTCTCGTAAACAATGTTCAGCTGTTCTTCTCAACAGTTCACTAAGATTGGTGCTGAAACATATCCTAAAGCAATTAATCATAATTTCGCAAATGCTTTCGTTTGATAGATAGTCTCCAGCTTGTGATAGCATAAGAGCTCTTAGAACTTGAAGTATCCTCATTAAAACAACTCCATCTCCAGCTGCATCGGTACCAACAAACCTTGCACGTGTTACAGCATCTGCCACAGCCTCTACACATTGGGCTATTGCTGGATGATCGGCATCTATAATGATCACACCATTGTTGTGTACGTTCCTGGATATATCCTTAACTTGTATAATTTCATACGCACCAATGAAACCATAAGATATCATTTTATTGACAGCAGACAGTGCAATACTGGTAACAGGTCCTGTAGTTTCCTCGGATCTTATAATTTCTAAAAATGGAGCCAGAAACACTCCTGGTTCTAGCTGAGACAAATCTTTTGCTTCATTCAGTGCCTCCTTTAAGGTAGACAAGCCTTTCATAAGACTGTCCTGATCGTCGTCCTTAAAAGTAATTAAAAACAATCATTCGCAATCGAGTTGAAATTTCAAATATATACAACAACAAAAACGTAAACGATCAATACTAATTGACATTGTTGTCCTTTTAGGGTGTTGACATACTATTTTTTACAACCTGTTTGATCCGACGATGACGAAAATATATACACGTGATAACAGTATGTAAATGAGAGAAGACTTTATGGGAAATGTGATTATTTTTTTCCTTTTTGGTAATCAACTGGAACGTTTTGCTGTACCAGAAGGCAACTGACAACATGTTCTAACCTGATGGGAATGGGAAGACCATCGGTTACCCCGTCTCATAGCCGTCATGAGGAGGCAGACTTCGCCCTCGACGACGTACAAGCCACCTCCTGGACAGGCCATTTTTGTGATCCTGCTCATCGTCCTCGTGACACTTGTTCTTACACCATTTTCACTCCGAAGAAACCTTACAAACAGCTCAATAATTCCGTAACGTCAAGTGTCAAGAGAACACTTCCAACGCGATAGTCATTAACTGTACTGTTCAGAAAGACGTTCGACACCTGACAGTACTTCTGCTGACGTCGTGTCGCCATCTACCAAGGGAACAACAAATTAAGAAACAGTTTATTCTACGTAGTGCTCAAAAAGTTGTGCTACAAACAAGGAGACGAAAAAGCAAGTAAAAAGTAATCAGCTCTTTTCTTCTTAACGATTATACGCACAGCCAGTTTTATTCGATACCCTTTACACCCTTTGCTACAGAGAAATAAGACGTTTCTTGTTTGAAAGAAATCACAAGTAGAATGATTCTACGCAATTCATGGTCAGACATGTAACAAAGTTGAAGATTCAATTTTAACCCTAACTTGATAATCTCATACAGTTAATACATGTTACTTATATTTTTTTTTAAATAAAATTAATATTTTTTAATAATTACAATTCTGGGAATCTGTATTTTGCTTTGTAATTGATAATTGAGTGACTCACAGATATGACAAGGTGGGGGTCCTATGATGTGGTTCTGAGTAATTCCGTATCCAGTTTAAGCTATACCAGATTGTTAGTTCTGTTCCTTGAAAATTTGTCCATTATTTCATAATTTATCGTATGCAATACGAGTACTGAGATATCCTGAAGTGGTCTAAACGTTTGTGAGTATTTCTACCTCTAATTTGAATGTAATTGGGATTCAGAAAGATTAGTATGTACACACGCCTCTGTTCGTTAACACAACTTTCAAATAAACACTTTAACATTTAGAATGTAACTGCGATAACAGTCGTGAAATTCGTATTCAAATACGACATTTTACGATTCTTACTTTTTCCCACTTGGCGACAGTCTTCTGTTCGACCATCAACCTAAAGCGGATCAATTGACATCACGAAAATTGTCGACAATGTTTTCCATTTTCAAAAAAAATTTTCAAATGAAAATGTATAAAATATCATTGATTTTTATAAGCGATATGGCAAATGTAATTCTTGAGAACAGTGCGGACTGTGAAGGTTGGAAGAGAGATTACGATAAAGGTGATATGGTTCTATAGGCATTAATTTTTCAAGATAGTAAAAAATTTTTCAAATTTCACGTCTGAGGCGATCTGTTAACATGGAAATACAAGCATTACATTACGTTTTTACTAATAATTTGTTTAGATAAATACATTGGCTTCAGTTTCCAGCACAAGAGAAACAAACATGCCTGTAACCAAAGAACAAGTTAACCAGCTCATTGCATCAGACAAAGTGGTGATATTCTCTAAGACAAGATGTCCATACTGTAAAATGGCCAAGCAGGTACTATTGATTTCATTCTATGTAATTGTGCATTTTTCTTTGAAACTATTTACTATGCATATTATACTGTTTCAGGTGTTTGATGACTTGCACGAAAAATACACTGCCATTGAGTTGGATGAGAGGGAGGATGGCGATGAAATCCAAGATATACTAGGAGAAATCACCTCTGCGAGAACAGTACCTAGAGTATTTTTAAAAGGAATATGTTTGGGAGGTGGCACAGATGTCAAGAAACTGTATGATAATGGAGAACTTCAACAGAGATTATAATGCATGTGATACTTAAATTTGCAATATCACGATTATTTATACATTGATCCCCTTTATGTAATGTAATAAAAATTGTTACTTAAACAAATCAAAGAGGTTGTTGTAATTTTTTTGAGCTTCTATTATGGTTAACAGTTTATAGCTTAATAGGTCATACTATATGGAGTTTGAAGTATAAAGAACAAGCTCAAGCTATATAATTGAATTATAAACAGAAAAAATGGTGGTAAACATACTGATCACTAAAATAAACTGAATGAACGAAACATTTTTTGTTTCTTTTTTTTTGGCATATTAAAGTAACGTATAATTACTGCATTATTTGAGGAATGCTATGTATATACTGGATGACGAAAGTGAATCGCGAAAAACTATTTCGTAGTTTGCCACCACGTGTCCCACGATCGTGAACACCTATGTGAGTCAATTCACCTAAAAATATCCACTGACCGGTGGAACAGTGTGACAGTAGTGCATTGGGAACGAATGAAAATGGATTTTTCACAATATCGAAAGATTCTGGTCTACGCTTTGACTTTCTTTGCTTACGCGTGGTCTGGTTACGGAGCTGGTTTGTTAACGAACTTAAAGGACGCTGTACTGGCCGCGGAATCTGTCTTCCAGGATTTATTTCAAAATGCAATCACCGTAGCGAGGAAAATTAAGGACATACACGAAGTGTTTGACGCAGCAGTGGAAGAAAATTGTGTTTTCAAGTGTCCAGGAGGTAAATGATTAACCTATCATCACTGACGCGTAGTTCTCAACATTTATATCTTATATAAAAGTCACTTCACAGTCCGTACACGATGACGTTCCCCATTGGTCAGACCCTCCGACACGCAAAATAACGGTACGAACCGTTTTACTTATACAAATAAATCATGTTTAACGTTATATCAAGTTATATAATATATAGAATTGGCAATATCGAATACCGTTAAAAAAATACTATTTAAAAGAAACAGAATTGTATTTTTAGAGAAACGCGTGTTCGGTGACATGGTCGAACGTGATTGGTCGGTATTTACTGTTCGGATTGGCGGGAATACTTTATGATTTTAGGTGCGATTCCGAAACCGGATTGGAATCACAAACCACAAAGCAACGGATGCGGATCTTTGGGAATAGAGGTGTGCACATTTTTCAAAATCGCATAAACCCATGAATTGTCTAGACACTAATCACTCGGTGTAACGGTTACAGATAAATCAAGAGTATTTACCACTGACGGAGATGACCAAATGCTGTGACGCGCACGACATTTGCTACGATACATGTAATCTGGACAAGGAGAAGTGCGACTTGGAATTTAAACGATGTTTATACAAATACTGCGAAGGCTACAAAACGGCCACGATCATAAATACGTGCAAGGCAGCTGCGAAAATGCTTTTCACGGGTACAACGACTCTAGGATGTAAGAGTTACATGGACGCCCAGAAGGAGGCGTGTTACTGCGGGGATAAATGGAACAAGAACAAGAAACCAAAAAAAGCCGCCCAAGCGGGAGGAGAATTGTAAAATTATTATCTTCAAGTCCGAAACAGACTTTTGCGAATCTCAAACGAGGATTATATGTATTTATTCTATGTTGAATAGGTCGCGACGATAGTAATAAGAATGTTTTGTACTCGACCAATAAAACTAGGAACGTGAAAAAGCCTCCGGTGTTTTGCCCCCCTTCACTGCACGAATTTTTGTTTCCGTTTTTGTTTGTCTCTCGAAAAAAAAAGAGAAACAAGGAAAGACATACCCTGTCAACGTCATTTCGGCCACGGTTTTCACGGCTTTTCCGTAATAAAAATTTTCAAGTAATGCCGTTTGCAAGATAGACATTTTTCAGAGAAAAGAGTATCACAAGAGAGGGGGGGGGGTCTCGCGGTGAAAAATGGGAAACGCCGGATCCTCGCAACCGTCGAAATCGCGAAAAGACCGGAAGAAGGAAGGCTGCGACGGGTAAACCAATTTCAAGCTCATTCAAACACTCGACTCGCGGCAACGTTTCGTTAAGAGATTATTTTCACTTACAAGTTACATTCTTTCATTTTGGGTAGCGTAGATGATGACCGTCCCGGAAGGAATAAGAGGAGGGCCCTCGGTAATGGTTGCCGGACCAGGTCCAAACAGAAGGAGACTATCAAGTGTCGGACCACGAATCCTTTCATCATCTTCTTTTTACGGTTACGTAGTAAAAAGCCGAAGGAACACGTAACCGTGATCGCGCGAGCAGCGGGAAAATTGTGGACTAAAATGACCCCTGAGCAAAGAAAGAAATACATCGATTTGGCGAACGCCGAGAAGAAGAGGCGAGAAGGAAGGAAAAGAATGACAAGAAAGTTAAGGTAAATTAGCCATGGGCGTAGCCACGATATCAGTTAGGTGGGGGACAATTTAAAATGTTTCCCCCTGGAAGGGGGGCAAAATCCAATTTTTTCTGTCCTGGGGGGGGGGAGCATTTTTGAGTTTGTATTCTCTCCGTTTTTGATATTTTGCTCTATCTATATACGTAATCTTTGCCGCAGAAAAAGAAAAAGACATCGGTCACATTGAGAAATGAAACGAGAAATCAAACAAGTAGAAATCGTACCGATCCAAATAAATAATCAACGCCCAGATCATCACCAACATCGACAAGAGTCTCACGTATTTTTGATTTCTTTTTATTTGTTAGTAGTTTTTTTTTAGACCTATGTACAATAAATATTGATGTATTTTTACACTATAATGACCTTTCTTATCCGTTTTAAAGAGTTACGTTAAAAACCGAGGGGGGTAGCAATTCTCCTGCCTTCCCCGGGCAATTCTTATCGTCTCGTTCTCTGAAAAAATTGAATTCCGTAACGTACCATAAATATATATTATTATTTGTTCGCGACACCGTTCCGCGAAGCGTCGCCGACGCGAGGGAGGGAAATTACAATTCAAAGTACACGAAACGAGCACCATTGTTTGTTTTTTTTTTGTTTTTCCTTGAATTTCCCTGCAGACAGGTCGAAGGATGACGGAGAAGACGTGGGAGCCTCCTCGTCATCCATTTTTGTTTTCTTTCTTTCTCTCACACTCTCTCACTCACTTGACGATTCGATACAAAAAATAATTTTAGCATAAATTTTCGCGACGCTTCGTGGAAGAGTTCTGTGTTACGCAGTCATAAACCTTCTTTCGAATCTAAGGTGTGTGTGTCTTTCACTCTCTTTCTCTCTCTCTCTCTCTCTCTTTCTATGTGCCCTTTCGCTCCAAGTACTAGCTAGAATAAAAACCATATTACATACAAGTAGGGAATAACGACGAATGCATATGATCACGATTAGGGTGATATCGCGTGAAGGGTGTGTCTGGAAAAGGGGAGGGGAGCTGGAGTGGCGGTGATATCCAGAAACGCGGGTGCCGATGTTAAATGATAAACGATGATAACACGGTCAATGGGGGGGGAAGGGGGGCAACGAACGCGTTGACGATGAGCCCGACACATGACAATCGTAATAATTAATTCGCAATAATACAATTCGAATTATCCGTAGCAGTAAGTATTTTATGATACAGTAAAGTACAGCGTGCCTCGAAGAAAAACGTAAACAACAACGTTCAACAATCGATAATATCAAACAGAATATTCTTTGTAAGTATTTATATATATATATAATATATATATACTATTATACACAAAACGTAACACTGTTGCGATCCTTTTTTTAAGAGGGAATGCCCTACTAAAAAATAGGTATTCGCTTTTTTTGTCGATCATAGATTCAAGGGGTGCCGGGGTCTTCTTTACCTCGAATTAATCGACACGATGGATCATTCTCAAGGTACAATGATAGTTAACCGTTTTCTTTTTCTTTTTTTTTTTGTTTCATAAATGCACAAGTTTTACGAACCCATGCTTCGCAATTTCCTATCCGATACCGCGCGATTGTATCCCCGTACATATACACATATATTGACAAGTTAAGAATCCTTCTTTAACACAAACCTCGTATTCGGGTTCCTCTAAGAACGCAAGTGCTTCCATCGATCGCGTGTGCCCGTAAATGAGGGAATATAGTACGTTCAAGCCTCTTGGGGTCAACTAAATTACATCAAAAATTCGTTACGTTTCGAAAGGAGTGGATAAAAGCAGACGAAGAAGAAGAAGAAGAAGAAGAAACGAACAAAATTCGTGTGTTTAAAAGTTTGTCAGCGGTATTACATACAAAAAAAAAAAAAAAAAAAAAAAAAGGAAACGTACTTCTCTCGTGGATTATTAAAAGGCGCTTCGAAGGATAAACCGAGCGTGGAAGCGAATGCAAGGAAGTTAACGAGTCCTCTATGGTAGGAATAGAATCAACCTGGCCAACTTGGTGGTCACTCTCTCCGGCAGAGTTGCCAGGGGTATTTACTTTTAGGCATGAACTTTTCAAATTTTTGTAGAGATCTAGGAGTCTTATCTCGCTAGAGCATTACAGAGATGAGTATGTTCATCCGCCATTTTGGGTCCTCCGCAGAGAGAAAGCAATGGAAAGCCTTGACCTGGACCCTCTGTAGACTTATCCATCCTCTGGACCCAAAATGGCGGATGAACATACTCATCTCATTTATGTTATGATGTATACACTTGTAAGACCCCTAGATCTCAACAAAAATTCGCCAAGTTGATGCCCAAAAGTAGCTACCCATGGCAATCTTACTCTCTTGGACCTCGAGAATCCCATCTCGGCTGATCCATCTCCAGTGCGTCACGCAAAGACCAGGCTTGTTGCCTCTCTCTTAATCTCATTCAACCGACAACCTCTTCGAGTCACTGTGTCGCAATTCCTGGAGAACGCACCGATGGGCACGTTAACTTATCTCCCGTAGGAGAGTGTAACATCGTTGCTAAGTGGACGAGCCATAAGGATCGTCTCCATCGTGGCTTTGTCGTTGGGAGTTAGAGACTGTGCGTTTCCATCATTCGTGGGGCTAGCGTGGCCTCATGGAACTGTTCAGTGGCTGCATAAGGCCTCCGTTGATGTAACCGTGATAGGTCGTGTACACAGCCGCCGGGTTCTGTTGATGGGGATCTTGTGGATACGGCGCGGGCACGTTCACCATACCCACCGGTAGCTGGCTGGCCTGGTTCATGAAGCCACCGAGTTGTGCCGCCTGGTTCATGTAACCGGTGCCGGGTTGTGCTACCCGGTAGCCGTATTGGGCCATGAGATTCGTGTTCAACGCGACGTTCGGGCTGACCCTGCTCGCTGCGCTCTGCATCTGGGGACAGGTGCTACCGGGATCGAGGGTTTGTCTGTACAGGCTCTCGCTGGGATACGGTTGCGTCAGCGACGCCATGTTTGCGGCGTTCGCCGAGGACCTGGACGTCGATCTGCTCGGTGGACCAGGTGTCCCAGGTGGCACCGTGTTCACGTTGTAATAATTCTTCGGGTAGCCTAATGGTACCTGCGGCGGTGTCGGCAACTGTCTCGACGTTTGCGGCGGCGTCATCGTGTGCGGAATGGGTGGCGGTGGTGTCAGATTCATGGCCGGTGGCGGTGTAGGCGGTATCATTTCCAAACCGTTCGTCAATTGTTGCAACTTCGCCAGGCTACAGGAGTTCGTGGTCTGATGATTCCCGGACGCGGACAGAGATGGTGCCGGTGTGTGCGAATGCGGCGGCATCGCGCTTGTCTGTATGTAAAAGTTCGTTGCCGTGGTGCACGGCGTGGGCGCGCCCGAACGGCTGCTTCGATGCTGTATTACGTAGGTGTTCTGCGTGGGAAATGTTTGCGAGGCGACCGCCATGTAATTCCCTTGCGAGATCACGGCCATGTTGTGCGAATGAGCGGCGTGCGTGTGTGAATGTGGATGGGGCACCGGCGGCACGCTCATCGACGAGGACTGCTGATACTGAGGTGGCACGTGCGTTGTCTGGGCGACGGTCGTGTGGCTGGTGTGGGACGTCGTGTGACTGGTGTGAGAGGTTGTGTGCTGAGAGGAGGCTTGAGTGTGCGGCGTCGGAGGTGTCGCTCGATGAGATCTGCTGCTCTGTTGCGCTGACCTCGACCGGTGGGTCGTCTGCGAGCCACTGGCTCTCTTATTACTATGAGATTGCGTCTGAGATTGTTGTTGCTGTTGTTGCTGTTGATGCGTCGATTGTTGCTGAGACTGCTGCTGCTGCGGTTGAGACTGGCTGTGCGCCATACTTTGGCTCTGTGTTTGCTGAGCGAGAGACAATTGCATCGGTTGCGGAGTGTGAGACTGAGGCAAAGGCTGTGGACTCTGTGTGGGTATACTCTGTGGCGTATGCGACTGTGGGAGGGGCTGAGGAGTATGGGATTGCGGTAACGGTTGCGGTGTGTGACTCTGAGGAAGAGGCTGAGGACTCTGCGTTGGTATACTTTGAGGTGTGTGCGACTGCGGTGTCCTGGGCTGTTGCAGAGGCTGCGGCGTATGGGGCTGATGCATCGGATGAATGCTAACGTGTGCCGGTGGTGTGTGCTGAGGCATGGAGCAGTCAGCGTATTGAACTTGCGGCGATATATTCACCGCCACCGACGTGGCCGGCGTTGGGATCTGCATCGAGACGGAAATCGGGGCGGTGACCGAGGCCGGCATCGACGGCAGAGCACTGGGCGGTCTTTCCACGCTGTTCTGCGACGCCAGATCGCTGGCTATCGACGTTGGGGATTCCAGTCCCAGCTGACTGACGTCCAAATCGCACTGGCCGTAATGCAACGAGTGCACCGAATTGGTGGTCGAGTCCGGTGTATAAACTCCCATCGACGGTAGATCCGGTTGCGAGGGCGGTGTCCGTTTCACCGATCCCGGATTGTCCAGGTGTGGCGTCGTTTTTCCGCTCTCGGGCGAGTTCTGCTTCATTTCCTCCGGATGTATCTGAAGATGCATAGTCTCCTGCTGTTCCATAATCGGCAGCGGTTTCTCCTGCGGCGTGAGCGGTTCGGTCTCGGGCGAGGCGATGTTCGAAACGACGGACGATTCTTTCTTTTCCGTTGGTGTCGCCGGTGAGGCTTCAATCTTTGGCCGTGTTAACTCCTCCTTCGATTCCTTGAGCGTTAACCTTTCGGAAATCGTCTCATCCTTAGGGCTATCTTTATCCTGAGCAATAGCTTCCAACTTTTCGATTTCTTCCCCTTTCGGTGAAGGAACTTCAGGTACCAATTTCGACGTTTCCGGGCTACAAATCGCTTCTTCAGTCTCGGCGTCTTTATCACATTCCTTCGAGGCTTCGTTCTGCTCCTCCACAATCGGCGCTGCTTCCGACTCGACTTTCTGCGGGAGGGGTTTCTCGATTTCGGGTTCTTTCTCTTCAGACGTTTCCTCCGTCTTCTCCGTTTGGTTCTGCTCCTCGCTCGGTTCGTTCTCGGTGTTGCTCGAACACTGTGTCACGGATTTCGGTCTCGGCGCAGGTACTTCTTCTTCCCCTTCATCTTCGTCGCCCCCCTCGTACTCGCCCGGACTAGCGGATGCCGTTTCAGCTTCCGGGGGTACGATTGCTCCGCTGTCCTCCACGCTCTCGTTTTTACTCGTTTCCACAACCGTATCCTCTTTAGGAGCGGAGATTAACTCCGGAACGACGGGCGATTCCTTGTGCTCAGGCGAGTCGACCTTCTCAGAGTCGACCGACGGAGACAAGGAAGGAGGAGGTATCACAGGACTTTCGGGTCTGTCGTTCGTAGGCGCTTCCGGCTTCAATTGAGGCATCTTCAGAGCTTCTTTCTCGGCCTTCGCTCTTCCCCGTCTCGACATTGGCGACGTCTTCGGCTCCTTTGTTTCCTCTTTCCCGTTACACTGACTCTCGTCTGTCGTTTTTTCAGCAGGATATCGTCCACTTTGCATTGCTTCTTCGTTGGTTTCTGCACCGCCGATGACGGTGTAGACGTCACTAGTTTCGGCGACGCCTTCTCCGTTTCCGCGGTATGGTCCTTGTCCTTCGTAGGATCTTTGTCCTTCACCTTCTCCTTTTCCTTCGGTTTCTCCTTCTCCCGCTCCTTGTCCTTCTCTTTATCCTTTTCCTTCTCTCTCAAAGACTCTCGGGTCCTCTTCCTCGAGCTAACATCCGACTTCTCCTCCTTCTCTTCGACTTCAGTCTTCTCGGAATGTTTACGTTTTCGCAGAGGTGTTGTCACAGACTCGGGGAAAGGAATCTTCGGCGTTCTGATCCTTCGCCTCGACATCGTCGACACCGTCGACACAGGAGTTGCTTTCGTCGTACTCGCGGAACTCGCGTTTTTTGCTGTCGTCACTGACCTAGAATTCCTGGGCGTCGTCGATACGTTCGATTTCGGTTCGACCTCCATCGATTCCTTGGATGATTCCGGAGTCACGGTGGTCCGAGTTTCCTTTTCAGATTCTTTGACCTCCTTCGCCGCCTTCGCCTCTTTCGTCGTTTCTTTCGTCGATTTCTGTTGCTCTTTCGTTTCCTTCGTTTCCTTCGCGTCCTTCGCTTCCTTCGAGACCTCCTTCTGTACAGTGGTCTTCTGCGGACTTTTCTGCTTCAACGGCGACGATCTCCTTTGCCCGAGCCTTCTGCCTCTTGGTTTTTTCTTGATCTTGACCTTCTGAATCTTCTCGACAATCATAGCTGCTACTTGTTTAGGCTCTGCCACGGGAGAGGACTCGGAACTGGTGTCGCCGCTCTCCTCCGGGCTTTGATAAGGATTCGGGATTTGCGTGAGCAACGGAATCCATCTGAGACAATCGGGGTCCAGCTTAATGCGCGAGCTCTTTCGCACTTTTGCCATGTGAATGTCCACCTTGCTCCAATCGACTACCACAGCCACTTTAGAGTTCCCTTCGCCGGGCAAATGGACCGACTTGATGAATCCCAATAACTGCATAGCAGTCGCGATATCGTGAGCGGACACGCCGGTCTCCTTCGTTATGTCGCCCAGTTTGATATCCGTCGAATTCCGATGAGCGTTCACTTCCAGAACGAGTGGTACGACACCCGACCAAGATCGGAAAGAGGTTTCTCCGGTGTGCCTGGTATACCTTCGACCTTGGACAAAAGGTAACTAAACTCGATCAGAAACCTTCCGAAGCCTTGCCTCTGATACTGCGGCAGGGTCATGATACAAGATACGTTGTATCTCTGTGCCGGACAATGTTTCTCTTTGCTGAAGTAACCGACCAGATGGCAGCCGTACTTGTCGTTCTTCGTCACCGCGTAAAAGAGAAACGGCTCCACGTCGTAGTACAGTGTCTTGTGGTCCAAGAACAGTTTCGCCAATAGACACAAATTCTGACAATAAATCTTGTTCACGTTACCGTCGATCTGGAGGGCGGAAAAAAAGCCAAAGTTCAAACGGTTAGATTTACGATCGCCAAAGATTTACGTGTAATATTCGCAAACTCAAGGAACTGACCTGCCCTCTAGTGGAACAAACACAGAACTTGTTTGGAGGGTATAAACAAATGTCAAACATTGTGGTAGACAATGTTAATGTTTATTTCGCGTGGTGGATCGTTAATCTTACTTGTCTTTAAACAAAGGTGCAAACACATCGACCGAATTTTGTGTTCTGCATTGGAGGCCACACAAGAATACATGATTTTTTCCTTCGGAATACTTTCTCCTATTCAATCCTGTCACAAATACTTAATTCCATTCTTAATTGCACTATAATATTCACAATAAAATCTATTCTCTTACTGTATGACGTGTAACAGCTACAATGTTTATACCCTCCACAGCCGCCATGACAGTGTGATCGTGCTGCCGCTTACAGTCGCTTGAGTTCGCGAACAAAGTCGAGCATATCGAGAAATAAATCCTAACGAACCTCAAAAACGGACAGTCCATTACACCTGTATATTTCAGTGGCCGGTGGATGCCTCCACTGGCACTTGTCCATATGCCTGTCGAGTACGGCCCGACTCTTCGTGTACTTCAGGCAGAACTCGCAGAAGAACAATTTCGGTAATCTCGCGTACTCCTGGGGAAACGGACTGGAATACCACGTCTCCACTTCGTAACGGCCGAATACTATTGCCGCTGGGTTTCGTGGTCCACTGTTGCTACTACCTGCGGAATTCTGCCCAGGACTAACGACCACAGCGGCGTCCTCGTCGTCGCCGTTCGAGACGGTCAGCCGTGCCGCTCTGTCCCGAGCGTCCTTAAACAGATCGACATCCTTTTGCGTGACACCGGGCGGCAAGGTCTGAGGCAGAATCGGTTCCTCTGTAAGCAGAATATCGAAATTGTCGGTTCCTTTTGTAGTCGAACAACCTCCCTCCTTCTCGCGACGAACAAAGAACGACGGAAGTAGAGAGTTCACAACGATATCTCTATCGGAAAAAAATGTTTAAATATGTATATATATATATATATAAAAGAAAACAAAAACAGAAAACGGTTCTACGTCACGATTAACGCACCAATTGTGGGGACTCGAACACGTGTTACATGGTTAGACTCTCTAAGGACGACACACGGTATGGTACTCAACGAACTGTTTTTGTGCTGTACAAGTGTTACACGAGATATATCTCGGTATGAACGAAATCGTGAAAAAAAAAAGAGTAAAAGGATCATGTGACTCAAAGGTAAATGTCGGTCTATTAATTACACGGGGGACAAACAAAATTTTGTTCATGTTGTTAGGGATTTAAGATCGGTTTCAGAGTACTCGAGGATCCGGATTTAAGTTTCCGCTAAATTGGCTGCGATTTTCAAAATAATCGTATTTAAATTTTGTAAGTAATTCAAATTTGTATCGATTTGAAGTATATACTACTTTTGCTTTTTTGTTTACTTCCTGGTTAGTGATTTCCAAACTAACAAATAAAATAAGTGATTCCATTTTGCATAAATATTCATGACATAAGTATGTCTAAAAAAATTAGAGCCAATCAAGAAAAAGTAATGGTATATTCAGAGTGAGAAGCACTAAATTACTCGAAATCGACTCTTAAATCCCTGGCAACAGGTTAACCGTTCCCCTGTGCTTATTATTACACGTAGAACGACGAGAAACTTAAAGAAAAAAATTTACTGATATCGGACACAGAAAAAGCAAAGTTACTTCGGATCCACAAGCGGTGTGATATTATTCAACCAGTGTGCACAAACCGTGAGAGTAAGTGAGTGAGTTTAATAACGATCGAATAGCTGTTAATTATTGTGAGTAGTATTTCCAAAGAAGCAAAGCTGTGGGGGCTGGGTGGATTGGGGTTCATTGTGGGATGTGTTGGCAGAGTATCAAAAGTTGGCTCTTCGATGGCGCAAAAAGGGCATTTTTAGTTTTTTTTCTCTTTTTTTTTTACGGTGGAGAGCGGGCGATGAGTTTCAACAACAACAGTGTGGTGCCTGCTAAACGTCAGCAGCAGCAGGTAGAGACTCCAGTTTCGACTAATACAAGGCGGCTGAGTGTGACATGCCACCCAGTGCCGTATTTCTTCGTCCTGGAAAAACTGACCAGTATTTGTGGTTACTTCTTACGGGGGATAGCGGGATATATCAAGGGATACGTGGCTTTGACAAATTCTCTTCAAGCTCCGTACGCCACAGCAGCGATGCAACGTGTAATTTAAACAAAGAATAATTGTCCACTTTCAGCTGTTCTATTGCAAAATGAAAGAAACAATGCGTCTAAGGATCGTTACTAGTCGCCCTCGCGGTTCGTACGAAGTGTCTTCAAGTTTAACCGAAACTTTCGTCAACCACGAGCCGAATAAAAAAAAAAAAATCAAACGTAACAAAGTGTGCGAAACTACTGCGTGTATAGACTGCATTCGAGGGCATGCACTGATCTTGAATCCAACTAAAATCGGCATGAATCAAAGGAAAGTCAAATGTGCCAGAGCCAAGTGAGAACATCGTTAGTAACATGCAATAAACCACATGTAAGTTTTCGCGGTGTAAAACAAATGGAAATGTTTCTTTTTTTTAAATTCTGAATACGTCTCGAGGACACGTGGTATCTTTCCATCGGTTTTACACCGTGTGACTGATAAACATCCAATCGAGGAACCTGATTGTTCTCTGTTCTCCAAACGAGGATATCCGACAAGGCAAAATAAAAAATAGGGAAGCCTCATTTAACAATTCGTAAATATTATTTACCCAGCGAACAATCACGTTATCCTGGAAAAGAAGTTTCGTATCAGTAACGCACACGTACACACATACACACACACACATCATATACCACACCACACCGCCAACACATCCACGTGGTGGTGAGCGAGGGATTAGATTAGAGGGGAATTCTTCTTTGCGACTTGGGTGCATCATCGAAGGTGGTTAAGGGACTCTGTGAACGGATCGGGGATAGACTCTTACCCTTCCTGGTGGAGCAGGGTGTCGCGCGGGGTGTCGTGGTGGTGTTGGTGGTGGTGGCGCTAGTACAGGCTCGTGGATTGGACTTTAGGCTAGGATTTGATTTCACGGATTCGGACAACAGGCCGGAGGACCTCGAAACGGCGGGCACAGGGTGGCGTGTCTGACTCGTCGTTTCCGCGGCGGCGTGCAGCGGTGTGTTTCGCTTTCGCGAGTAATGCTCGTGATGATGCCTGTACGACGACGTGGGCGAGGAAGACGGCGAGGCGGACGCAGCAGCGTCCCCAGCGGCGAACTTCACCAGCGACGTGTCGTCTTTCATCAGTTTCCTCCTCTCATGCTCGTGCCTTTTACTGTTCACGGCAGTTTTCACCAGATTCGAGGGCGTCATTTTCGGTAGTTTCTCGTTCAACGAGCCGACAAAAAGACTCTCGTCGGAGGGCGTGAATATGCCCGGCCTTGGTACCCTGGGCACCTCTTCGCGTGTCGTTTCTGACTTCTTTCTATCCTTCGACTTGCCCTGAACGGGCGAGCTATCCCTTTTATTGCTCTGAGTACCCCTTGGGATTTTGCTATTACTTTTACCCACGTCCTCTGTATTAGGCCGTTTTCTCCTGTCAGGAGCATAATTTGGCGCAGCTGCCCCGGATCTTGCTCTACTATTTGTGGGCACTGAAAAGAAGTGGCTCAAACCGTCGAACAAGCCTTTCAGTTGCCCCGTACCGGGCTTGACTTTGTTGTTGTCCACGAAACCGCCGGACGACGTGATTCCGCGATCGTTCTTCGGCTGTTGTTGTTTTTTCTTGTTGTCGATGGTCGTCGTAGTGGTGTTCGCGGCTGGTTGTATATGCAAACCGAACGTGGGCGTGCCGCCGACGTCGAGCTTCGGTAACGGAGCGCCGAACGTGTTGTTGATGTTACTGAAAAATGGCGACTCGGCGTTAAGCTTGGCTGCGGCCGCAGCGAAACCCCAAGGCTTGTCCTCGCTGAGATCGCACGAGAATGGACTCCTCGGTTTTGGTGACTCGACCACCACTCGCCGATTAGCCTCTTGACCCACCTCCTCATCCTCCTCCTCATCTTCCGAGGACGTGTCGCTCGATTCGCTCGAGCTGTTACCATCCTCCTCGTCGTCATCGTCGCTGGAGTCGGAGCCCTCGGAGGAATCGGTATCGCTTGCGTCGCTGCTGGCGCTACTGCTACTGCTGCTGCTGGATACTAACGAGGTCTTTTTACCGGTCGACGGCGGCGGTTGCTGCTGCTGCGTCGGTAAAACAGGTTGTTGTTGTTGTTGCTGTTGTTGCTGCTGCTTCTTCTTCTGGTTCGCGTTACCCCGTGTCAACCTAGGACTAACGTTCTGCGAGGACTTAGACTTATCACCGCCCCCCACCCGCTTCAGCTTATTGTGCTCCGCGTTAAATGCGCTCAACCTAAAGAACTTTTGCTTCTCCTTGGAGATCCGGTCGTTCTTTTCTTCGAGTAGCCTACCCTGGCCTGCGAGTGGGGCGGGGGGTTGTGGTAAAGGAGAGGAAATTAAAGGTGGTTGACGAGGGGAGACAACACCCGCATTACCGTCCGAGCTGCTGTCCACCTGTGCCACTCCCGTACCGCTTCTTTTGCCCGGAGTCGCGATCGTCAAGCTCTTTCTGGATACCGTCGATCTGGAACATCCAACGCAACACCCGTATCATCCATTAAATCGTATCGACAACCGTCCATCGGGAGAGAGGGGGGAGAGTGAGATCCTTCTGATAACGTTAGCCTAGTGATTCACTCAACGGAACCATAAAAATCTTCGTTAGTGTGCATTTGTCAGAGAATTATCATTTATTTATCGATAAGCCCATATTTCGATTTTAGAACGCCTATAGACGGCCAATAGTATTGAAAGGGTTAAAAATGAAATGAACTTGGGAACGATTCCGAACTTTCAAGTGTGCATTCATTGTCATCAGAAGGATTGGAAAAGGGGGAATTATAGAGACGGTCCCTAAAAAAAACGATCGTTTCCTTACTTTCTATTTTCACGTAATTTGCTGATTCTCTTCCTAGCGCTGGTCGGCGTATCGTCCAGTGAACCACCGCCGTCCTGAGTCTTGTTCTTCTTCCCATCGTCCTTCGCGACCGGTGTGTGCGCGGTCTGACAGTGCCGACACCTCCAGGGTGCTTTGTTCTTTTTGTCCAGCGCAGGATCCAGACAGGTGGGATGGTAAGACTTCACGCAGCCGGCGCATTTCACCAGATAGTTCTGCGATTCACGTTCCAATTGACAGCCGGCGCAAGTCGGCGAACAGTCGTCGCACGACCACGTTATCCCTCTGTCCACGAGGATCGAGAGCTCCGGCGGGGCGCACGAGTTGTGCAACGCAGCACCGCAGACGCTACACCTGCTCAGCTTCTCGGCGGCGTTCCGTTTCGTGTTGTTGTTGTTCCCGGCTATCGTCGCGCCGAGACACTCTCTGCATATCGGTAGAGGAGCCGGCAGCTGCGACAGAAGACCAGAACCAACCGGTTAATGCAATATGACTAAAAAACTGTTACTTTTGGTATCATCTCTGTCCTCTAATCTGCCGAATACTTGAATCATTTGATACGGTGACCTTCTACACCTCCCATCAGACGGTAATTAATAGATTTAGCCATACTCTGGGAACGTATCAAACGATCCACACAACCAGGTGCAATTTTCTGAATTATAACGACATCCTGAGGACCGCCTACCGTTTAACACTGTACTCAATTCCACCCAGAACAGACTAAATTCTCGGGTGCGGCGGGAAAGTTATCACAGCGTGGCGTACGTCCTACGATCTACGGATAACCGTTCGAGATAAAAGAAATAAACGAACGACTACTCCCCGGGTGCAGAGCAGTTCGGTCTCACGAAATGGGGGTAAAGATCGAGAGTGGTTGATACAGTTCGCTCGGCGAAATTGTGCGGGCACATACACGGTGGTGGTGGTGTTGCCGCGCGTTATTGCCGGGAAAGCTGTTATTACGGGGCCGATCGAGCGTTCTTTATCGCTAGATAGGTACACCGCGCGACGGAGCCTTCACGGTGAGTGCGTAAATTTATATGTATTCGCCGGGGCCTTGTGTTACCTCTACTCGATGCATATGAAAGACGACCCGACCGACCGCGCACCGTAAAACATAATTATTCATTCCGGTAATAATGCAGACTAGGTTCTGGTATATCTCCGCATCAAAGAGGGTGCATCTTATTAAAACCGTGGCCGCCAGTCTCGGAGACATACGGACACGGTTGTTGCTCGATATACAGGGTGTTCGTAAAGAATGTGACAAACTGCAACATATTCCTCGTGCAAATACAAATCGAAAAGTCGTTTACCGTTTTCTAATCTGAAGCTCCGTTTCCAAGATATTAGCAGTTAAACCAACCCCAATCAGCTGACTGCTGGGCCACACTCTTCTTGACTGTGCTTTCCGACCGCTCAGCTGATTGGGAGTTCGTTCAACTGCTAATATTTCGGAAACGGATCTTCTGACTACAATACGGTAAAGGAATTTTCAATTTGTATTTGCATAAGGAATATGCATGTTGCGGTTGGTCCCATCTGTTTGGGACACCCTGTATACCGCACCGCGTGAAAGAAGCTATGGCCTAATCGTAAGGGAACTACTTTCGAAATTGTGAAACAATTCGAATGTAGTTCGTAGCTGTTTCCTTGACACATTCACCGAGAAAACCGCGATTATCAATAAAGTGTGGCGTAATTGTTGTCCGCTTTCTTCGGGGGGAATGGTATCGGCCAGAGGCGAGCGCAGTCCTGGGTGGTACTTTCGCAGTCGTTGATTCCAGGGGCCTATCTAAATGCTACATCATAATGGAACCGGAACTGATTCGAAAAAGGAGGGAAGAAGAATGGAATTTAATAGCACTATTGGCCCCCGACATTTCGTGTCGTATTCTCTCTGTATCCTCTCGTCACGGAATGACATTCTTGGTTAGGTTCGGAGTCTGAGCAGAGAGTGAGAGAGAGGAATTTCCTCGAACGGAACGCACGCGTGATCAGGCTATCTGTTCTTCGGACTAACGACCTGTTGCTCGACGACGGGTTAACGACCAATCCTCGAGTAACTGTTACGCGATTGGGCGATCCGGTAAACCGCGTCCTTACACCCGACGTTTTCTCTCGATGCGATTGTGCATTCTCCTATCCGAGTCCCGGGGGTCACAACGCCGCTTTAACTGTCATCACCCACCTCGCAATCTCACCGACTCATCGTTCCTTCGACCTGTCGTTTATCATTGCTTCTGATTAGCACTTCACGACGCGCCCGACCAACGTTCAATCGATTAGAATCCATCGGCTGAAGGCGTGAATCAGGAAATCAGTCATTTGGCGACCCCTGTGTCAGCGCTACAAGTTGTACTTCTGGTCATCGATGACCTCCATGACGGTCCACGTGAAAACATAACATAACCTGTCAGTTTTTTCGCGACATGAAAAGGAAAGAGTTTAAAGAAGTTAAAGGAAAAAGGATTTTACATGGGACATCCTATAGATGCGGAAGCCAAAATAGGCGGATGAAGATATCCCTTTATATTTGGGGTCCTATATTCCCTCTCCCATTCCCTCCAAATTTCGTGTTAATGTGACGATATATTTTAGTATCGATACTTGACCCAAAAACATCGAAACTGCGATACAATCGTTGCATTCGCCATAAGGAAAATGGACCAATCGCAGACTTCTCAAATTTTGCGATTGGTCGATTTCTGTTCCACGTTGTTACACGCGAATACGCCTTAATAAATATTTGCTTGGAATAATCGATTTATTTTCATGTTTTCATTCTATTACTTCTAATTTAATTTCACGCTATCTACATCTTTTATTCCCAATATATACGTGCATCGATATCAAATGTATCAGCCATCAACTAGTATCGTGTACAGAATCATAAAGGAAAATTTGTAAGGTAGCAGATGAAATGGCAAAGGAACTGAGAACCGTTGGCCCGTGGTCGTTCAACGGTCGATCGATGGAGATGTGAAGAAAGGTGCAAGGGGATAGGGTAGCAAGGGTCAACGATGAAAAAGCGCGGGAAGCGTAGTGGCGGGAAACTAGTAGCGACGCAATACGGTGAGGCAGTGAAACAGTCGTTGGAAGATGGAGGGAGGAGAATTAGCAGAATCGCGTCGACGCGACCATTCTATAACTTTCCGCGCTCTCTGCGGCCTGACACGCATGAAACGCGGTCGTCAGAAACGCGGGGGGCGTACATGTGGTGGTTATGGTGGGGAGGAACGCGACCAAGAGGGAAAAAGAGGGAGGAGAAAGAGCAAGAACGGGCCGCTTGACAAAGACGGAAAGAGAAGTCAGAGTGATTCCATGCGGCGAGGAGGATCAATAAGAGAAGCGATATACAAACGAGTCGCCGGAAGTTGGTCGAGATAGCACATCGTCCTGAGCCTCTCCCTTCTGGTTAACCCCCCCTTCTTAGCCCGTTCTCGAGGCGTGGGCACCACGGCGTGACTCGGCCAGCCACAGAGCACCGAAGAAAGGCCATAACGAGCGCGTAATATTTGCCTCGTTTGATTCACCCGAGTCACCGTTCGCGCGCGCCTCTGATGCTCAACCGACCATCTTTTTCCCAGGTTTTATATAATACCCGTATCATTGAGAGCAATCGAAATTGCTAAACTGACGTGTCCGTTCGCACGAAAACCCTCCCACAGACACATTTTCTCCTCTACTAAATACATATTTTTTGATCGATGGATCTATCACCGCGCAAACGCGTGTGGTTACAGAAGTTCGTCTGGGATTAGGTCATTATCTGACAAATTGTTAACGGAGGGGAAATAAATGGCCGACAATTATTGAATTCCCTGGACGGTTACAACGTCGCCGATATCGATCCGAACGAATCGTTACATAGAGACACACAATTGGAAGAACTCCGAAAGATTATCCATTTCATTCATTTTCTTTCTACAAAATCCGTAATTTTCTTGTAAATTTTTTCTTTTCTTTGTTTATTTTTGGAATTTTTTACATAGTCCTGTAGAACTTTGTTAAACTTTCTGTATAGTTATTATAAATGTTTGTAAACTTTAGTATATGCTTACGCATTATTGTATATCTAAACTTTTTGTTCGTCCTCTAGACTTCCACATACTTGTATATTGTACCAAAGGGCTCATAACCCGTTTATAAATAAATATCATTTATTTCTCAGTAATTTGACTGAAATATCATCTGATTTCGTACCTCGCGGGGAAGTCGCCAATAGCGACGAAGACGAAGCGATCCGATATTTTTCCGCGGGTTGTTCGCATTACGCCGATCGCACACACGTTCTATCTCCTGCATTGCGCCGTTACGAATTCGTGACTCATGCCCTGGAAACGCACCGCTGCGTCGATTCTCTTCTCTACACTCGAGACGCCGACTCCACCGTTTTCGATGCGGTCTCGCGTCATGTTTTCGACAGACTAATTTTCCCTACCCGAGAAACGATCCCTCTATGTTTTCCGAATGATTGTTCGTAATCAAAGTTGTTGCCTGTTATCGGTACTCGCCACGAATCACCAACTCGGGACAGCGTTAAATACATTTTCCCTTCGTTTCCAACAGAGCGACAAAATTCACATAGAAATGGAAATATCATAAAACCAAAGCATTTCAGAAGAAAGTATTCTATACAAAAGTTGTTTGGTTTTCAAGGGAAAAGAGAACATTATTTATTTTTCATCTGGTGAACGTTTTGTAAGTCATTTGAAGGTCAACCCCATTTTTTTTAAATGAATAGCTATATTTTTTTTAACAGATCATTAATCCACGCAGAAAAGACCAACTTATGAAATGCTTTGTTTTTATGATATTTCTATGTATCAACTTAAATGCCGCACCCTGTATATAAAAAGTCGAATTGACCGAGAGCGATCGGCAAAAAAGTGAACACATACGATCGTCGTTCGCCTTTTCCCGAACGATGATTAACCATCGACTGCACGAGAGAGAGAGAAACACAGCCGATCGCGAAGAATTTCTCTCGCGGGAACGGGACTTGAGGTTCCTCTCTCGCGAGTAGAAAGACACGGCATACCGAACGGAGAGTCTTACCGATCGCTTTGCAGAGATTAATGGGGGGATCGTTGCAAAGCCGAACGCGAGAGAGAACTCGGCAACTTTTTTGCTTGCTGAACCCAACCAAGCGATGGAAAGCGAGAATCGACACGGGAGATCAGTCCCTTCGCGGGCCAAGTTTTGCGAGAGGAAGCGTTCCTTCCCTACTCCACCCACAGGGGAGAGGCGGCGGGGGGGGCAGGTAATGCCGCGTTCCCATGTGTGTGGAGTACACGACACTGGTGGCATTTCGAGAATCGAGTATGAACCCGATTTTTGAAATATTCGAATATTCTAGATACAAAATTTTAGATTACAAATATTTCGAAAAAGCTTGAAAAACGATTATTTCTTTGACTGGACATTTTAATTAAGCAAAGTCGAGTTTATTCACCTCAAGTAGCAAACATACGACAAACCACCGATGACAGACAATGATCAGTTAACAAGAATCTCGTCTAAAAGAGTTGGCTGCTCGAAGACGTTAAACGAATACAAGTACATACATACATACGAGCCCCAGATACGCATCAGCGACCCGCATCGGGCTGTACTTCTAACCGGAGGAGGCACACACTCGGGCAAACGTGCGCGAAACATGCTCTCCGGGAGTTCAAGGCCGTGAAAATTCTCGCGATATTCGCGCAACAGTTGCCCCCCCCCCTCCCCCCGACGACGAGAGTACAGATGGTTCCGAAAACTTCAGGCACACTACAGTAAACGTTCATTTAATGAAGGCCTCTGTATTTTCGGAACGTCCCCCTCGTTCACACTATCTAATGTCTAAGTTTTTTTTTAACTTTTTTCCTTTCCATGTCGTGTGGCGACTGAACTGGCTCACAGGGTTAGGTTTTTTGAGATCTCTAAAAATAACGCAAATAGTATGAAGATCGAAAAGTATGTACATCCAGCCCACCCTATATTCAACTACGTAGCGAACAAGTGAACGGACGATCGACTTGAAGGGTACGCGTGTGATTGGCTCTCGTTTATTGAATCATTCCTAAAGATTTAACCCTCTACAGTCCCGAAAGATGCAATAAACGAATGCCTACTGCATTTGTCGTACGTGTTTTGTCCGCGCAGATACGATCGTCATCTTTACGCTTATCGAACAGGTGCAGTCGCACAAGGTTCCCCGTGTCCGTGCGCACGCTCCCCGCGCATGTTGAAATTTTAACAATACGGGCCCCGCCGCGCCACGTTCGATTCTACATTCCCCACGGGGCATAAGTGCACGGGGGCTCTGGCCTCCCCCCTCCTTTCCCCTGTTTCTAACCAGCGACATTAACCGGTACACGAAAGAATGGGAGAAAGGCTGTATCACAGAAATGAAGCGTAACAGGACGCGGATTAACCCATGGACCGCGAGATATCTTCCATTCCCCCACAGACTGTTACAGAGAAAGAGAACGAGAGCTATAAGTTACGGAGGAAATAAATTCTCACTGGGTTCGAACGACCCATAACGCACACCGGGGGCTGCGGTAACATCGAATCGATTATCCCTGCGTTTTACACGCTACCTACTCGATTCATGTCTCTCTTTTCGTTTTCTACACTACGGGTTAGATCAGTGCTGTCTACGAGTGGGGCCCCATAAGGTGCATCCGTCCCCTCGCCATACACACCTCCCCGTTATTTTTGTATACTATACAGAATCGCTCCAAAGTGCAATCTACTTCACAAACTCAAGTCACCCGGTCCAATTTAAAAAAATTATTCTGTTCTAAATGCTGCGCCAATATTTGTTTTCCACCCACTGTATAATACCTAAAATAGTGTGGGTCTAATGCGACACCTGAGGACAGAGCTCCGCCCATCCGTGGTAGTAAAGAGGGGTCATTCGAATGAATCATAAAAACAACAACAACTCACCTTAGGTACAGGGGGTTCCGGTGGTAGCGCGTGAGCGTTATCCCCGTGCTTCTTGAAATAAGGGGGCCGGTCCGGTTGCCGGAACAGTCTGCCATCTTGGATCACAAGGCCCCGATCGGCCGCCCGTTTCGCGGACAATCTGAGCGCGGTCCTCAGATCCCCCTCGGCCTCTTCCTCGACCGTGTGACTCTGCCTGATGTATTTCTCGATGGTCTTCAGGGTCGAGCCCTCCCTCTCGCCCAGCTCCCGTACAGCCTTGCCGAGCACCTTGCTGAGATCGGTCCCTTTGCCGACCTTGAGCGGTTTCGATTGCAAACCGCCCGGATCCTTGTACGAGGATTGTCCTTTGTTGAAGATCTTCAGCACGTCGCCCCGTTTCACGGCGACTTCCAGATGCTCGGCGATCTCCTCCTCGTGGAAGTTGTGGTGCTGACGGATCGCGTGGCATATCCGTTCGACGCTCGGCCTCTGTTTCTGGCTGCGTATCTTACGGATCGCGTCCAGAAACCAGGCCGACCACGTCTCCGCGGATTCTGGCTCGTCCATCTCGTGTCCGTCGGCCGTCTGCCGACGAGGACGACCCCGGCGGCGGCGGCGTACCCACCCGCCACGTACCTGGCCAGGTTACAGACACCCGATGGACAACGCTGGGAGCGCCTCCGGGTCGTGCGTGTCACGGCCGCGACATTCACATCATGCGACCCCCTTCCTTGCCGCGGCTTTCCTGTCTGGCTGATCTGGGGGACCTTCGCGGGAGGCTCCTTTACCACCTCATGCACTCGCGGGCCTAGTTTTTTAGGTTGAACCTGTAACCAGAATATAGAGACCGATCAGCTACGATTGTAGGGGAATCTGATTCCTATTTCGAATCCATCGATGGGATGGCTCCCATCATTTCCCAACAATTGGCCTCTGATAGACTATCTACATTTGTGTGGAAATCTTAACGCGTATCGAGAGAGAGAGAGAGACTTTCTGGGCCTACAAAGTTTATTTAGACCATAGGTTCCCCAAGTGGGCGCTGAGGAGATCTGGAGGGACGTGCTAGTTATGTTCTTTTCAATCTAAGTTTTCAAGATTTGAAAATTACACACACAACTACACTTGGAGATTTTAATAATAGAGATAGTTTACCCGGGGGGGGGGGCAGAAGACACTTTGAAAGAGGTCGGCGAATCAGAAAAGCTTAGGAAGCTATGGTTTAGACGCATGGAAAAAAAGAGTAATTTTCATGCACGAGTGACCCATTTCAAGGACCCTGTAACACTTATGTTACACCCTGTATACGGATTTGGAAACGCGTTTTATTGCGGTAGGAGGCGTACGACTGTGATTAGCATAGTAGAGGGATGAAACGGGCGGAGAGCGACGTTTATCGATCCGTTTCCAGGCCGGCCAAGTATTGTTTTCAGTTACGATATAACCATGCGCCAGGGAATTAGTTGATCCCACGTATTTCGACGGTTCCATGGCCCGCACGAGCGAATAACACGAATTATTTTCGTACGGGAGGGAAAATCGGGAGGTCAACCGAGCGACGAGCAACAGCAGTAGGCGTTATGTAAGAGAGGAACCGATGAGAAATTGTTCGTCTAGTTCGTCCCGCGCACCTCGAAAACCGACCAATTTCCAGGCTTGATGGCAGAACACACATGATATCATTGCCGATCCCCTCCCCCCCACCGCGAGCGACGAAGAACTTTCTCCTCGACAGGAGCAAGCCTCGGAGAAGGTGCACAACGACCGAACGCGTGGAAGGGAGTGACATATTTAAAAATCAGTGTATACATATACACGGTCGATGGTATTGCGTAACCAGAAACGACCTATAAGCAGGCGGGGGCTTATTAACCCTTTGCGCTCCAACTACCAATCTGGCTGGCACACCGATTAAAGGCGATTTACTTCAATTACCAGGTGTACTGTCAACACATTAACTTCTTATATTGTATAAAAAAGAATGAATGTATAGGTAATAATGTTACTTTGATAAGGTCCCTAGGCATATTCTCAGATTCAACGGAAACTTGCAAGCGTTTAGTACAGTCAATGGAAAAAAAAAAGAAACAGGATTCCCAGAGAGTAAGGAGGAATCTTCGAGATCGCTAAATTGCGCGCAAATTGCCGATACCGTTATTGGTTGTGCGCGTTTCGGGCGACGGTTTGACCGTCATTGAAGAAAATCCACCGTGTCATCCCAGGAGAGAACGGCGCGATGACTGAAACGATAAACCGAACACGTCCATGGAGAACTCTCACGTTCGATCAACGACGCCTTTCTAGCAGAGTTAGTGAATTATCGATAGACTGCCGATAATTATCGAGAATTATCGATAGACTGCCGATAATTATCAAGAATTATCGATAATTTGTTTTATTGAAAACTATCGATTGTTTTTATGACTGCCGACAGTTTTGATATTTCCGTTTCGATTAATCCGACGAGAACTTTATATGATATTCCGTTACATGCGGTACAGTGCGATCTGTGGAAATCTCGGAATTCAAAAAAAATGAAGGAAGATAATATTTAATTCCTATTAAAAGTACTTATTAAAAAGGATTGCAGAGTAGTAGTTTAAATAGTGAGTAATAACTCATTTTTTTCTTACAAAAATAAAGATTAAATACGATTACATTTTCTATACAAGTTAAACTATCGAAAACAATCGATAGTTATCGATAGTTGCTTCCCAACAATCGGTAACCATCGATGGTTATGACTACCGATAATTCTCCATCTCTACTTTCTAGGATAAACGCACGGAAACCTGGGGCAAATGCGTAATTGATCTGGACTGTACGATAAATAAAACGTTAGGACAATAGCCCGAGAGCTGATTCGTCTCGGGCAGCGACAGTTCTCTCTCATTCTCGGGACCAACCACCGGTGAAATTCCTCTGTCACGCAATAATTATGGCCGTGTCACCCATTAAAGCGAGTTTCACGCGCGAATGCTCGCGGTTTGCCTTCCTGGTTAGGCTGATTCGATTTCCTAACGTCGAGAGAGGCCGAACACACACACATACAAACATACATAGAGAAAGGAAACGGAGACACGCCGTTCAGTAACGGATTAAGCAGTATTCGATTTAACGATCATCACTTCAACACGGTACGAAATTATTGTTACTCGATTTGAAGGAAATCAATTACCCAACCCCGCGAGGCGACATCTAATTGTACGATAAAGGAACATTGGCCGGAAATGCAAGGGGGGATGGGAAGCAGACGTTGTTCCAACGCCACCTGGTTCGGTTGGCCAATTAAAAACCACCGGTTACTCTGTCGGTGACACATAATACAGGCAACGAATACCACCGATTGCCGACAGAGCAAGTATACAAGGTATCCCCACCGAGTATACAGTAGTGTCGCATTTTAATCTCCCTGAGATAAATATCTCTAAAAATGTGAATGCTATGAAAAAATGTTTAAGGTAGAAGTTGTACCGTTTCGTAGTGAGCACATTAAGCTATCATTTATTTGACCTTGCGATGACCTTGGAAAAACGTACGAAATGTTTGCTATTTGACGTTGAATTTGTACACTCAAACAAACTGTTTAATGATACAAACATTACATCATTTCTTTTTAAAAATCGTTTATGTGTTTATAATGGTATATGTCACTCTGACCCGATTACAGAGCCTCGTAACTACGGTGGCGCTCGTAATGTCAAAACCCAATACATTTGAATCTCGTTCACGTTTCGTACGTAAGGCGGCTACTTAAAATCCACCGGGCGCTCCCCGGTCGGTACTAACCTATAAATTAATTGCCCCGTAGGGAACGACGCATCCCTGAACGTTCCACACGATCACTCGACACACAGACACACACATGGAGTCAAAGAGATGCAGCTGCGATATACCAGTTGACCTAGGCCAGTGCTGCTGCTGGCTGCCAGTGCACGATAATAAATATCTCCAGAGTTTAGCGGCGGCGAAAAAAACTGTAAAACGTAGGAGCTAAACCGGCTCCCTGGCTGATCCACCGGAAGAGACGACGACAACGAGTAGCTCTCTCGGTTCCGATCCCTCTTACGACCTCGTTTTTTCGCCACCACGTGCACATATACACAGGCACACACGGTTCTATTCACGAAAGCACATTTGCTACCCTCCTAGAACGATGCGGGCACGCAGCACACGGGTTTCCCGCCAAAACTTTCTAGCCGCTTAACGGACCTGTTACTCCGTTCACGCTGCTGACACTTCATTCGAATCACAGGGAAATACACTAGAAGAGAATTGTGTTAAATATACGACTGTTTCTTTGTGACTTCGGTACGCTTCGAACACCTAAAAATTGATCAGAAAAACTCGAACATTCTTCGGGTAGCTATTCTCGATTCTCGACTGTGACTCACGATCGAACATCGATACACCCGGCTCTTCCCGCGCGTAACACGTGTCCGTGTCTCGCTGGCGTGTACAAGGTCACGTCGTGCAGACCAAAGAACGAACGTTCGAACGAAAGCAGACACGAAACACCGCCTTGTACGTAGAGATGAACCGATTCAACACTAAATACAAGTAAATAATCGATACTTTCGGTTGCGATACATACATACTTTGTATCGAAAAAAAGCACTCGTATCGAATGGAGCGAGTAATCGACATGAATATTTCTTCGTTAATAAATGTTCATTAATAAAATATATATTCGTTAGTACTTCGCCATTTTTAATCGTTTGAACGTGGAAATTCCAATTTCTATAACAGAATAATACTTCTTCCTGAACGAGTTCACATTTGGCAAACAATTATTTAACCTCACTAACTGTTTAACACTGGAACTACCAAACCTGTCAAAATGACGGAATTTATGGTGGCCTTTAATTTACTACACATTTTATGTTACACTATATTATGCTAAATTGTACCACATATTATGTATATTACAATATTAAACAATTTATTTTAGCAGCGGCAGCTTTCCACTATGTACTATCCGAATAAAATTCTGCTCACTCTTAAAACAAAAAGAACTTTGTATTTATTTTCCTTCGATACAAGGAGGTATTGATGCTTTTGATGTGATATACTAAGTAGATATTAATACTTTGTTTCGATACGAATTATGTTTAAAAATATCGGTACCTTAACGGTATCGGTTTATCCCTACTTGTACGATCCACCTTTCCCCCAAGAAGGAAAATAACCTGCAAATTTTCGTGGGTTCCAGTGTAATGTCGCACTGTAATATATCCACACAGCCACTGAATTTCCACTAAACAACATCCAGGTGTCTTTACAATGTACACACGATCGAAGTTGCTCCATTATGGATAACACTATTGCCTAGCCACACACTCATTGAATAACCTATGCACACCGAGACATAAGGCTCCACAGAGAGCTATGAACGTAGTAACGATCGCGCGATTAACTTTAATACAATAAGCAAAACGCAGGTATACCCAGGCCGCACACACGGTGTCGCTGTCCCGTGGGAGGATATTTTGACCTGCGCGATTTCGTTCGCGTTTTTCCACGTCGCTGTTCCCGCGCCCGGCCGTGTATACCGAGAGCTCACCGCCGCCGTTACCCTCCCCGCTAATTAGCCAGCGAATGATCGATCGGGGGAAACGTTAATTGAATCGAACGATGAACTGGGCGGCTCTAGCCATCCCGATAGGACAAACGGCACACCGTTATTTAACCTTTCGGATTAATACCGATACTATGAATGTCTATGAATATCGAGGTGTGTATGAACCACTCTATTTCTTGCCCGAATTTACATAACAAACACAATCGTTCTAGTTCCTCCGGCTTACGACGCCATCTTTATTATACAGAAAGAACGGGAAAATGTTTTAAGTTTAACCTCATCAGGGACAAATTTATTTAGACCGGAAAGAATTTTTTTTTATTCTTCATTTATATTTAATTCATATATATATTTATAAATATTAACGACAATCAATTGGTAAAATATCCTTCTTTTTTGGGGGTATTTCCTAGTGAATATTTCATTACGGAATGAAGCTTGAATGAAAGAAAAACTAAATGTTTACATACGTGCCAGTATCCCTCTAAAGGTTAAGATTTATAGCGGATTACCCGCAGGTACGGTGACAATGGTAAATACACTCTGTCGTCCACTTCGCTTCGTCATCCAGTTTACAATGAGAAATTCATACCACGTTCCGCTTATACACTTTCGGCGGTTCGACATCCTCCGATGAACGTGGAGGACGCACGGTTCGTCGTCGATGAGCTCACTTATACAAATATATATATAAAACGAAAACCTTTCCTACGCTCTCGAACCGTGGAAAATTTGCAGATTCAGAAGCAAAAAAAGAATACACAGATCGCGACGCGTAGCGCGGCCGGTCGAAGGCGATTGGATTTCCGGCGACGGCTTAAACTCCTAAACGTCAGCCTTGGCTCGAATTCATTAGTCGGCCAATTACCGGCACGCTTCCAACGCTCGCCGAGAACAGGAGCGGACGCGACCGAGCGGACGAGCCACCTGACAACTTTCTGTCTAACGTCAACCCGCGTGTTTTACGCATCGAAAGAGGGCCCCAGAGGAGCATTCCTCTCTCTCCGAGCTCATCGCCCCGTTTCTCATTCGATGACACGAAATATCAACTGACTGCGGTACGATAACAATAATGGCGACCCGTCATTACGTACCAAAATGTAATTCAGATAACAGCCGCGACTACGCGTGTTCATAGATATCATACTGGAACTTTACTACAGAAATTACACGCATCGTATCTTTGGTCTTTATCTTTGAGGTTATGTCAGATGATATCTTCGAGAATTACTAGACTATCTATAATTACGGTTCTTTTTTTTTTTTGGAGCATACTTGTAAATACTGCACCCTGTACATGTTTACTAACAACTGTCCTGCACTTTGAGGTTATGTCAGATGATATCGTACTGCACGAAAACACGTTTTTCCTTAGTTACCGCTCCCGTCTAAACGTAAATATTGTTCCTATCGTAAGATTCAGAGCTTTTAAAATACAAAGTGCAACAGAACCACGGTCATTAAACCTAACCTCTAAACTACCTGGCTCCTACTATGTAATTATAGGGACGAACCGGTTAAGGGTTAAACAAACAATGACACGTTTAAACCAAGTATGGGTCCATAGAATGCATAGTCGAGGAAAGAAAGATACAATGAAAATAGCAAATGGAAATAAATGCATACGAGGCATAGGAATCGGTGTGATCTTATAATTTAGGCGGCAAACCGCGAAGAATGTTCGTGTGGCGTTTGTAACCGCATAGATTCCATAAAGACAGGGTAACGTCAGATTGTATTTATGATTTACTATACTGAATGCAGGGAACGAAATACAAAGAACGATCAACGCTACCAAAGGAAATCACCGGTGACCGGTGTTAAAGAACTAACAACGGACTACGATAAATGGTACCCACTAATATCGTCAAACGTCCGAGTATCCCTAACGGTCCCGTAGAACAACGTGAAACAATCGGTTTCTGCCACCAGTTTCGACAATATCAACTTGAATAAATGTCGAGGTCGAAAGTAGTAAACCCTCAAAACGCACAGCGCGGCGTGGACCGGTAGAAACAGAGAAAACACTCGCGACAGCAGTCAGCGGCGTCGAGCAGGGAAATCACACGATGGATCGAGAAAGAAGGAGTGTATTTGTCCGTCGTCTTACGACGGGGACGAGGGCGAAGAGAGGCCAGTGAGGCCAGGCCGGCTGGCTCTGTTTGCCGGGGCCCCTCTCACCCGACGGCGAGTAAGAGAGAGCAGCTGCCACCGAGAAAACGAACGAACGAACGGGCCTAACTGCCGCCGCCCGTCGCTCGTCACTCCTTCGCTCTCTATGCATGCTTCCATCGTCGCGGGAACACATCTATCAAAACCATAACTGAATCGGTGTTTTTCACTCGGCGTCGATCGATGAAAAACACCGAAAAGATAATGCAGGCCCAGAGGGGGGCGACAACAACGAACAACAATATCGAGCGCGAAACAAGTCGTACATACGTGGACATAGTTCACGAACAATCAGCGGGCCTGGCGGTCTGCCGTCGGTAGCCATTTTAATTAACGTACGTACTCAGCAACACGTATTTCTTAATCAGGAACACTGGACGTCGATCTCCGAGACAAGAATGACCGTTGAGTTTCCACCGCGAGTCACGCCATACACGATCTCGTAACGGACACACTGTGCGTTCGACGAACGTTAAGATCGCGACGGCCGTCGCCTACGGATCCGTCCCCCGTCGCCACGGGTATTTTCAAATCCACCGGCTGGCCCGTTCGTAACAATGCCGAGACAACGGGAACACGTTTCTTCCGTGGACACGAGGATACGATGTCGGTCGCGCGAACAAAAAACACGAAACGATGTAATTACGTCGTCGAGGCGAAAACGGCGAGGACACAAGTTTCTCGAAGCCCGACGGGCAGCCATCTTGGCTAGGCACGGCCAGTTCTCGGCGGGTTTTCGTACGATTTTTCGCCCGTCACGTCAATCATTCGACCGAAACACGATGATTCCTCAATTCACGGAAATACGTGTTGCTGTACGATGACATCTGAACGTCCGACGGTCTGCGTATTTATCGTAAAAGGGATCGCAATAAGAAATGTGGCAGCGTAACACTGCGTATAGAGATGGCTGTCTCTCTCTCTCTCTGTTTTCTCGCGCTCTGTCTCACTCTTCCTCGACAGGCGGCCAGACCCGCTGGCCCCCGTATGCGTCGGGCGACGATTCGCGTGGTTCTCTGTTGCCGAGAATTTAATGAGAGACGAATGGTCGTTACCTGCTCGCGGTTGTTCCATGTATAGATCCCACGTCGGGACACGCGGGAGCACGAGTCACTCGAATACCGACACAACAGGACTCGCGTGTAATCACGATCACCAATTATCTCGCGACAACGGCGTCACATTTCACACAAATCAACAAAGGTTACCCACTTGACAAAGATGGCGGTCGCGGGGGTTACACACTGCGCGCACGCGGTGGGGAGCGCACTGCGCACACCGCGCTCTCGGCCACGGGCGGAATCACGAAGAAACACAGTCTTCGGCGCGGCACGCGTTCCCCTCGACCAATCAAACCTACCACTTTGACTCGCACACTCTCGTTACCGGTCACACGTGCGTGCGTCGTGTTTCGTTGCTTCTCTCGACGCGCGCACAAATGCACACACACACGACACCCTGGGAATATACAAGGCGACACGGGGGACGGACACGACGCAATCGTATCGTGTGTATACGTATACGTGATGCCCCGTGGCATCCAAGAGTAAGAGCTTTATAGCGCGGCGAAGCAGAAGCCGCGACGAAAGCGAATAGTGAAACCAGCCCGATATCGCGGCGAAGACTGCCGTGTCTCTCTGCCCCTGTGTGCCACTATGCCTTTACCACCACTATGGCCGCCCACTTCACGCTCGCTTTAACCATTCCCAATCGGTTTCTTGATGCGGCAGCGCGCGCGACTGCTACGTGAACGATGCCGGGAGCTTTGTCAACGAGCCTTCAGGGCTGTACCTGACCGTTCACGGACCACGCGTCTACAAATAATAAAAAGAGATAATTGTCCGTATTATCGTCGCGTCTTGTTACTCGTTCAGCGCTCCCTCCCAGACAGAATACTAATGCGATATCTAAACAGATATTTCGGGTTTTATCGTTATCGTCTCTACATTGTCATAATGATTTTCGTTCCAAAATACAGACGATTCAAATGTCATTTCTAATTTTATTAATTGTTTTTTTTTTCACTTTTCTGATCGTAACATGATTAAATTTTATGAAATTCAAAAACTCATAGGAGGTTTTTGGTATTCATTTAGAGATATCAGAAGATTTTATAAAACATACAATGAAGTTATCAGTGTTTTATTGTCAGAAAAATTTGATTATGCTTTTTAGAGAGGCTTTAATGGTATCATTGTTTAAGTATGTGTCAACAGTATTTTTTCACGAATTCGTCAGTGACATGTCCGTCGCTTTTGATACGGCAGGCGAAACACACACGCCATACCGTGTACAATTTTGTAATGAGATTATTGATTTTTTTAAGGGCTGCCTTTACCCCGTCCTGCCTCGACAGCGTATGCTTTATCGCTAGATCTCTATCCTACTCCATACATTGCATTTACGTAGCGAACGACGCAGGCGTATCGCGCGATCGCGATAACTGTTTTTCGACTAACATTATTTCAACCAGTGCTCTTACGTTTTATAATACCTGTAAGTATAGAATGCAATGGCCACGCCGCAGGTGATTGTATTGATTTTTTTAAGTTCCGCATAAATTAAGCGACTACAAGGAACGCAATTGTATTTAGAGAACGTAATTTGGGATTTTGCGCTCTGTTCACAAAACTAAATCTATTATTTTCGCGATTTCGTATCTAAAAAAAATATTAATAAAACGAACCTGTAATCAATGTATATAGAAAAGCTGGCCGTTATCATATAACAAAGCAAATTTATCTTTTAATAGTAATATTACTACTGAATACATACTAGGAAAATAACAATTAAGGAGATCGGGGTAAAAATTGTTAAGGCATTTATTAAGTACATAATTTGTAATTACTAACTGATTAAGAATTATCAGGGAGTAAAATTAGGTTTTCCTTCATAAGTACATCCAGATCTTTGTACTATCTGAGTTGCAGCCCAAATACCACATTTTAGACAAATTTCAATACTTTTACCTTGTATAAGTTGAGCCAAGAATCCTGAAATGTGTAAACATGTGTTATTTTTTAAAGGAGAAATAAAATGTTATTTTAATTGAAAAGTTTACAAAAACACACCTCCTACAAAAGCATCTCCTGCTCCATTAGTATCTATAACTTTTTCTGGTGGAAGTTTATTAGCAGGATACTCTGTCACAGTATTGTCTTTGGCTACCAATATACTATCAGCACCCTGTGTTATCACAACGATTCTTTGCCTTTTTTCGTTTAGTTTTTCCATTTGAGATAATTTTAATGCAATTTCTTTTCTATCTGTCGTACGAAAATTGTTAGCTTTTCCAAACGCATCGGCTTCTGTCTCATTACCAAACAAAATATCAACGTATGGAAGAGCTGCTAGCATAGGTTCCTTATAAAATTCACACAAGAATGGTGCGTTAAGGTTCATCATGAACATTTTATTACTTTCAAAAGCATGCCTAGCTACTGTTTGAATTGATTCTGGACTCACAGTTAAGAAAAAACCCTACAAGTTGGAGTACAATGAATTTTACTGTACACACATAAATATATAAACTTTATGTATATTTTTTTTAACACATACAGAGACATATATATATTCTGCGGCATCCAGAAGTTTTTTATTTTCAGGTTCTTCTATGTGTGAGGGTGAAAAGCAATTGGCAGCAGCTAAATTAGCACATAAAGATCTTTCATTTCCAGTAATGAGAACCGCACATGTACCAGTGGGTTCTTTACTAGTATATTGATAACGTACATTCAAGCCATCGGCTTGTGCTTTATCCTCTAAAATTTTTGCATATTTGTCTGTTCCCACACAACCCATGTAAACTGCAATTTTTGGTTTTCCCAAGAACCACTAAAGAAGATTACATTAGTTTATTGTTATTTTCAATTTAAGGAAACACTATATGGTGCTACTGTATCTTAATGAATTTACTTGTGCTACTCTCATAGTGTTCTGAACAGAACCACCGGCAATAATGTCTGCTTTGTACTTTTCTATTAATTCATCGTACATGGGTTTGTGTTTGTCTCCGGCAAGGATAGCATCGTTCGAATTCAAATCATATTTTTTTAAAAAATCGCTACCTACATTCGCTGAAATATCGAGAAGGGGATTGCCCATGCCCAATAGGAGACCCTCTCTGAAATATGTCGAAAATGTTACAATATCGAGTGATTAATTTCGACAATTGACTGTATGTTCGTATGTTATTAATCGCTTCAAACTGATATTTTAAAAAAATAATTTTCCATTACGAAGAAGGATTTAAAAGCGGGTACCCTACTTTCATGGCCGTTCCTGAGAATTGCATAACTTTGATCATTTCTTCAATCACGCAGTTGTAAATATAAAGAAGGGTGCAACTAACTATAGGTAATTACTATACACATTACTCAAGTTACAAGAGAAATATACGAATGACATTTCTATAAATTTACATCAGAAATTTCATATTTGCATGATTAAAAATTACAAAATAATTAATCGAGTATTTGATACACTCCTGTGAGCACATGACTCTAACAGTAGAACATAACCTCATCTAACACTTCAACATAACCTCTAACACGTGTTTAAGCATTGTTAACGTAACTAAGAAACAACGATTCGTAATGTAAAAATTGTTACCGTAAGTCCTGTGCCATTTTGTATAAGTTTTTTGTCTCTTGCAAAAAGAGTACTTCAGGTACTGTACACGAACGGCGACGGCGCACCACTGAAATTTCACAGCAGCGGAAAGATTCCTTCCTTCACGACGCAGGGTCAAATGAGATCACGTGGATTTTGAGCCGTATTTTACATCAGAATGTTATCGCCACGGTTATCATTGATGATATAAAATATCTTACACGAGAATAGGTTGTTGCAACGCGCGGAATTTTGCGCTTAAGAATCTTCACGCTTACAGATCATGCCAATTTGTTCAAGAAACTCTTATCTTCCCTGAATCAACTGCTTTCAAATAAGCTACCAAAGAAAAAAAAAAACTACCAATTTCTTACAAACTCTGGACACTAGATAATTTCAACATACGGATACCTATACGTCTAAGTCAGTTTTTAAACTGAGGTGCGCACCTGAAATCCTTCGTACCCGAATACAACTGACAGAACTCGCAAGTTGCAGGATCATTCTTAGATTCATGTTTATGCATGCCAGATGTTACGTTTTTCTATTTCTATCTTGCGCAATTACGCGGATTAGTGGGGAAAAATTCCAACCAGAATAACTTAACCGTGCAATAGGAGACCTTGATATGGTATACATTTTCTATACTTTATTGAACAAGATTTATTTCCACTACTCTCAGTAGAAAAAGAGGAGTGTCTTTTTACGTTAAGTGTGATACTTTTAATAAAAACTACGGCACAACTTGTGTTTGATCACTGTATCTATTTATTTACAAATCAGAACGCTCCCACTCATTTTGAAAACTTTTGAATCAAAGTAAAAATATTTGCCGCCTTTTTTTTTACAGTAAACCATAAGTGAACGTTGTTACACCTTACCTGAATACATGGACGTTACTTACCACTAAACGCTTACGATCGATTACTTCGTTATTTCTTATCGATAACGTTACACAAAGGAATGTTATCGCGGAAGATATTAAAAGAAAAAACAGATTCATGGAAATCGTCAATTATGCCCGTAACAACAGAACCTCCTCGTACAGACCTAAGATACCGACGACAACGTTTTTACATGTTCCGTACGTTCGAACAGCTTCCAATCGAAAGAGTAAATTAAAACTCGTACAATGCCAGAAATGCCGTGGACAAAGATCGACGGCATTAAGGAGCTCACGACCGACACGAAATCACAATCGACTGCGCGTCATAACTATGGTCGCGCGAATTTTAAATCTCCAGTACAGAATACAAAAAAAAAATAATAACCAGAAGGAAGGAGTGGATGGATATCTGCATGAAGACAAGTATTCGTTTTCTTTACGATACCTTCTTCGTTTTTCCACACAGCGGAGAAAGACATTAGAAAATCCACAATTCGTTTAGCGATATAGAGAAGAAGTGTCGGGAGTGTGAAATGTTGCAGCGTCTCTCTCTCTCGCCATTGCCAATGTTAGAGTAGTAGTATAGTCTGGACCTATATTCGCACATACGAAGATTCCTCGTATCGCAGGATTCGCAATGTGCATGCGTGTGTTTGCGCTCTACCGCATCTCCTGAGAAAGAAAACATGGCTCTCAAAGCGTTCGACAGGCAGAGAGAAAAACAAAAATCTGAATGAAACACTTATAATTGCTGTCAGACAGAGAGAGATCACACGTTTGTGAGTAATGTGTGTGTGTATGTGTGTACGTGTATGTGTGTGTTTTAATTTTTTGTGCTTTTTTACTTGCTTTCTTACGCAGAGATTACTGAAGATGAGATTACTGAAGACTGTGTGTGTTGGTTGGTGTGGTGGTGGACTTGCCTTGGATACGACGATGCGGTCTCGCAACCCATATATCGGGACACCTCTGTCGGCTGCGGTGCGCGCCTTGTCAATGGAGCCACCTGAGGTCCTGGTCGACAATTACCTCTCGCCACACGGGACACGTTGGACCTCTCTCACCCTCCCTCTCTCTCCCGTACTCGAACATCACATCAAGCCCAGAGCTCCTTCCAAGAATGTCCACAGAAGCGCTTGGGGGGTAGGGTGTTATCGTGTCCTATATCATACATCACATTACATACGCATAGAGTCTTTAGAGTTCCCTGTGGCGCGTCTCTCTATTACTGTATTTTTTTTTTTTTTTTGGTAATTGGCAACCGACGACCCGGCGGCGCGAGCACGTTTCTATTCCGTCGGATTTTTTTACACGTCCCGGTCCCGGTTCTGCTGAGGTTATTTTACATATATATACTTCGGCTCTGCTTGACACACACGCATGAGAGAGAGATACATATACACGTCTCGTTGTCCCCGGGTGCCCGATTTTTGTCTCTACCTCGGTCGGTCTCTTTTTTTGCGCTTTTCGTTTTTTTCCGATTTCCGTGTTCTACTTGTTTTTCCGCCGATATGTATATATACAGATATATATATATATATTCTTCCGGTTTTCTATGACCCGTGTGTCTCTCAAAAGTCGCGTAGTATCTCATCCGTCTATCAGCCATCGACTGATACGCTCCACGTTTTTTTTTTTTTCTATTATAACGTCGGTGGTACGGCTCTGTCGAGGGACTCGTTCGGTTATATGTATATACACGTGCTTGCGGAGGGTCCGGAGGAGGCGTGCGTCCCGATCTGCGAGCGACAGGTTCTCGTTCTCGTCGACCTTTTCTCGGTTAACATACATATATATATTGTTTACAGTACATGTTATATATGCATATTCCGTATCCCGACCACAACCGACGACGGCGACGACGGACGGACGTATTTGGATTCGACCGGCTGCGACGGCTTGAGACTATTATACATATATATATATATATATCGAGAGAGGAAGAGACTACCAAATGCCATATAAATCTTTATACACGTTCGTAATATACTGTACATGTCACGAGGCCCCTGTGTGTATATATATGTGCATGGGTCACCGCAGAGATTTCCTATCGACGACGTGTGTGTGTGCGTGTGTTACACTTCCGGTACACAAAACCGTAATATCCTCGAGATACAACTCGTATTTACCAGATCTCGACGAAGCCGTGGGTGTCTCCATTCAATGTATATATTTATTTTTTTTTTTCGCACCGTCTACGTATGGATCTCTATGCGTATTTGACCGTGCTAATTCCGTCTCATGTATATATTTTTTTCGTTATTATTCTCGATTTTTCATTTCCGTCGGTTACACGCGCAGGCCCGGGGCGTCACCGAAAATCTCACCTCTGCATATATACACCGTGGTTCCTAAATTACGTAACATGCTGAGAGACCGTTTATAGATGCACACACGTGCATCCTATTACGGGTTTTCTATTGCGAGGCGAAAGTTCGTATATTCGCGTATATAGATATATATATATTGCCCGAGACGCCTTAAGGGGACGAAAGAAAGCAGTCAGTCGAGAAAGAAAAATTCCATCGCCGGCCTCAATTTCCTAGGTTCGTGTGTGTTTCTCCCCGTTTTGCCACCTATAATATTCGCGGACCGCGCGATTCTTCGCGTTTCCGTATGGGGGAAGTGTTCATCTATATGTATACACATCTGGTTTCGACACAATTGTCTCTACGAACATTTAAAAAAAAAAACGTCCGTGCTCGGAGGGTTAATACAGGTTTTGATTAATATCCGTAACACCTGTACAACTACAAACGATCCTTAAAATGCTGCGCACAAATGGACAAGCAGGAAGAATCGTAAATTATCAGAGAACTTGCAACGAAGCTACCGTCCACAAAAAAGATCGTCCACGAGCAGCAACGTGGATAGATACGGCCTGCTTATTCTTAACTTCCTAGTCTAAATTAGAAACGACTGGCTTTCGCCATCCCGAAACTCCCGCGGAACGAAATGGGTAATCCATCTTGCCTTCGTCTACCTCGACGACAAAGGAGCAAGGTTTCAATGGTAACGCGATCGCCTTTCTTTCCATTCACCGGGAATATGCTTGCCCCCTAGTCAGTCCATATATACAGGTGGGTGAATAAGAACTACTATCTAAAATAATTAGTTGTATCCAAAAACATTTTAATAAATTATATAGAATTTTTATTTCTTTTCTTTCGACACATTAAGGAGACCTTGAGAATTGTTAAGGTCAACATTGCTGAATTCGTGCTTCCATCGACAACAATATAGTATTAAGAAAAAAGGTGCATTGACCTTGGAAAAGGTCACGTTAATATCTCAAACAAAAAATATAAAAAAAATCAAGTTGTATTGTTATTTTAGATAGTAGTTGTTATTGACTCACTCTGTATATTCAAAGTGTTCCAAAAAGATGATACAATCCGCAACATGCATATCCCTCATGCAAATACAAATCGAAAAGTCTTTTACCATTTTGTAATCTGAAGCTTCATTTTCGAGGTATTAGCAATTAAATGTACTCCACGCGGTGCGCGTACATGTGGCCCACCGCTTAGCTGATTGGAGTTCGTTCAACTGCTAATATCCCGGAAACGGAGCTTCAGATTACAAAATGGTAAAGGAATTTTCGATTTGTATTTGCACGAGGAATATGTTTTTGGAACACCCTTATATATCTGTACAAGATCTTGTTCGCTTCTCCCCCCACAAAAAGTGTACCGAACAATTAAAAGGAGGGTTTTTTGTGTCCAGATATGGATGATGGAAAATGAATACTGGGAAACAAGAGAGAGAGAGAGAGTGACGAAGTAGATGGAAGAGATCCTAAACGATGTAACAGTTCGAACATACAGAGGACTGGGGAAGATTGAGCAGTCACGGTGGGGGGCAGGAGATTAAAAGGTGTGTGGGCTGTAAGGGCGAGATCGAAACGCGCGTTGAAAGATCGGGGATGATCGTGGCCGATCGCGCCGAGGTCCACGATTGCGCGACACACACGCGGGAAGCCAGCGAAGTGGGCGCGCGGTCATCCGATCACGCGCTACCGATTCTCTACCAAAACGGCGGCGGAACACGCACGATTTTCTTGAGTCTCGCGCGTATACAGAGGGTGTGGAGTGGTTGGTGTTTTGGTTAAGGGGTGAGGGTGGACCGGATAGCGGCGAAAAACAGTGACAGTGATATATATGTATAATTAAAGAACACGAAAAACGCCGTTTTCTTTTGTGAATTTCCACAAGTACATATTATTATTACATTTCGTTTTTCTTTAATCCATTATCATTACGATTACCATTATTAGTATAATTATTTATTTGAAAACGCGGGTCTTACCAACGAAAAAGAAAAATAGGAAATCATATATATATATATATAGGCGGAGGGGAAAAGAAAAGAGATTAGGGACTTAAAAACTTGAGAGAAGAGAGATAAACCATTACACACCAACGTGTACGTATTACGCTGCTCGGAAAAGAAAACGGAGAAACACGGTGTGTGGATCCGTCGTTATTTAATACGGGTAATAAGCTTAAACGGAGCGCACTTGCGGTTCACCGCATATCATCGATTGTTCTTGGTAAATTCATTTCATGTATTTTTTTTTTCTTCCCTTTCTTTTACGTCAATTAATCCTAATGTGTGTTAATAAAACGGTAATTATTACGTGTACTACAAGCTAACGATATAATGTTCGCACGACCCGCTTAGGTTCCCATACAGAATCGACGCATCATCATCATACTACGAGTATCTACGGTGTCTTCAAGAAAAAAAAAATTCTTTAACCCTTAAGTATTACTTTTGGTTTTTTTTTCCTCTAGTTTTCGTTCGTTTCTTTTTTATGCAAACAAGGGACGATTTGGACAGTCGAACACCCGTCACACGCTTTTCTCGTCTCTCGTTCCTCGGATAGAAATCGATCGCCGAAGAGGCTGTGTGCACGATTCACGTATTTTTTTTCTTCTTCTGTCGTTCGTTCCACGTGTGTCTATAATAAATTCTCCGCTCGTTGCACGACGCCACTACGGTACCAACAACGAAAAAACATAGAGAAAAGATATCGGAGAGGCGACGGTGCACGATTTTTCGTCTGTGTGTATATGTGTGAGTGGAGGGGTGTGTCCCGAGTGAGAAAAACTAGGGGGTTGGAATCAGGATTACGGGGGTATTGAGAAAGTAATTGCGATCGACGACCGATCACACGCATATCGTGGTATGTTTTTTCTTTCTTTTTGTTCTTGTTCTATATTGTCGGCGCCATCGACACACGCTGAGCAGCAAACGTTTTTGGTGGTTTCTCGCACATCATATAACGGACTAACGTTTCTCTTTTACAATATTCTTATTTTGTTTCTTTTTGTATGCACGCATCGCGGAAATCTGCCACTTGGACGCGACCGTATCGCTGCAAGAATCGCGAGGACAACGAAGGGGGTTCGATATATAGGGTGGTTTCGCACGACATTCCGATTCTGCAACAGCGACGACCGCGTAAAAAAAACGAAACATCGATCGATTCACTTACGCTGGAGGAACGCGCAAAAAGATATAATAGCCAAAATACATAAAACACACGCGTGTATTATTCACCGTCACAGAAACGGTCATGAGAAAACAACAACAGCAGCAGCATCGGCGGCACGGCGCGTGGTGGTGGTCGCAAGCACCGTCCTACCAAAACGTTCTTCGAACTTAACCCTTTCTCTCTGAATCTTCCAACGAGATGGTGTATACGATGTACGTTTTGGTGGAGGAAAAAAAGACGGAACCGATCACGGGAAATACGGATCGAAAGATTCTCTCCCCTCGGTAGGAGGATTCGCCATTTTTATCATCTTCTTACATCGAAAAAACGCCTAATATACGATATACAAACGAGACGGTGTGCGCGGCGTCTCGTCGATATACAAGGTGTCCCAAAAAGATGGGACAATCCGCAATATGGATATTCCTCGTGCAAATACAAATCGAAAAGTCCTTTACCGTTTTGTAATCTGGAGCTCCGTTTCCGAGATATTAGCGGTTATACGAACTCCAATCAGCTGACCGCTGGGCTACACTCTTCTTGACTGTGCTTTCTGACCGCTCAGCTGATTGGAGTTCGTTCAACTACTAATATTTCGGAAACGGAGCTTCAGAATACAAAACGGTAAAGGACTTTTCGATTTGTATTTCCACGAGGCATATATATATATATATATATATATTGCGGATCATCTCATTTTTTTGGGACACCCTGTATACAATGTGGTGATATACCGCTACGGAGAGTTCGTCAAGGGGGTGTTACGACAGTGTGGGGGGGGGGACGGAACGGATATTGTAAAAGAGTTTCCGGAAAGCTAGGATTTACCGGAACCGGCGAAGACAGAGAGATATGGGACACATGCGTTAAGGCCTGCAAAAATATTTGACGAATATCCCGCGAACGGTATGTGTGTGTGTTTCGTTTCCGTTTGCTGCTTAAGGTCTCGTCTCCGGGCTTAATTATCATCTCTAACCCCAGCGCATTGCGGATAGAGGATCGTGACCATATGTATGTGCATATTTGTTTTTTTTTTTCTGATAGAGCGGGCGATTATGGGTAGATCTTCGCGCGTGCAGATCTGACAGACGGCCCAAGAGTATCTCGGTCCCGAGGCTTCCTGCTAGCGAGACAGACAGACCCGACAGAGGAGGACGACGACAGACGACGACGACGACGACGACGACGACGAGGACGAAGACGACGACAGACAGACCGACAGACCGATCCGAGCGAGCCCGACGCGACGATTTAGTATGGTGCGAACCGGCGCGACGGCGATGGCCCTCGTAATCCCGGTCTGGTAAACCAAAATGAAGCAGCCACGTCAGTTACACGAGATCTATTTTTTTTTTTTTTTTTTTTTTTGTAAAGAAAACAACACGGGCTAATAAGAGGTTTGGGAGCATTTTTGTGAGGCACAAAGAGGACCGGTAGGTGGGTAAGTAGGCAGAGGGATGGCACAGTGAAAAATAAATGAAATTATGGTGAATATATTTACGATAAGGGAGCCACCTCCGATTCCGAGAATTTTTTAATATGTTGTCGGGGTCATTGCCCTGGTGAGTATTGTGAAGGTTTTAGTTGGGGATCGCCAATAGTAAAAATGTTATATATCAAAAAAAGATTTAGTATTGATAAGTGACCTTCAGAGAGTTTCAATTATCAAATGTTTATGAAAAAGTTATTAAGAGAACTATGATATCTTTCTCTTAAACTGTGTCTAACCTACTCCGAAACATTATACCGAATGGAGTTGGTTAGGCACTGTTTAAGAAAAAAAAAGTTAGGGTGGATGCACCAGTAAATGAACATCACATATAAAAATGAGTAAATTTAACTAAGCAAATGATTAAACATCGATCCTTTTCAATTCCTTGTTTCATATTCAAACCATTTTCGCGGCGCAACGCTGCTAAGGGTGATGACAGCATATTGAAAATTCCTCGAAATCAGAGGTGGATTCCCTTACTGTAAACATTTACCCAAATTATACTGTACTGACCAGCGTGGAAGAATGTACATGTCTGTGATCGCGTACCAAAAGAATGAAAGGATATATTAACGGGATAGATAAGTAAACAGGTTGCGTGTGTTTGGATCAACTTTAGATTTTAAACAGGGGGGAGGGGGGCACAGAGATAGATAAATAGAGTATGTTCTTCCTCGTTTTTCTCGCTAACGTTACCACTTAACTCAACCGATAAAACACGGACAGGACAACAATTTCCGAATGCATCTCCCAAATCGCGAGCAATTCTTCGTCGCGTACGCGCCTGAATATATTATACCCAAAGCTCTGGTTTCTTTTTTTTTTTTTTTTCGTCCCGATCGCGTAGGCTCTCTCCCTCGAGCGAGACGCAACAAAAAAAGACGATTTTTTTCACTCTTTCAAACATAAACGTCGCCGCAACGAAGAGAGGGCGCGCGAGTCGGTTGGAACGAGAAGCGAACGAGAAGCGAACACGGGAGAAGTAAACACGTTAAAAACACGATTCGGGGGAGGGTGGCTGTTTTCGCGTGTGAGACCCATCGGTACACGTCTACTTACCTACGCTCTTCGAATGAATCTCGGCTGAAGTCCTCGTACATGCCTCTACTATAAACAGCGATATAATAAATAATCGGAGACTACGAATGGTGGTCAGATTCAACAATTATTACCAAATAATAAACTTGCTCCCTTGTCCAAGGCTTAACTTTGTGAATTAGTCCCTGTATATTATTTCAACAACGTGCAACTAAAAACATGGTCGCGTGCTGCCTAATATGACTGTTGAGAAAGGTACAGGGATTGGTTGTGTGTGTGTGTGTGTGTGTGTGTGTGTGTGTGTGTGTGTGTGTGTGTGTGTGTGTGTGTGTGTGTGTGTGTGTGTGTGTGTGTGTGTGTGTGTGTGTGTGTACGGAGGAGAACGAAGCCACAGAGTATGCTTCCTATGAACGAGCAATCGTACAAATGCGCCCCCGCTATACTAGAAACACCTAGATTTTAGACGGTAATAGGAGAGACAGGCAATGCGCCGGGCACGCTAGAAGACGGAAATTAACCCCCAGTCGATGGACCACACGATCATCAGAGACACGGATGATGGGTCACAGTTTCAGAAGAAATATTCATCAACCCTTCTGGGGTGTATATCTCGAGAGTCCTAAGATCGACGACGCAATGGAAGGTTCTTTGGGAAGCCTTTTGCGAACATACGGATCGAAGATCGTTCGAGAGTCCCTAACACGACACTTTGGCCTATATATCTGTCCCCATCGTCCTCCGTAGCTACCTAGCTTTACACGATACTTATTCGAATCTAAAGCAGCGACGAGCATTTCTATCCGCTTTATTCGAGGTACAATCGCCGGGAAAAAAGAGAAGAAAAAAAAAGGAGGTCAACTTAATAAATGCACGCGGTGTTTGCAGTACACACGATTCGTCGAGCGTGTTCGGTAAAACATGGGATATTTTGTCTCTCTTTTCTGTTCATATCCAGTCATATGAGGCAGGCAGCGTTATACTGGATTCGTAACCCATGCGACTTATGTAAAATGAAAAAATATATGTATATAATAAGATTACAAACGTGAAACGGAGCTGTTTGCAGCCCAGGCTGGGATCGAATGTGGGATAAATAAGGTAACGTGCAACAACAAATTCAAAGTTATTCAGAACGATTGAGAAGTTCAATCAACTCTGCTTCTCTATTTGAAAGTATTTGCGAATGGATTTACATACATGAAAAAGCTTTGAACCTCGCGAGTAGAAGACAGCTTCAAGAACTATGGAACATAATTGTTTTCTTGGGCATGTGTAAATAAATTGATTTCCGCGTGGGATCGTGTTATAGCGTTCTCAGCGAAATCTCCTCGCGTCGATTATCTGTCGATTTTTACCGTATTTTAACGGAGGGATCGCGGTTTCACCGGAACGTCTCGAGGATTTATTCGAAATGATGCAAAAAGGTCGACGGCAAATTTCACTCGAGTCAGAGAGTTTCGAACGACGTCGACGTCTCGAATCGTATTTAAAATAAAAAAAAAAAAAAACAGGATCGATACAATCACACAATTAGAAAGAGAAAAAAGGAAAGCAACGATCGTATCTTACATCTGAATAACGCAAGAGATTAAGAGTGTTTGCCGTGAACAACCGAAATCAATTACAACCTACGAACCGAAAGATCTTGTGCACGCATTTTACTCGATACTTTTGTTTTTATATATAAAAAAAATAACACGTGTGCGTCGTAACTCTCCGTTTTTTTCCTCTCATTTATAACTGAGGAAAGTGTTTCATTCGGAACGCTATTTGCGATTCATTTATCAAGATATCTCACGAAATCATATGGGGTGTTTCGCGATTCAGCTATCGACAAAAGGCAATTTGCGAATAATAATAATATCGTGATCGAAGTCGACGAGATTTGTCCGAGTCAAAGAGTGTATTACACGACAGGGAAAAACGGGCCGTTCTTTCTTCCTTTTTTTTTTTTTCGTTAAAAAGCGTGCCTATTGAAACTGGCCTTAACAACTATTTAGAAACGCCGACATACAAAAAAACTTACTGTCCAATTCGTCTGGAGAGCTGGTTTCTACTTACGAGACGTTTCAAAGACAATTGATAGGCGCCGTTCCTGAAATACGCGCCAGCCCTTTTTCTCTTTTGTTTTGTTTTTGTTTCTTTCTCTATCTACAGCGGTACGAGAGTTCGTTAAAATTGTAGATCGCATCCTGGCTCGCGCGGGTAGTGCGATCAAGAAATCTAGTTCGCATTCCTTAGGAACGTTTCTTCATCCCAGGCCTCCGCGCCACTCCCGGTTGAGTGATGTACGTAATAGGGAGCGCTTGAAACACAAAGGATTCATGAGAGACATACAGGCCAATCTCGCAGTTAACGCCATGGATCAAGAGAGTCTATGAACAGGGACATCCCTAGAAGAGCAGTCGACATGTTCAAGGTACGATCAGTCGAGACCCGGATTTTCCGTTTCATTCTTTGCTTCCTGTTTCTTTTGTTCGTTTCCCCGAAAAAATTGACAAACGGACCCCGATGTACAAAACGCGCCCAGCGACAAGAACGAGGCATGACTACTCGCTAACAAAAGTGGTCAAAGACTTACTCTTGCACGACTTGTACGTTGGCCCGGGACTGTCTCTCTAGGGTTGCCCGCATTCATGGACAAAGATGGTACGCAGCCTGAGGTGCACTGAAATTTAGAATGTACAGAAACGTCCAAGCGTCATATAATAACATTTGTACTATGCAGACTCTGCACTCATGTGGGCATCGGGTCGACACTCGGTTTACTTAATCATGTTTTTTTTTTTTTTTTTTCGAAATATACCAATTACTGTAAGTATCTCAAATAAGCAACGAAACAAACAGAGAGAAAGAGAGAGAAATAAAACGATACGCAATATACGTTCATGCTTTACGCGTCTAAGTACGTATACCGTGCAGTATTGTAATCAATAGAGAGAACTGGGAGAGAGTTGCAGATTTATCTAATAACGGATCAGACCAAAAAACCAAATTGTAAAAAAAAAACAGCGAGAGAAAGATAAAGATAGAGAGATGTCTCTACTACTTTAAATTTGCTATCGCGAACAGAAAGGAGATCCCTTTACCGAAGAAAGGACCGTTCGACTTTAGGAGAAACGAGCAAGAAAAAAGGACTAAAAAAACCATGTGATCGATCAATTGCGAGAAAGGAAGAATATACGATATACAGAGAATTAATAAATTATGTCGACGAATCACCGAACCCCAATTCGCATGAGCTGTTAATCCAGCCTGGAACGTTCACAATGTTAAGTCGGACGAATGGGCAGTCGGTACACGATGACTCTACTCACCTGAACCGGCCGTTGTTGCCACTCGGAGGGGGTGATCGGCGGCTGAACATTCCGTACTCGTTACCACGGGAGAAGCCAGTGTCACGCATGGATCCCATACCTAGAGGAGGCATAGGAGGCATTGGGTCTCGTCTTGGGGGTAGAGGTGGCATTGTCATTGGTGGAAAGTCAAGCCCGCACATGGAACTTCCCATGTCACAGGGCCCTGTCATACCCGTAAACCGCCTCTCGTAGAGATCCCTGGTGTCCTCGAAGCCCCTCCTGTCATAGTAGCTTTCGTAATCCTGTTAAGACACAAAAGAAAAAACCCGAACGTCGGTGTTAATTAACTGATCAAGGAACCAATGTCCGCTTCTGCGTGATCATCAGTGCAGACGATTACTTATTGCGGTAGTGTTAACGAAAGAAAACAGATAACTACTTACTCCAAAGCGGCCACCACCCATTAGCCGGTCCCGAAGGAACGGTGGTGGCGGCGGTGGAGGATACGGGTCGCGTCCAAACATTCGTTCTCTGTATCCGTTCCTATCCGGTCCTCCTCCCATTCCTCCCTTGGGGCATTCCTTGGACCAGTGACCCCCGCGACCGCATCGATAGCATTGCTCAGGATCACCCATTCCTGGCCTCTGTCGTACTCTGCTGGTGGAGATTTGAACCTTCATAGGTTGGCCATCCACCATCTGTCCATTCAACTCCTTGATGGCGTCATTGACGTCACCTGTTGCTTCCAGATGAACGAATCCGTAATTCCTCACGATATCACACTCTACAACTGTGCCGTACTTGGCGAAAAGTTCGCGCACTTGCGGCGCTTTGGTGTTATCTGTAAGATTGCCGACAAATATTTTAGTTGTCGGAGTGTTCGGTCCCTTGCGACTCTTCGCAGCCTCGCATTTGATCGGCTGCCCGTGGACTATATGTCCGTTCAGGTTCTGTATTGCGTTCCTTCCAGCCTCTTCGTTCTCCATATGCTGTTAGAAGAGTAATGCACGATATCGAAGTGAGTCTGTGGTTCATTAATATTTGTCGCAAAAATAAATTTTAATCGAAAAAATGAGAGAAAATAAATTGAAAACAGGAAAAACACAACTTACCACGAATCCATAGTTTTTGACCACGTCGCACTCTACGACCTTCCCGTATTTTTCAAACAACGGTTTAATATCGGCATTTGACGTCTTGTCGGCAAGATTACCGATGAAGATTTTAAACGTGCCAACGCTACTAAAACCCGGCATTTTCGGCTCGTTCTAGAACCTAAGTTCAAGAAAGAAAATATATCGAACATTATTCACTACTGACTCGTACAAGGAACCATCAATCAAGTTACGCGGCAAGATCGAAAAAAAAAGATACAGGTAACCCTTGTATAACCCGACACTTTGAGAACACAGTTTTGGTACAGTACGGTCTGGGAATTACAGGAACCCTCGTGTAACACGGAACTTTGGGTGAAATTAACATTAATTCTTGACAAACTTTAATTTTTCATTTGGTTTCAGCATCGAAATGTTATAAGAATCTTTGAGTATATTTGTTTGTTATTTTAATGTTACGAATTTTTAAAAGCACTAAAAATCTTTTCATTCCGTGAAACGCAATTTGAACTTTTGTATAACGTTTTGGTATTTATCGAATAATACTACTGTTTTGTGTAACACAAGTACGAATTTTCGTGTTATACGAGGGTTACCTGTACTGGGTCGCCACAACGTTACGAAACATTCACTTTTTGGCAGTGTTGCGTTATTACTATGATTATCTCTTTACATAGTGATATGTACTCTTCATACCCGGGTTTTTCTATACGATACACGGACCTGGTTGCTATACTACGCATATACTCCTACTCCATTGCACGTTATGGTAATTTGCTGCGTCACAAATGTACGTGTTGTGTGTCGACACGTATATCTCATCTACAAATGCTATCTAATCTAGGTAATTGTACGCTTATAAACGAAACACGAGCCAGGTCTGAGATCTCCAAAAAATTCGCGACGGATGCTCGATGGCGACGCTGATCATTGTTTAGATTCCCCCTCTAGCGCTTCCTTCCTCCATTTTGCTAACGATCTAAGTTTTCGAATTTCGAAGGTCGCCGGTTTTACTCGGAATATTTCACTCGTAATCCGGAATAATAATAAAGAAAACACAACGATTGGAATATTGAAGTCGTGTGAAAAACGAATATCGTGGTTTTTGTTACGTTAGAGAGTGAAAAATGCAGTTCGGACCACGAATATTTGGTATGTCGGTGGAAGCACGCAGTACAGAGCATACCGACCTTGTCGAAATGGCGCACGAATTCTACCAAGCGTGTATAATTACGTTTCCCGGTGGATCGATACGCGCACTCCTCGCAATCACGCACCATACGATTTCTCGCAGCACTCACCGAAGACTACTGCACCGAATGAACGTTTAATAGACAATTTACAACCGATGCCGCCGATATATCCGACGCACACACGACTTTACACAAGAGAACGCAATCTAATAATGGCGTCTTGCCGCGTCCGCTTGCGCGGATTGTGGCGACACAACCACCGCAGGAACATCGAGCGCCACCATGCTAAGCTAACAAGAACTAACTGAAAAATCCAACGCCAATCTAGAATGAATATGTCTCTAATACACAGGAAACAGTTCTTTACGTTATTGTATACTGAAACACATATTTATTATGACGCAAAAATAAATGAAACTTTGAAAGAAAAGGCCCTTTTCAAACTGCGAATCAACTGCGACACATTCGACCAAAAGGATATCACGCGTCGTACGCCAATAAATGCAACGAGGCGGGAATCTTTTCTTACCTATGCTACTCCATTTTGTATTATTCTTTTAAGTAAATTTTTTCAATTCGAGGGCATAAGCAAATGTATTTATGACTCTTTGAATGGAATACGCTAACTTTCCATTCTTAGAAGAAACTGATTTAGTAAAGTCTATGCGTAAACATTATTGTATATATTAACACGTTAACTGTCGTCAGGTATCCGGTTACCGGCACCGTGAACATTCAGCACTTCCATCAGAACGTATAAGATTGGATGAAATTTGAACGTCTGTTAACTTATTAACTGCAAAATATTTGCAATTATGCAGAATACTCGTCAATCGCGGAAAATTCTTGACTGAGTATTTCTTCATATCTGTGACCAGTACTGATGATAGTAAATACTCGCATAAAGCATAATTTTACATATTTCACAGAAGCTAAAAATAATTGGAAGATTGCCAAAGCATTGCAAAAGTCTGTGTTATTAACAGTCAAAGAAACGTAACAGCGGGATATTATAAGTAAATATTAAAAGTTTGGTAAATATATGTATATAAACTGCATCCACATTTTGTGTTATAACACAATTTTTCTATGTAAATACATGCACCGAAATCTTTTTCGTACTCCATATTACGAAAATATGAAGAACAAAACGAGCATGGAAAATTACCGCGACGCTTGGGAATCAAGCATTGTAGTACCGTGTATAACGAAGAAAGTTGTATATCGTGCCGCCTAACGTATGACCCATGTCGTCAATAGTATGTTCCAATTTGTTATTTGTTTCACACAAAATGTCGATAATTATTCACGTATAGTTGATAACAAAACGAAATATTGAAAATATTGTGCTCTCAAGAGACCTAAGCGACGCGAAATGGCGTGCATGGAGTACCCTGTGTGTCGACGCTGTGATGTCGCAACAAATTGTACAAAAGGAATGTCGTTTTATGTGTATATAGTATTTCTAAATGATAATCCGTCACATAGAAAACAATTTAGGATTGTTTAAACACTTACCAAGTCAGTATTTCCGTAAAACAACGCGATAAAACACGACACGAAATCACACGCTTCCCGAGGTAAAAAATGGCGGACCGTAACAGACCGGGAAGTGGAAAGCGGCGTCGTCCTTTCCGATATGAGGTTCAGTACTGCCAACCAGTAAAAACGAAACTATCTAAACTCGCGTGGTTTTGATGTAAAATAATTAATGAAGTCTGAAAAATATACGTATATAACAATAAATGACACAATTTCAATTGAATTGTAATTTTTTAGATATGTATGAGTCTTCCAAAGAACATACATTCAAAACATTTAATCGTAATAAATTTAGCACTATTGACAGTGTTGCGTTTGGTAAAAATGAACGACACTCCCCTTCTTGCTTTACCCATAATGCTTTGCATCGATACTCCACATTTTCATAACGTATAAAAATCGTTCAAATTGTAAATTCATGTTTGCAAGAAATCTCAAACCTTTGAGTTTTTCGTATGTAGTATTGTTAAAAATACTTTTCAATTTTTTTCATCTCATAATTGAAATAGATTAAGAATTAGCGTTGTTTCCGATTCATAGAACGTATCGATCTCCTGCGTATGAAAGATTTCATTGGTTCCCGATAGAGATGACGTGCTGCTACTTGTGAATCACTCGTGATTCGATCACGTTCGTTCCCAATCACGATGATTTTTCACAGTGATTCGTGATTTTATCGATCCTAAGTTTTGTAAATAATTTTATTAATAAATTTATCGTTGAGTTCAGCCGTGTGTACTTTTATTTATAAATCGTTGAAATTCTAATTGTACATCATACATCTCACACACACGGGGTCTCTTCAGCATGCTTCGGGGGCTCCGTGACCCCACATTCTCAGCCCACGTGATCGAAGACGCCTCCACCGGGGCCTCCGTGCAGGGTCTATAGCGCCTCCACCGGGGCTCCGTGACCCCACGCTCTCACTGCGAAGGGTCTATGGCGCCTCCACCGGGGGCTCCGCGACCCCACGGTCTCTCCCCACGTGATCAATGGCGCCTCCACCGGGGCCTCCGTGCAGGGTCTATAGCGCCTCCATCGGGGGCTCCGTGACCCCCGCTCTCACCCCACGTGATCAATGGCGCCTCCACCGGGGCTCCATGACCCCACGCTCTCACCCCACGTGATCAATGGCGCCTCCACCGGGGCTCCATGACCCCACGCTCTCACCGTGCAGGGTCTATGGCGCCTCCACCGGGGGCTCCGTGACCTCACGTTCTCACTAGAGATGACGTGAACTGCTACTTGTGAATCACTCGTGATTCGATCACGTTCGTTCTCAATCACGGTAATTTTTCACAGTGATTCGTGATTTCTCGTGATCGTTTCTATTGGTTATATTTTATATTAACGACATCAAAACAAAAATTCGAGTTATACCGTATAAAGTGAAAGAATAATTAGAAACAATGAAGAATAATGAATACATTAATGATTATCAATTATAATCTACATGTTACCTAGCAAATCATTCTTTTACAATTTCTTGTTTTTCTGTTTAAAGATTAATGACTTACGATTGCAGTGAGCAAATTCACTCAAGATAAAAAAATCGCAATCACGGTCGTGAATGAAGTTAAATCACGATCGTGATCGTGATTCGGCGATCACTGTGATAAATCACCGTTAGTGATTTTGCACGCCATCTCTAGTTCCCGATGACCAATATATATCTCTTTTTTTATACGAATTGTTTCAAATAAAATCTGCATAAGAAAGAATAGATCCCTCGACGTATGTACTGTTATATATTCGCAGAAATAATGTACAAACAGCAGTGTATACAGCGATTGTTTCGGCAGTATTTTTAGGTAACCACTTAAAGAATAAGGATGTTTTATAACACGTAATAATAAATAAAATTCTATATCTGCAAAAAGATGATAATGTTTAATACTTGTTAAAAATATAAATTTCATTGTTTTCAATCAACTAGCTATTAACTACAATTTTTAATATAATTACAATTCATCTTCCTAAAGAAGAACACGATACTATTTAACAGTAACTTCTGTCGCGTAATATACAGAAGTCGTATGTAACATAACGATCTTGCGTCAATGATCGAAAGCCCAGATACATAATTCACTATTATAGTAACAATTTTTACGACTTTCTCTGGTATATTTTTATCGTTCGAAGTCCTTATAAAATATACGGATATGCCTAATCATTACTTATTTAAAACAATAAGTTTCAACAAATCATTCAGACTTTACTAACAAAACCAGGTTGAAAAGAATATTGTCACAAGTGTAACGATATTATTAAATAATCTTTTATAATCTGGACAATCGACAGCGTACCTAAAATCGTTCTTAAACTATGTAATTAATGTATCCCATTTGTACAAATTAAAAACATAAATTACATACTGTACAGATAATACAGGGTCATATATGAGACACAGTACTCGGAAGCCAATGATAACTGAAAACATTAAAAAAATAATTTCCCGCTTCAGAATTAATTTAAAAATAAGCGTAACAATATTTACGGATACAGGATGGTAATTAAATAAATTACATATAAAAATCCATGTAAATTTTATCTAGTATTCCGAGATACTCTAATATAAAAGAATATTCGGAATACTTGTGTTTAAGAATATTATAGTATTGAATTTCTGACGATATAAAATTGTACATATCCTGCAAAATGTTTCGTAACTCAAATAATGTGCAGACTAAGATATCGTAAGTTCTGACGATAAACATTTTGGAGACATATAAATGTAAATCAGCATTGTTTTTGGAACAACGGGACTTTAATGTGAATGAATATCAAAATCTCGTAATATTATTATAGGCTTAATAAATGCTATTATTAAAGTGACATTCACTCTTCTCGAAACATCCTTTACAGTCTGCTAAATTTACTTTAATGTCTCTTTTTAAGCTCACGTGCGTCTAGAACGTAGGATAGTTGTTGTTTCTTTTTTTCAAACAATAGTATCTTTTCTAAGTAGTCGCCATCACTGATTATATACTCAACAAACTTCAACACAGTGAAGCACGTCAAAACACATTAACGCATATCGCGTTTTGTCGCGTTTCACATAAAAAACAAAAAATATACATACACAACATGGATTCATTCATAATTACGTTCGTGACTCGCTTATTTATTAATCACCCATTAATCATACGAATTCCCACAGTCATACGCTTTTCAATTATTTGTAAATCTTAGTACTCAGTCTTCAGGCTTGCAGTCTGTTAATAAACCTATGTACACCGGGGTTGTATTTACAGTGGGAGGATTCTTTCTTTTTTTAACTATGAAAAATGAAATAACAGTTTCGTGAAAAATCGTCAAACACTACACGATTTTGATGGCATTATCAATATGCAGTTTTGACATTGTCTTTTTTACACGTAACGCTGTTAATCGAACGGCAGGATTCGCGTGCCAACACTCGGCCATAAGTTTACTGAGAGCAAACAGGATCTATAACAAAAAATAAATATGAACTTTTTAGTACCTTCCTTATGGTACCAAGAAACACTTAAATGAAAATAATGATTTCTTCACTTACCGGATCATTCTCCCATCGTGCTGGTATTAACGGACGTAACCGTTTCGCGCACACTGCTAGACGCATATCTTCAAAGTCTGGATCACTCGGAACAACGTCATGATAAGGCAAAGCATACGGTTCCACCATAGAATTTCTACCGCCCGTCACACATCTTCTACACGCTTCCCAGAGCACAAGACCCACGGAATACATGTCTGCCATTTTAAAGGCATCGAATGAAGATGTATTTAACGTTTCATCTAAGACTTCTGGGGCCATGTATCGGCGAGTACCCACTCGTGTGTTAGGAGCAATATCAATTTCTCCGCTTTCGCTATGAACAGAAATTTACATTTATAAAATCCGTAATACGAATTCTAGCCCAAATTCATCCTAAATTATTCTCACCTTATGTATCTTACTGCCAGGCCGAAATCGGCGATTGCACATTCACCATTTCTTTTTACTAAAATATTCCTACTTTTGATGTCTCTGTGCGCTATCGCGGGCTTTCCACGCGTGCCAAAGATTTCCGTATGGAGGTGAGCAATTCCAGACGCGATCGAAAGACAAATAGCTAATAGACTAGGATGATCTAGGACAGCAGTTTGCAAATAGTCGTGCAACGATCCTCTTTCGTGATAATCTGTGATCAATAACATCTGTGTCCAAGATCCTGTTCCTTTGATATCGGCCGCGATAAATCCTAAAATGTTGTCGTGTCTCATCAACACTGTCTGGTAAATCTCAGTCTCCCTGAACCAAGATGCTTCCTCCAGTGTGAAAAACACTTTTACAGCCACCCTCTCTCCTCTCCATCTTGCTAACCATACTTCACCGTATCTTCCTTTCCCAACGCACTGAGATAAGGCCAACTGTTTAGCAATAGTTCTTTGCACTAAGAGGGGTAACCCTGATCCAGAACCACTACTCTGATCGATAAAGTCTTTAAGGGTACCCTGGGAAGGCACTAGGCAAGGGCCTCTCTCTTTTCTTCTGTATCTGTGGTATATGATCACCATAGCTATCGAAATTACCATTAAACATACAGACAACACGGTAGCCAATATGATAAGGGGTGCACCTGACGCTATGGCCATAGGATTGGGAGCTGCTGTAGGTCTAGGTTTATATTCAGGAAATAAGTCTTTGTTGCAGAGTGCACTCTTGTTACAACATATTATGCTCTTCCCTTGTAAGTGTGGCACAAGGTATCCTTTGCATTGCATGAATCCTTGTTCATCTGGTGGTAAACAACCAAATGACCATTCGGGCACATATTCTCCAGCTTCTGCATCCCAAACTTCTTCGACTGCACTGAAACAATGTCCACCAGGCCTTCCTTCGCAAGTTCCATTCTGTCGATCGTCTGGACAATGTCCTTCACAATAGCAGGTGATTCCCAATGCTGAAAAATTAAACATACGATTGTTCTCATTGTCAATTAAATTTTGTTTTACATACAATTATCAGGGCAAATCACCTGCTGTCATTTCTATTTCGATTTTTACAGAGCAATTGTTCTAACGGTAACATGAAACGATTGGTGTCGCATCTTTGAGGTTATGTAGGGGTAAACAAAAACAATAAAAAAAAAATGGTGACGCGTTCTACGGAACAGGGATGACGTCCGTCGAAGATAGTTGGACATACGATAGTAAAGTGAAACCATACAAGATAAGTAACTAAACGATAATTAATGCCAAGGGGAAAGCCCAGCCGTACTGGGCGGATTCGGGAGGTTGCTCGACAAGTTACGATGTGTCGCGTAGGCGGACGGCCATTGCGTCCTACGACATGAACTGCTGTAACAAATAAGAGGAAGGTGCGCCCCTTGCACCAACAGTAAATCTGTCATGTACACACACACGCAAATACGTGTTAATCTCGAGACAGCAATTTCCTTGTTATTCTTTTACTTTTACACGAACTTTCCTCATGTAAGTCCAAATATTTTGATCGTCTATCGAGGGCTTATACCGGGGGACAATGCTTTTCTTAAAAGTTCCACGTATATACATATGTATATTTTCGGGACAGAAGGAATTCGAAGGTATATACATCAATTATCGAACAATCTGTAAATCAAGTTTATTAGAGAAGACTCGATCGCTTGATGCGTCACGATCACAAAGTGGAATGCAATAGCGATCGAGGCCGATGATATACAGATCAATTTTTGAAGCCTACAGAAACTCGCGCGCAGTTGTATGTCACGGATTTTACTGAGAAAACGAGGTTCTGAATGCCACGCTACAAGTATACAGCGTTCATCGAGGAAAGTGTTATTCGTGTCTCGATCTCTTTCAGGCGTTTTTGTTACGAGGGAAATAAACGTAATACAAGAAGAACAGAAGAAGGCTGTGATATACAGATTTGATATGGCACGTTACAAGATCGATATACAAAAGTATGCTTAAGTGAGCAAATATGGTTTAAGGTTATCTTCCACGCGCAAAAATGACGAAGAAGCACGTCGCAGCAGTAAACAAAGAGTACAAAGTTTATGATGTGTGTGTCTGGAGGAAGAGTTTGAACGTCAAATATTGCAGGAATTGCTGCCTCCGTGTTTCTTTTCCGTCTGCAAGTCACAAATAAAAGCGGGAAGTCCAAAACGAACGAGTCGAGAAGAAGTTAAAAGGATGTTGGAAAAACGTACACCACCATTCTTGGAAAACCTACAAATGGACAAGGGTGACACTCTCGCGAGTAGTTTGTCAAGATCGAGTTTTCTTGTTTCGTTTAAACGCAGCGATAAAGAGGAAACGAAAGTAGAAATCGGAAGAAAGCTAAAGTTTTGAGGTGACTGAGAGAAACACTCCGCTTATCTTCCGTCGCGGAATTACTCCCTCGTGTCTATTTTACGGTGACCGCTCTATTTATATCTTCGAATATTTGGATGACGGATCGATGCTCCACGCGTTCTGAACCCGTTTCCACGTATTCTCTTCACCTTTCTGCCATTCTCTCCTAAGCCTCTATTTGACACTGCTCGAGTCCAGTGTTGAAAGAATAAACGATTCCATTTTCCAACGAATACAGATATACTCGTATCAACGGCACAATAATTGTTCCACAGGCATTTGAAGAATCAACGATCGGACCTTGAATCGGAATTTTTCCAAGAGCGGTCCGCAAGTTTCCTACCCGTTTCTTAGCCCACGGGGGCACACGCACCTTTACCCGTGGCCGTACAAGGAAATCGCCCATATACACACGATTATCCACCGTCTTCCAAGAGAGTCGAAAGGCGTCTCGAATCCGAGGACGATGATTCCCTTATATCCTATAGTATCTCGCGCGCGGAGACCGAACACGAAAACGACGCGTGTACTTTTCCATCGATGATGTTCCGTCAATGAATTAAATTGTCCAACGCAGAGGCGGTGTGTCACAGAAGACTCTCGTTCAGCAATCGTTAATAGAAATCTACAGCTGCACTCAGCGTGCAACGAAGGACACACGTTACAACTTAAAAAAGAAAAATAGAAGCAGAAGATCGAGTATCTTTTACACGCGCATGCGCACTACATGGGTCGTGTCGAACCAGTAATTTTTAACCAAACAATCGTAGCCAAGTACGTAATCTTGTAAGAAGGATTCAATGAATCGCGCGCGTCGCTGCGTTACAACCAGACACGCTGTTTATCAACGTGGCAAAGAGCAATATCAGCGATAAGCTGGCTTTCCACACCTACAACCTCCAGAGACTCGAGTGTACAGAGACTCGTTCGTTACAAAATGTACGCGAAAACAACAGTCTGATAATGTTGAAATCTCTACAACATGATTGGCGTCAGCGAGCTTTAGTTACCGTTTTTTCTTAATTTTTAGAAGACATTCAACTGGTACAATCTACGATTAAGAAAAATTTTTGCTTTCGTCCATCGTGTTCCACTAGAAACCATGTTTCAGCGCAGTGGGGGGTTTTCATTGAATCATTTGTCCTGGGTTTGTGTTCGAGTAAACAGCAAGGCGTTCGTCGTAATTATCGTCCCTCGGTAGCTACCGATGATTAAATCTAAACTTCACGACGACCGTGAAGCAAAGTGTTCGGATCTCAGGAAACAGGACGCGAACACCTGTTCTTATCGCACGACGAGAATAAAACCACGACGGGGAGAGGAGAGTACGGCCCTACGTGATCGGAGGAGCGCGTTCGCGCCAATTAACAACGCCACTTCGGATCGCGGCACGTTGACGGGAGGGAGGAGGGCACTTGTTCCAAAGTGTTCGAGCATTTGTCAAGTGGGTCCACCCAGCAATTTGGTCAATGAATATTTACTGTATTTCTCGGGACGCACGCTAGCAATTTCTCGCGGGCCGTTTCACAACAGGCAGATCGCCAACTAACATAACCTAGAGATATTCGATTGCGATTCGATTCTTTATCCCGAGAATTGGTTTTTCTTTCTTCAATTTTTCCAAGAATCGATTCTTTACCTCGACAAGCGAGAATCGTTTTTTCTTCCTTCTAACTACATTTGACTAAACGTCGAGAAGATGAAGTTTTTTGATTGGTCTTTCTGTTTGGGGATTAATTTTTCCCTAACGGAAAGACCAAATACAACAGCTTCGTTTGCCTTCCAACCATGTTCCTAAGGACCAATCAAATAATTATTTATAATAAATAAAACCTTGTTCGTTAATACATTTGATCTCTGTTATTGATTTCCTAATTTTCAAACGTTTATAACGCTTGAGCAATGAATTCGTACATTTTAGGTAAATTTCGAATGTTTAAACGAATTATTAATTAGTTTATAATTATGAAATGTATTTATTAAAAGAATCTCTAACTGACTTTAAACCTCCATATTTATAGTAACTTCATCTTCAAGGAATCGAATCTCTCAAAAAATCGATTCGACAATCAATTCGAGAATCGATTCCTTGAAGTAAATCGAATATCTCTAACAGAACCTGGAATCATTCGGACAGGGTTACATCAGTTCTAACGCGTCATCCCGTGACGTATGCTCGAACGAATCGTATCCGACGATCATCCCGTGTCATTCTCTGTGCATTAGGTCAGTCTACCGAATCGGGTTCGAAATCAACGAGAAAAATAGCGCAAGCATGAAACGAGAGAGCTACAGGGGAAAAAATAGAAACGGAATCGCGTGCGAATGGAGGTATTGACCAGCTAGTGACTGCGTAAACATCGAGTGGGAGGATTTCGCGGGCTTTTTTGCCCTATAAGGGCGCGTTGACACGTGATGTATGTACACATAATACCGGGTGTGTTGATTCGATCGGTGTCTTTCAGTTCTGTCAATGTGGCAGACGCGTTGTTACGTTTTCATTTTAGTCCCACAAATGTCTGTCACGATAATGGGAAAGGGTTCTCTCTCTCACGCATACACACACACACACACAGGTTTACCATTGATACTACAGAAATTCGAAAGTACAAGTACGGGACAATTGAAATACTAGTGTGTAGTATATACAATACGTGACGATATATACTTTCGGCTGGCACATCGGGCGTAATTGCACGTTGCATTTGCGCGCGATGAATAACACATCCGAGAAGACCGCTGAAAACGGCTTTGCGCGTACGCGTAACAATATTATGAGTATGGTTTTCGTGGAAGGACAATCAGTCGGCCGGTAATCCAATCCCTACTGTCACACACGGCGTGACTCTCTTGGGAAATTCTTATCCGGAACAAGCAACGTGGTCGTGAATATGGTCGGAAGCTGTGTGTGTATGGTGAACCAATCCATTTGTACGTTCAATATTTGAAAATCAATGAATTATTCACCGAAATTCGGAGCGTTTCGAACATTTATTAAAAACGGATAATACCGGTGATCTGTTTCAGTATATCGTACGTGTCGACACACAACCGAAGATATACACGGGTTTTGTGAATGAATCACATTTTCTTTCACAATCGACAGCTCTGGCAACAGCACTATTCCATTTACCAGGTACGTTATACACAATTACAACTGCCCGATAATCTGCTTTGAGTAAGATCCGTTCAAACACGTGTACACGAATGGAGACGAATGCACTCTCGGAATAAATTTCCATTATACTCGTTGTTAATCGATCGGATAAATACGTGCCAATGGTGAGCCGTTACGCGGCGATCTTCTCGGACAGTTTCGCGAGAAGAAAAACGCAACGGGGAGCGTGAGGAGGATAAAGAGGAGGGAATCGATTCGATCGGGAGAAGATCGGTCGTTTTTGAGGAAGCCGACATTTACCATGGGCTAAATTTAATCCGTTGGGGAGGTTCGGATCGGTGGGCAGACAGAAGAAACACGGCTAGGATCGTAACACGTGAACGACGGCACGAGACGCTCGAGGGAAAAAAGGAAGGAAAAGCGGAAAAAGTTCGAGACATGCATCGGGGAGCGAACGAGCCGGGACTTTCGAGGCATCAGAAAACGACGAGACTCTTGCACCACTGGTATTTCAGTCCCTAACCTTAGCGCCTAACCTCTTCGTCTTTCTCTTTTGGTCGTTCTCGCTTTTCCCCACCATCCTTTTCACTCTTTCTCTCTCTCTCTCTCTTTCGCTCTTTCCTTCTCTCCTCTTGGAGTAGTAAAGGGTATAAAAAGAAAGAAAAAACAGAAGGAAAGACATGCATGCCTTTGGCACAGGGATTCCTTTCGCGAGAATGCACCGTCCGTACGGAGCAATAGAAATGTCCCTCTTTGCATACGACTCGAGAGACGTGAAAATTGAGAAGAGTCAGAACGATGAAAGCGATTCGCGGATAAGTGTCACACCGAAGGATTACACTGATTACTTGGCTGTCCACCGACGGGGATTCTCGAATCCGTGGCAAAAAGTCAAAGGCGCGATCGAGGTCGCGTCAGACGACGATCTTTCGTAAATGGTTCGAGAGACGATGCGTGCTCTCTGTCGACGACACTTGTAGAGAGAAGAGCGACGGAGAGAAAGATAGAGAGACAGAGAGAGATAGAGAGGAGATTAGCGAGACACACATCTGTGTGGCAGAAGGCGAGCAGAGTATGTAGTCGGCAGCAGCAGACACCAATCGTTCTCGCGAATCGGCTCGAAAATCCGCATCCGATCGATTCTCGTGCATTAGCACAACGTCTTGTGTGTTCGCCACTTCCCCCGGGGACACAGCCTCGCACAATAGCTCCGTTCGCGATGATCCCCAGCGCACAGATTTACTCACCACCAACGAGTCTCGCGATAAACACTCCCAAGCCGATCCACAGGCCGTATTTACATCCGCGCCGACCTGGGGTAGCGGAGAGCGCAGCCATTTTCTACACTCGAGAGCACATACTTCACTGTGACGTAGGGCGGTCAGCGTCGGCAGCCAGAGCGCAGGCCGCTCGACTTCGTCCAACTTCGTCTATCATCGGGTCTCGTGTGGTGGGGAGGGATTCGTCGCTCGTTCGGAGGAACGGTTGCGGCGACGATTCGGCTTTTAAACAAGGACAGGTCGGAACCCTCATGCGTGAACGAGAGAGACACAATCACGTGTGTGCGATGGTACGTATCAACTGTGTATCTCTGATTCACGGTACCCTGATCGAACGATGATCGAGATGAACACATAGACCGAACACGACTCTGAGAACGATTTCGAATGAAACTTGCGTTAACCTTAACGTCAGAATTCCGCGAAAACAATGAATATATGCTATTGGCGAGATTAGTTTGTGACGTAACGCATTCGAATCCATATAAGGTTGTCGTAAGAATAAAGATCCTAGAACTTGGCGCGCATTCTGCAGATCTCTTCCCTGTTTCTGGCAAACACATGTGCGCAGCATCCCATTCTTATCGTCACAATGGTGATTGACGTATCGTAAACCCACGGGGGACAGAGACCAAAGATTCAGTGCGCAGCCCTAATGCGCACCCCTTCGTCCCGGGTTTTATGCAACCTTCTGTGCAGCAATACCTGCGGGGCTGTGTGTGCGGTAAACGTGGGCGGGAATACTATGCGGTAAATCTGGTCGAATAGTTCGGATCGCGGTGATTTGCAATACGTGCGTTAACGTTTAAGTCACTGGTAATAATTCGACGGGTTAGACACGGAGGCCTGCCGTTTAACCTCTTGAAGGTATACTGGCACGTATGTGTACGTTTAGTCTCATTTTCATTCATCATTCCAAAATTGTACATACAGTAAATATTCACTAGAAAATTCACCAACAAAAAAGGATATCAATTGATTGTCAATAATATTTTAATTAAATACATAGTTCTTCTGGTCTTCATAAATTCCTCCCTGAAGAGGTTAATATTTGAAGAAACGCGTGACCTATTCCTCTTCTGCGATTGCGTGGGGATTCAAGATAGGCAAGATCCAATCCCGTTTTTCGTCGTTGCATTCGACACGGATATACGATTCCCGTGCCCGTTTCTTAAACAGGTGGACCACCTGTTGTTCCAACGTACGTAGAGTTCTTTAAATCCCAGTGATATTACGGCAAACGGTTCACGTTTCTGTTGGGCAGAATCTTCGAATCGGTCCCGAGACTACATCCCTGGCCCGTCAGCGTAGCTAGCGGGGAGTGTGCGACGGCGCCCTACGGGCGCCACCGTGCCGCGACGACCATGGTCCCGGAGATCTTTCTTTCTTCCTCTTTCTCTCTCTCTCTCTCTCTCTCTCTCTCTCTCTCTCTATGTTCGCGTCGAGCACGGCTCGTAGCACCGATGCTCCAGAGCGAGCCAAGAGAAGCCCGTAGGGAGGGTCGGAGGAGAGCGGCTCCTTGGAAAGGCGCGAATGTCTATGCGTGGCGCGTCACCGCGGAAACTAGAACCCGGCTAGAATCATGAATCTTTTTCTTCGGAGAACCGGGTGAACGACGGGATAGCGGTTCGAGAAACCGCCTCTGTATACAGCCAAACGGAACCTTCTCACACACAGTGCGGATTAAGGGGCTATGCTAGTGTGACGGTTTCAGAAAATCGGATTTCTCTTTCTTGCAATGTGCAACAATTTTTTTAGGAAGAGGAAGGTGTTTTATATGGCCCGGAATAGATGATTAGCTGTAAGTATGAAACATTTCTCTTTTTATGCTCTAAAACAGTGGGAGAAGCTCTCTCAAAAGAGAGCGAAGGATGTGAAACGTGGAAGAATAAAAGAAAAAGAACGGGAGAAGAATCGCGGAGAAAGGCGGTGCCGGCGTTGCGTTTCGAGCAGTTTCGAAAGTGGTGCATTCGCACTTGAGTGGCGCCGTTTCGGCGATCGAGGCGATCGGCCGGGCGAGTGGTATACTTACACGCACGCCCCACGGGGGCGCGCATCACGCTGCGCTTTTAAAACATTAACACGGCCGCGTGTAACTTTTACGTGCGCGAAAGACCGTTCCTAACTGGCCTTTCCGTATGCGCCTCCGTGGTGCTTAGCGGTATATACACACGCCCCGCTTCGTTCGCATTCTCCGACGGTGCTGCTATCGATATCGGATTACCGGTTAATTGCTAACGTAGCGTGTTCCTCGCGGGGAGATCGCTGCACCCGAGTTTGCGCCTCGATTTTTGGAGTTATCGATTCACTAGTTTTATCCAGTGTGCTTTTGTAAAAATGAATAAATTTGCGAGAACTTCTTGTAAAGAAATTATTATACTAATCTTGTGAACTTTCGAGAATATTTTATTGTACAATTAAACTGAATACAAAAATTTCCTCCCTCTGGACGGAGGAAAAAAATTACATTGCCCATCCCCGGACTGATAATCTGGCTACGCCTATAACTATAACATATTTTTGGATTTCTCGTGAAAATGAACATTTTTCGATTCAGTTCAATCGTACAATAAAGTATCCTCAAACTTTCAAAACGATTGGTTTAATACTTTCTTCACAATAAATTCCCAAAAATTCGTTCATTTTCAGCTGTTTACACCAGGCTTCCCCATCACGAAATTTCCTTAAGATACGAAACGATCTTAAAATTATCGTGGTTTGTTCCAGTCTCATATCCTTCGATACATGTATATATTGTTATCCTTATCTTCTTGCCGTTGCTACCGTGTCCTTTGGACAAGCATCCAAGAAGGCGGTAAATCAACCGGACTATATCCGTCCATCTACGTTTTTCTCAACGACCGTAAAAAGATATATCTGCGAAACGATGCGAGAATAAATGTTACGCTCGCGGAATGTACAAAAAGAAAAAGTTACAACCACAGTGCGGCCACTGTGGATCGTAATCGAACGCCCATTACGGAGCCTGTTCCGTTCCCTCGACAAAGGCATATTGTCCATCGGTGGACATCGCGGGAAGGCTTTCGACCCATTGATCGATCGACGTCTTTGGTCGAGTCGTCCTCGAACGCGACGATTTCGAGGCTCGACGTGTAGGTTGGGTGGGTACTCGAGACAGGGGGGACGATATAATTTTCCAGGGAAAACCTGTTACTCGAGGTTTTTCCATCGTGGGAATCCAGATCGATTCGCGGCGCTAGTCCAGCTCGCTACTCGCGGAAAGATCGTCGTCGATCATTATATTTTTAGAGATGATCACTCAACGCTTTTACGGAATCACGTTGCCGTTTCAGCGTCGACTTTTATATGCGGAACGCACCGGCATCGAGGGATGAACCGATCGAAGTAAATACAAGTAAATAATCGATACCGAGTATTTTCAGCATCGATATACTTTCGGTACTGATCAGGTCCCCAATAAGATTTTTTGTGGCCCAGGACTAAATTTGAAAAATTCTACAAAAATGTCACTGAATTTCTCGATCCGGCTCACTGCAAGTATTCGATCTATCCTATTTCTATCGAGATGTGTGTGTGTGTGTGCTCGATTGGTCGAAACCACCAAGCGAATCACATTATTGCTCGACTTTCTACGAATCTGTCGTCGCGCTGAATTCTCGATTGCACCGAAGTTTTTTTGGAACCCGTCGTGATATTCCCGGAGCAAATCTCTGCCAGCACGATCTGTCTTTCCATCCCGAATCGCTTAATTTCAAGGCACAAAGAACACCCGTGTGTTACGATCGTTCACGGACACGCGGATTTGTCGGGGAGCTGGTCCTATTCAACGTTCGCATGCCCGCTGCTTCCGCCGTACCTAATTGAACTCTATACAGGGTGAAACAAAAAGAGGGCGTCCTGAACTTCTAGGGGTAGACAGAAAAAATGAAAAATAAAAATGCCATTTCTAATCGATGAAACGTGTGAATTTCAATTTTTATGAAAAAAATAGTACTTCTTCCTGAATGAGTCGACTTTGTGAAACAATTGATTTAATCTCATTTACTGCTCAAAGCTCAGGATTATGCCATTAGGTACTGCAGCTTTTCACTGTGCATTATTCGAATAAAAAGAAAAGAACTTTGTATTCATTTTCCTTCTACTAAGTAGATATCGATACTTTTTTTCGATGCAAGTTACGAGCAAAAATATCGATACCTTGACGGTAACGATTGAATTTCTCTTCCCGCGTGGATGCGCGTTATAAAGAATACAGATGAACGGAGACGAGGTGGACAAAGGACTGACCGTTTCTCCGGCTGACTAACGGCCGATTGCTAATTGCTAGAAATAGTTGCCTACTCGTTAATTGCCTCCGCGACTCGGAGTAATCGTATGCGCTCCGTATACGCAGATGAGCGGGAAGACGGCGACGCTGGCGTGGTCGAGACGCAAACGGGAACGCGTCGATCGTCGCAATTAACATTAATTACCGTGATTATTCCGTCCACCGGATACAATCCAGTTGCGCCCGATTATCACGACTAGAATGCTCGATGAAGGGGCGGGGGAGGGGTAGAGAAAGAAAAAAATTTACTCATCGATGATCGACGCATTCGATACGGGTGAATAAAGGGAACAACCTGACACCTGTTCTCAGGTGAACATAGCCAGCCCCCTCGTTAAGGGGTCACATATCTTTGAGCTGTTAAATAGGAGGGAAAAATAAAAAATTTATGTATTAAAAATGCAACATATTTTATATGATATTTCCTTAGTAATTTAATAGTCAACAGAAGAAAATGGAATAATTATAATCCAGTTTATCGATACTTTATGGCTTTCAATCTCAGTAACAAAAGCGGAGGGACAACAAAGTATGAGCTTGACAGGTTCCACGGCCTCTCCCCCCTCCCCTAGTGATAGGGATAATGCCTGGACAATAATCGTGGAGGACAGGCCAGACGATAATCGAGAGGAATCTCTATCTTGTTTGCTCCGGGGGATGACACCTCCTACGTCCGAAAGAACAAATAGAAGAATTCCCTCGGCGTTACAATTGAAGAGACAATACAGAAAAAAAAACACGTGTAGAGAAAGCGTCA